TGTGTCTCGCCGAGCGATTATTACAAGTTCCCGAACCTTAAAGCTGGATCGATAGCAACTATTTCGGGAGATTTAATGAGTAAACAAAACTTTCCAAAGAACACTCAGCATCTCAGGCTGTTAAAAAGAAAGATCTCAATTTCTGAGTTCTGAAACATGACAAAATTCTGAGTTCCGAATGTTACGTAGCTAAAGCAACAAGTAACACAAAATGAATGAGGTTAAAAAGCATGGGAAAATGAGGTTAAAAAGCATGGGAAAAAAGTACTAGTAATTAGGAAAAGGAAAATTTGTTTGATTCTCCCCATATATCTATATATGTATAGTGTAAATCAGATGTGAAATATTTAGCTCAAAAATGCTTGAAAAACATTACAAAACCTCCATCACTCATCATAAATGCATTTGTCCTTTTTATGTTAGTAGCCAACATTTATTCGCCTTTCAAGTGTTGCTGGCTCAGAAAAGGTGCATACAATTACGATGCAATTCTAAACGGTATCATCGTGTCAACAAGGTACATGAATAGGGGTTTTATAATCCGTAAAAAATAAAAATTGCAAACCCAAAAATGTGAAATTCAATGTACTGAATAATAAATAATTGGGACATTTGAAATATGCGTACTTAGGAATTAAAAAAAAAAGAAAGTTTGATGTCATCAATGTTAAGTATATTACTATATACATAATATATATAATATCCTTCATTGATCTCGGAAATAATTATAATTAATGTACAATTATGATTAAGATTAAGGAATCTGAATGGCAAAAGGCAAAGTAAATGATTTTGGTATGAGTTCGCTTTCGGGTGAGGCAATTTATTCAAACCAAGGACGTCAGTCATTATTCCTAATTAAATTACACACGATAACCGTTTATCAGGTGCCAATCACGGCTAAAATAGTTCTGTTCATTTTGGGACCCACAAGGGGTTTGCACGTTCCACTCGTGCCTGACTTGTAATTTTAGGGCTAGGCCTAAGTCTGTACAATTACAAAGCCTGCACCACTCTGGTCCCACCGCTGCCATGAAAGGGCATTTTGTATTGACCGCTGGTTCTGGTTGAGCAGCTGGCGGGCAGGCCACACTGGCTCCTCAATTATGGTTTGTCGGCCAAAATTCTCCTCTCCTCTGTAACATCCCGATCGTTCCATGCGTTGATAAGAGTCATGTTTATATTCATTAATTAAAAAAATAAAAAAAATAAATGCATGGGTATTGTTGGAAAATGAAATTTATCTTCCGCGGACATGGATGATGATGGATGCCGTGGAATTTAGATTTTTAGAGTAAGAAAATATTCTTTATCAGTTGAGTGGGCCCAAAGTCGGTGTATGACATGTGACTGACACCGTCACAGCGATCAGAGGGAATGGAATGGATACGGACGCATCATGCGTGCATGCAGCTAGAACGCAAAAACCCATTTCACATTTTCCTTTCGTTTCACCAGCGACGCCTCAGATTTTCGGTTTTGCTATAAATGTCAAACTCAAGTACACATCTCTCTGCATTTGTACGTCCTGCTCCAGAATGATTAAAGACCAAACTAACCTTTGTGTTAATAAATAAATAAACATTTCATATTAATGACAAATAATCATTTTTTATTTCATAATTTTTTTAATCTATCAGTAAGATATTCTCAACTATTTTTTTTATAAAATAAAATTTACATGTCTTAATTATAAATATAATAAACAGTAGTTAATAAATATAAAATCATTTATCACTGATTAAAATCTTCATAGTGTTAAATGCAACAATTCTTTTGAATAGATATGGCCAATTACGTAAAAAACAAGAAATATTAACAAACTTCATTAATATAATAATAAATTGCATCCCATGTTTATTTAGGTTTTTTTTTTTTTTAAGAGTTAAAATTGAATTTTATATTAAAAAAAAAGATGCGTACAAGTATTTACAAATTATAATTTAAAAGCAGGGGTGACAATGGTAAAATTGGGGTGGACCAAAGAAGTGTTGGAAAGAAAGGTATTGACACGTAAGTAGCGCAGAGCAGAAATCCAGTGGGATTATCAAATACAGACACACGCCAAAATCGTTACACAAATAGTTTTTTTTGTTTAAGAAATATTAAAAATAGGCTGGTTTAATTAAATGCACATCACGTTCTTCTCACTCTGATACCCCACCTCGATTCACTTGCCCTTCACGTGCTCTTCACGAACTTTACATCTGTTAGTTCAATTAATTTACTACCATAATAATACATAAAATTTTACTAATTTTTAATTGGTTTGTTTGTTCGATAAAATCTGCAAAAAGCAAAAACAACATGCGGTGCTGACACGTATGAGAAGGACAGAAAAGACCGCACGAGGCACGCGTGTTCTTTGTTAAACGTGTTTCCTTTGACAGTGAAAAAACGCGTGATGGATGGACGAGGTCGACCTGCGCCTACGGCTTACGTCCGTGATTTATTTAATTCAATTTCTCCTTTCTAAAACCTTGTCTTAATCGTTGAAAAAAATATATAAAATAATAAAATCTCTCTGCCCCACGTTAACTTTGGGCAGTGGACAACAATCCCAGTTGTTTTTCCGAAGGTAGTGATGTCACGCTCCATAAAGTGTTTGGTTGAACATTTTTCATTTTTTTAGCTTAGGCAATTTTCCTAATTCCTTTGACCTTTTATCACGTTACCTACAAACGCGGACCACCCACCCTACGTGAGCTCGTTTTTCGACTCAGGTTACTATTTTGGCATGAGTATTAAACTCGTAAATCCGGTTTTACTGGAGTTACTGCTAAATTTTAGAATATTTAATTATGATCATAAATGTTTAATTCATAATAAATAAGAAATTTTATATTAAATATCTTAACTAAATTTGTACATGATTTTAATTAAAAGTTTAATAATTATAATTAAGCTGTTTCAAAGTTTTATGGTTATTCTCACTGAACTAAATTTATGATATTAATAAAATCAGTTTTTTATAAGCTTTTTTTTTAAATAATAAAATTTGAAATTTTGTAAAATTAAAGTGATGACAAATGAATTAAACTATATACTTTGAAAAAACAAAGGATCATTACCCATCAGGACAAGTACTTATTGAAAATTGTAATAAAACAAACAGTTACTTACAAATTACAACTGTTTTTTTTTTTTTCAAATTCTGTTGAATTTTTTTTTTATTGAGACGTGATATCCAATAAATTGAAGACATGATACCTTCAATTTATTATTGAAGATTTCATTTTTTGTGTTGATTTTTATAGAAGTTAAGGGATAATCTGTCACGTGTAAATGGAGAAGGGATATGATTTATAATTTGTTAATTAGTTGTGCTTGTGCTAAACAGTGAAATACACCCAAAAAACCCTGACAAACCTTTTTCCTTTTTTTTTTTTTGACTGCATCTACTGCTGCTGCCGCTGGTAGCATTGGATGCATCTGCAATATGATAAAAGAAAACAGTATAATTAAGTTTGATAATTGTGAGCTTTTGGGGAGATTTGTGTTGTCTGTAACATCTCCATGGAAAGAGGTCAGTGTTTCCAACTGAACTAACACTCTGGACCGTTAATCTATAGGAAGATTTGTCACAGAAATGGACCCACACTCGTTCCCTAAAGAAAGATAAAACCTTACTAATAGATTTAACTATACAAATTCTTTTCGAAATAACCTATCTTAGGAATTAAACAAACGAGCCCACAATCAGACCTTTTGTTTTTTTGGCTTGATATCACTTTCGACATTGGTTTTGCCTTAGATTCTACTCAATTAAGGGCCCTAGGGATGCTCATATTACCAATTTAATCTTCAAACCTCAAACTTATAAAAAAGTTGTTGGTCTCCTAGGACGTGCTTTTCGCTAAACTTTCAACGTCGTGATGCCCAAGAGACACGACATGAATTCAAAATCTTGTATACTAGTATTTTGTATAATTAAATTTACTTTATCGTTAATTTATAGTACAAATCAAACCTTAAACTTTAGGTCAGCGCTTCCTTTACTTTTTTTGATAGACTTACAAAATTTTTTTTAATACAAAAAAATCATAATTAAAAAAAAGAAAATTTTGCTATATTAGAATTTAAATTTTAAAATTATTAAATATTATATTTAAAAAATAATCGAATAAATCAAATAAATTAAATTTAAAATTCATTCGAAATTGTGCTCACCTTGCGAATTGAATGATAAAAATCAATCAAGGAATATATTATAAGAATAAAAAAGAATGTTTAAAAAATACAAAAAAATGAGCCTTTAAGTTGCATTGATTTTTTTTTTAAATATATGAATTATCTTTTACGCTTATTACTTTTACAAATTTTACCATATATGCCATTTCGGTGTTTATTTTATAAGGGTAATAATCACTTTTTTTTTTTTTCAATCTTATAAATAAAAATAATCCAAAACGTCAATTATAAAAAATAATAATTACACTTTTTGCATATTTATTATATAAAAATAGAACAAATAGGATTTGAAATCTTAAAAGATGTTTTAGAAAAAAAGATTCCGAAAAAAAATCACATGAAATTTTTAGATTTTGTACATAAGATTACCAAAATAACACGTTTCTTTAAAGGTATAATTAAAATAAACAATTAAAAATATGTAACGGTTCTTTAATTTCATTTATAATTTTAAAAAAATTTATTAAAAAAATAAAAAATTTCAAAAAATACTAATTCTGAATTTACATTTTCTATTTCTTAAAATTAATAATGTAATATAATAATCCTAATTGGGGTCATGGGAAGAACGTGTTCCGAGTCTAATTTATTACGTGGCATTATCGAGCATGAGATTCACGCAAGTTTATGTCTCCCTGGCTGTCACAAGAAAAAGCTTTTTTTCATTATTTTTCATTTATTTCAACAAAAACAGTGTTAAAGTCTCATGAAAAATGATGTCCAAATAACAACAGTAAACTCTCTCTTTCTTTTATGCGTTGCTTTCATTTTTTTTTTGCTACAGAAAACAAAAAAAAATTTTAAAAAAACAAAAAAACCAAACCTCAAAAACAAAATCCTTGCCGACTACACCTCAACCAGCTACCAATTATAATTTAACCCAAACAATTTTAACCATGGTTAGTATTCAACCCTAATATCCCTTGCTTAACCATGGTCCACTTATTGCGGTTAAGATTTAAGAAAAGAAAAACAAGAACAAAAACAACAAATTCTCCTCCCTTCCCTCCCTCTTCCTCTCATTTTATTTTTTTTTTTTTTCTATCTTATGATTTGCTACAAAGAGGGAAATTGAATGAAAGGCTTGTTAGTTCTTCTAGTTTCCTCCTAACTGATCCTTCTGTTACCTGGGGAAAATTTTTGGTTTTCGTTGGACAGTGCCCTGGGACTTTTCAACACTCTTCTGCTGATCCAAATGTGCTTTTCCATGTAAACTGGTTTGTGTTATCATATATCTTCAATTACTATGTCTTTTTCGCTTTAAATTTAGCTTATTTTTCTGTGTTTTCTTTATTATTTACAAGCCAGTGAGATCTAAAAAGGGGGGGAAATGGTTGCTTTATTTTGGGCATGCAAAGAAGCCTCATGGTGTTTCTAGTTTAGTGGGAAATGCATTGAAAAAAGGTTTAATTTTTATTGCTTTTGGGAGTGAGATTTATTCTGGGTATTTGAAAAAAAATTCATCTTTGTTTGATTTTTGGGTTATTTTGGGGTGGTTTAGGATATGAAAATTGAAGTGGGTATGGGAGGTGGGGCTTGGAACGATGAAGATAAGGCTATGGTTGCTGCTGTTTTAGGAACAAGAGCATTTGACTACTTGATATCAAGCTCAGTTTCAAATGAGAACCTTTTAACGACCATAAGTAGTGATGAGAATCTTCAAAACAAGCTTTCAGATCTTGTGGACCGGCCCAACGCTTCCAATTTTAGCTGGAACTATGCCATTTTCTGGCAAATATCGCGGTCCAAGTCTAGCGATTGGGTCCTTGGTTGGGGTGATGGGTGTTGTAGAGAGCCTAAAGAAGGAGAAGAATCTGAAGCTACTCGGATTCTTAATCAGCGGCTCGAAGACGAGAATCAGCAAAGGATGAGGAAAAGGGTTTTGCAGAAATTGCATAATTTGTTTGGTGGATCAGATGAGGATAATTATGCTCTTGGGTTGGATAGAGTTACTGATACTGAGATGTTCTTTTTAGCATCCATGTATTTTTCTTTTCCACGAGGAGAAGGCGGTCCAGGGAAGTGTTTTGCTTTCGGGAAGCATGTTTGGATCTCGGATGCATTGAAATCAGGTTCTGATTATTGTGTTAGGTCGTTTTTGACTAAGTCTGCTGGAGTTCAGACTATTGTTTTGGTCCCTACTGATGTTGGTGTTGTTGAATTGGGGTCTGTGAGATCCGTACCTGAAAGCTTAGAGTTGTTGCAATCAATAAGAAGTTCATTCTCGTCTAATTCGGCCTTTAGTAGGGCAAAGCAAATGGCCGTAGCAATACCAATGGCGAATGAGAAGAATGATGAAAATACCCATTTTTCGAATTTTGGGAGTGTGGAGAGAGTGGAAAGCATTCCGAAGATTTTTGGGCAGGATCTGAACAACACTACACATGGTCATTCCAATTGTCGGGAGAAACTTGCCGTTAGAAAAATGGAAGATAGATCAACATGGGGAACACTTGCTAATGGTGGTAGGCTTTCATTTTCAAGTCAAAATGGTCTTCATGGTTCAGGTTGGCCACATGTTCATGGTTTGAAACAAGGAAGTCCAACAGAAATTTATGGTTCTCAAAACACTTCAAATAATTTTCAAGAGCTTGTTAATGGGGCTAAGGAAGAGTTTCGGCTTAACCACTGTCAGTCACAAAAGCCAGCTCAAATGCAGATTGATTTTTCTGGGGCAACTTCAAGGCCTTCTGCAATTACTCGGCCATTAAGTGCTGAATCTGAGCACTCAGATGTTGAAGCTCCGTGCAAGGAAGAGAAGCCGAGTGCAGCTGATGAAAGGAGGCCCCGAAAAAGGGGTAGAAAACCTGCTAATGGAAGAGAGGAACCTCTTAATCATGTTGAAGCAGAGAGGCAGCGGCGTGAGAAGCTGAACCAGCGGTTCTATGCCTTACGAGCTGTGGTGCCCAACATATCCAAGATGGACAAAGCTTCGTTGTTAGGAGATGCAATTGCTTATATCAATGAGCTTCAGGCAAAACTTAAGGTCATGGAAGCAGAGAGGGAGAAGTTTGGTAGTAGTTCAAGAGATTTCGCAGGGTTGGATCCTAATCTAAATGCAGAGAATCACACCCGAGCTCTTGATATTGATGTTCAAGCTGTTAATGATGAGGTTGTTGTAAGAGTAGGCTGTCCTTTAGATTCACATCCTGCATCAAGAGTAATCCAAGCATTTAAAGGGGCAGAGATTAATGTACTTGAGTCAAAACTTGTTGCAGCAGATGATACTGTGTTTCATACATTTGTAATCAAGTCTCAAGGATCAGAGCAGCTAACAAGGGAAAAGTTGATTGCAGCATTTTCGCGTGAATCGAATTCCTTACAGCCATTATCATCGCTTCGGTAGCACACAATTGCATTTAGCATAGTCCATAGGCATAAAGTTATAGTGAAGAACCAGATTCGAAGCTTCTTCAGAGGTTTTTGATATACAGCAAGTGATCCTTAGAGGAGCAGAAGGGCCTGCTAGGAGTAGAAATAACTACTTATTGACCAAGTAGGGCAGCAAATTTTCTGTGATTGTTTATATCATACATATTCTCTTATAATGAGTTATTTCTGCAAGATGAATTAAATTTTGTAAGTTCAACCAACTATGCTTTTGTTGGTTGTTTAGAAACTGATTTTTTTTTAGTTTGTTTAATTTTTACCTTCCCCCAGTGTTTTGTTCTTTGCTCTGTTCTCTACCTCATCAGACTCACCTTTGACCAATTAAAGAATGATTTAATGCATATCATTTCAGTTTTCTTGATTTGGTCTTTTTTTCCCCTCTGCAAGTGATCTGCAATGGGTTGTTAATCCCCAGTATTATACGCCAATGTATCTACTTGTAAAGCTAAGATACATTTGTTGTAGAAATAAGTATGGTCTTCTATTGGCGAAATTGTGTATTAAAGTACTTGTGCTTAATGGATATATATAATATGATGTCTTTGCGTTTCTGTACTTTGAAAAGTCAGGATGATTTTCTTCTCTTTTTTTTCGAATAAAAAGTCAGGATTGTTGGTTCTTCATTTAAGAGCAGTTAAGTTGGTGGGTTGGATACTTTAGATTTGATCCAATTTGGTATAATAGTCTCGTTGTCTTCAGTCAATCATGACTGACAGTTGGAGATAAGGAAATTTACTATGCCAACACAGCAGAATCTATGATAAAAAGGCCTATTTGGCAAATGAGTTAAAGGAAGCAACAGCAGAAATTAACAGTAAAGTTGGCTTTGTTTTGGTAGCACATTGCGAGTTTCAAACTTGTGTCTGTCATTGTTTCCTCGCCACTCTCAAGTTTTTATATCTCATAATTGTTGTGCTCTTAGCTCTTCTGTGCCACAGACATTATGCTACTGTAGGAAGGTCTTATTAGCTGAGCAACTTGCAACTGTAATGGATGATACTAGCAAAACAGAAACAGGTTGGCCATTTGTCTTACAAAACAGAAAAGGGTCCTTAATATATATAAAATTAGTGGAGAAGAATGTTCTGTTCTGTTGCTGAGATAGAGGTGAATCTTCTATGCACATTATTTTTTTGACCTAAGAAGGCAAAATATCTAGCATGGAGTAAGCAAAGTAGATGCACAGGGGTTTCGCTGTGTAGATCTTTTGTCTATTTTATTGGAAATCAACAAAACAATAGGAACTGCAATTAGGAACCTTGAAGTCAGTTCGCTTTTCTTCTTTTTTTTCTTTCCTTGAACCAAGTGAAGCTTCTTCATATGCACATTAAAAGGTTTAGAGAACCGATTCTTCCTTTCTATAAAGGGAATTGAGGTATCTTTAACTTTAGCGGAAAAGAATATGAGGTTTATGAAGAAAAAGAATTCTATACTACTACATTATAAGTATTTCCTGGAACAAAAACCGAGCAGATCCTTTCAATAATTTTGAAGATGAAGTGGTCCAATGGTGTCCCCGGTGTTCCACCTTGTGAAGGTGTTTCAAGCCAATCAAAGAGCAGTTGACATCATTCATGTGGTACATGTGTTTTCAATGGTGTCCCCGGTGTTCCACCTTGTGAAGGTGTTTCAAGCCAATCAAAGAGCAGTTGACATCATTCATGTGGTACATGTGTTTTCTATTTTTTTTTTAAAGGAGTTGAAATTTGGACCTTGATAAGCGAATCCAAAAGCGTGACAATGCCACATCCTTGCATGTGTTTCTGCTGATAACCAAAAACGCATGAAGCCCATGTTCAATCGATTTAGCTATGGTCCTTGGATCAGCTCCTGCATATGCAAATTTGGTAGCAGAACATATTTCACCCGCCAGAATCTAAATCTAAATCTAACCAGAAATTTTAATTTGCCTTTAATTACTGCATCCTATTCCTTCCCTATCTTAACTCAAACCTGCGCTTGAAAACGTTGCCATGTGCATCCATTTTTTTTTCATAAAAGATTTCGTTTTCTGAAGTCTGAACAATGGGTAAGTCCTGAAGCATATGGCCAATTGAGGGGCCACCACACAAGTTGCTTCTTCAGCCTTTTGCTTTCTATTTGTTGTCCACAAATTTGGCCCCATTTCTTTTGCTTCTTATTTACGGAGTTGTTTTGAAAACTTCATTACTTTGTTTTTGAGAAGGACTTGGGGAAATTTGAAATATCCCCTTATTTGGCTTGGCATGTGATTTTTTTTGCAAAACGAGCAACAGGTTCAGACAAGAGATTGAAAGCGGTGGCATGTGACGATGAGTCAAATTCAAAGCCTTTCATTTACAAATCATGAATTTTTCACGTCAAACTTGTAAATGTTGAAGGGAGTCCACGAAGAAAAAATCATAGCCTTTCGATTATTGTTTGACTCGTCCAATCATGGGAACCAACCAATGTTGAAAATATAAAACACAGTAGCGTAGTATAATAGAAAAAATGTAAAATTAGTTCAGTTTTGGAAAGACATGTTTGAGGGTCAAACACGATGCCAATTGGTGCCCAACAGCACGTTGGAGATTTCTATGAGATTCTTTATGAAATTGAGGTATTTTGGACCCATTCCATGTCAAATGGGACCAAAACAAAACGCGGTGTTTGGTAAAGCACGTTTTTTTGGTAAACTAGACTGACAGCAACAATAATTCACACTTTTTTATGTTCTACTTTTATTTATTTTAATAAATTCCATTTCCCGTACATATATTTATTATATTATTTTATTGGGAGAAATATATATTGGTTCTGGTATCTTCTTCTATTCAATTAAAGTGGGCTATTTGGTTCCTCTATCATACTCTGTCTCAATTTGTGCGTTAATGTTTGATTTTTTTTTTTATCAAATGAACCTAATTTTGATTATTATTTTTTAAAAATATGTTCAAACTTTGTAATTTTTATTTTTTTTTAATTTTAAAATTTTATTATAAATAATGATCAAACTTTTTGGGTGGATTTGAGCCCAATACGAGGCTGGTAATGGATCTGACCAATTTGGGTGTCCGCCTGTCGGGGAAAATGTTTTAGCCATATGAGTGGGCTTGGACAAACAAAGCTAGTCAGGTCGATATGAGTTATGGACTGCGAGTGATTCAAGCCCACGGATGACAGCAGTCACTGATGAAGGATGGTCGACGCCAACCCTGAAACTGCCAGTGAGTTCATCCCATACGAAAACAGCTACTTTCAGTTAGCTGAAAGTAGCGTTTACATTTCTAACAGGGACGTCAATCTTACGAAACTCGGTTTTTTACTCGAACGAGAATGGAGATAAAATATCATATTATAAATATAAGAACGAAAATAGGTATGATTTTAAAATTTTATCGAAAATAAAATAAATAATATAATATTTATTTTGTAGTCATATCTAATATATATTTATATATATTTAGTATAAAAATTTTTTGTTAAGTAATATAAATTATTATTTTAGATTAATTAAAATTAATATATTTTTATTGAAAAAATGTATATTTATAAAAATTATCTAGATAAAATAAAAACAATTTTTAGTTTTTTTGTTAAAAACTATAATTACATGAATTATTCATACACATTAAATATTTATGAAAATAAAAATAAATTTAAATTTAAAATATTTATTGAATATAAATATGAAGATAAATATAATATAAAAATTAAAAAACGGAGATAAAAAATGTTTTATCTTACCTATATCTTACTGACATCCTTAATTTCTAAGTTGATTTGGCAACTAAGATCAATATGTAGAAGCTGAGATTTTGGAATATGTAAAGGCCTGAGTTAGGGGCCGAAACAAACTATAACCGGCAGATTTGAAAGTGACAAAGGATCTGAAATGTGTTACCAATTCCAAACCATTTACAATATCTTCCAGCAGCAAAGAATGATTTATATTACTGTTACGCTCATCTGCTTAAGTCAACATAGTCAACGTACACTCAGTTACCATGATATATTTTTCCAAAAATTGGTTTGCCCTTCGAAAAGGAAAAGCTTGTCCAACATTTTTATTGATATTCTATTAAATTATCACTTTAAAATTAAAATTTTAATTTATTTAAAATTATTAAATACAAATCAAATTCATTAAAGATTATTAAATACAACTTATAATTACCTACGTGAAACTTTTTTAAACATATCGTATATTTTCTATCAACATTATCAACCGTTACAGTCAAATTACTGTCTTTTTGGTAAGAGAAAAATCAAGTACGGAAGACCCTAAAACCTAAGCCTTGTTTCCATTTATGCTTCCTTAGTACACTCCACTCATTTTTTTTTTCAAAAAACCTTAAATATTTCATTGACTTGAGCTTCGGAGCACTCCTCAAAAACCAACTTCGACGTTCCCTGACCGTATTTTCTGACTGTAGATTCAGATCACCTCATCCTCAACCTCTTGTCAACTCTTTCCAGTTAAGATACCCAAAAAAACCATCAACAATTGTTACGAAAAATAATACATCAGAAAAACAACAATTTCGAAGCCATACTTACATGGTGAAAAGATAGAATGTATGCCCCTAATACAACTGAACTAAAAGCCTAAGCCTACGAAAACGGCATCTATTTCCATTAGTTATACATTGCTCTCAACCATGTTGACCTTTGAAACAGCAGGCATAGTTGAATTCTCCCCATTTTGCTTCCCATTCACATCTTTTTCACATTTTCTATGACGACAGAACTGGGAAACATGTCCCTTCTTGCCACAATAGTTACATATGAAGGGCTTGCCATGCATTTCTGATTCTCGCTTTTTCCAAGACACCCCTGGTTTTTCCGTATCTCTATAATCGGGCCAAAATTGTAAGCTGGTTGAAAGATTGCAGACTTTGAATGCTCTGCTTGTTTGACTATGTTACGAGACTCTTTCACAAATCTTATATGATCCAACAATATCCAAAAGGAAACCTCTCAGGCACAATAAGCTCTTATCGAGTAAAATTAGGATTTTTTCTGCTTCCTTCTAGTTATAATTTACATCTGCAAGACATAGATACAAGCAACTCAGCAGTTACCCCTTTTTTAGGCATTACTGAAACTTCCTGTATATTATTGACAGCCTAGATAACATTAAATAATATTTTATCGCTGACTTCAAGACTCAAAATACAATCCCACCTTAGTTTTGATTGCATTTTTGTGACAGCTTCATTAATTGCAGGGAAACTATTCTTTCAAGCTGACCAGGTTTCGCTCGTTAAACTAATTCCTGGAGTAGGAAAAAGGAAATGGACGTTGAGGGAAAAGCATTTGGTCCCAATACAGAATAATAGCATGATAAAACAAACAGCTCTGACAACAGAAAAAAGAACGAAAAATACAAAATCCTTGAGACATTAAGATGAGCAATTCGGTCATAGTATGGAGGGCAGATACTCAAAACGACAATTCGATCGGTAAAATAGATATTCAAAATAACAATTCGATTCGTAAAATAATAAAGGAGTGTGAATCATTATTTCTCAATCCGGACGCCGGAGTCATATAAAACGACAACAGGAAACTAAGCCTTTTTTTTTTTTTTTCCATGATGTGCAGTTGGTTATATGAAAGGAAAAAGGATATTGTGAAAGAAAAAAGGGGCAGCAAATGAAGCAAAGACAGATAGCATAGCCAGCTTCTAAAGTAACAACCTTTATTCATTAGCATTCTCAGTTTCCAAAAAACGAAATAAATCTTTAAATTACTAATCAATAAATAAATTTTACGTCCATTTGGTAAAAACTGCAAAATTTTTTTCTACAATTTCTTCGAGCCAAAGAAAAAGTGAATGGTTTTAAACTTGCAAATAAGGCTATTTTATTCCTGATGCTTCTCCTTTGTTAAAAATAAATTAATCGATCAAGGCGAAGTCCAGGTCCATGGAAGCTTTTGTTGAAAAACGCGAAGAAACTAGGACAATCTCTCAAGGCTGACATTGGGCTTCTTGGGGTAGTTCATTGTTTTGATTGGGCTCCACGGGAGGCTTAGAGGCCTAAAGTTACAACTATGCCCAAGGCCGAGCCCGTGATAGCTATTGCTAGGCCTCGCTTGGTTGGTGGACCACATAAGCCACTGATTAATGTTGTACGAATAAAATTGGTAATCTTTTCGGAGTCGTTATCACGATATCCACTATCAGTGTGATTAATTTAAAATTAAAATTAAATAAATTATATTATTTTTATTAATCAAATAATTAAAAAATTAATTGACAGAATTTAATTTGATTGATTTGATTAATTTTTTATTAATTAAATAATAAGATATATTTAAATAAAATTATTTTTTAAGTTCTTAATTTTTAATATTTAAAATTAAAAAAAAATTTATCTAATAAAATATTCAAATATTCAACTATTAAGTTAAAAATTCCAATAACTTATAAAATAAAATTATTCATTTCATATGTTTTTAGTTTTACATAGAGTTTTGTTATGTTTTGTCTAATATTTTTTTAATTTAATTATCGAATCAAAAAAATTTTAAAATTATTTTTAATAATTGATTAAAATTAATTTAATAATCAATTGATTGATCAAATTAACTTAATTAGATCAATTAATTTATTTTAAATAAAAAAGATTTGATGAAATAGTTATGCTACATGTATCACTTCAATTAAAATAATATCATAATCATTATTAAAAAATTAATTATTTATTATAAAATAATTAATTAATATATTAAAATAAGTATTTATCATTTAATTATCATATATGATTTATAATAAATAATTACTTTTTTATAATATAATTACGTAAAATAGTTTGAATAAAAAAATATAGTATGAGATAACTATTTTATCCAATTTTTTTCTTAAACAGCCCTATTTTAGACAGTGATGCTCAGATACACAATTAATTATTTGTATAATGACCTTTAAACGGATTTTTGAAAAAAGAACAAAATAACTTATCACACTGACAGTTCACTTGTTAACAATTACAGCCCGAACGTTGCGTTTTGAACCCTGCGTGCGTGCGTGCGTGCGTGCGTGACTCTTTGCCTCTTTTCCAACTCAGCTTTCTCTTTCTGTCTTGCCGTTACCATCTCACATTATTACTCTCACAACGATCTACGAAAAATCTATTCCACATTCTGTCGTCGAAGACATACAAATTTGTATTGCTCCAGGTGCCTTCTTTCACCTTCAAAATTTATATGTAAGCTTATTTATTTAAATAGAAAACATATAAATTTGGAAACTTTTCTCCTTTTGTTCTCAACAACCTTAACTAGTTTGTGAAAATGCCTGAACAAGAACCTGTTTTAATTTGATATTATAAGAATTAAGATCCTAAAGCCGTATTCTTTTTTTTTTTTTTGTGACAGCCTTGATCCTTGGCGTCATGCTTCTTCGTCGACTTGCTGTGGTAGTTCCTCGCTCCACAAGGTTCTTCAGCAGTAAAGATAGCCGTGACCTTGCAAGCACCATAGCTGAACTGAATAAGGTATTGCTAATAGTATATGTTTATCAATTAAAGCAAAGGCAATTGGCATACCTTTGCTTTTTAGTTTTCCTAATTTTTATGTTCTATATTTACCATAAGGAAAAAAAAAAGTAGAAAACTGAAGAGATATGCATTGCTTTGTTATTATTTGCTTGTTTGATAGGAGATGACGATAAAGGACTAGCATTTGCGGCAATTTGATAATTACTGAACTGAAACCATATTTGGAATTTTCTTTTTTGATTGGATATATGTGATTCAACTTTCAAGCCCTGGTTTAATGTCTCTGTTTTTGGTCCTATGACTGGTAATATGCCCATTACTTTCTTTGTATCTAAATCTAATACTAATATTTTGTTCTCTAGAGGAACAATTATTTTTGCGTTTATGTCCTAATTTTGGTTTCAGGAAATGGAATCAGTCTTTGGTGAACCTCCTCCGAATGAATCTGTCAATTCTGGGAATAAAAGTTTCATGGGTCAAGACTCCCAACATAATTCTCATGTGATTTTGGGTTCTGCTAGTAATAAGTTTATGGCTTAAGAACTTTACTCTATATCTCAAAATTTAGATGAAAATGCGTCTGACCCATGTTGGCAGCACAGGGAAAGCCCAAATGGTGGATGTCTCACCCAAAGAAAATAGTAGTAGAACTGCTACTGCTAGTTGCAAGGTAGTTTTGGGTAAGAAGGTGTTTGATTTGGTCTTGGCCAACTAGATGGCTAAGGGAGATGTTCTTAGTGTGGCAAAAATTGCTGGCATAAATGGTGCAAAGCACACCAGCACTCTAATCCCACTATGTCACAACATCATTTTGAATCATGTTCGAGTTGACCTATCACTCAATCCTGAGGATTTTGTGTTGAGATAGAAGGAGAAGCAGCTTGTATAGGTAAAACTGGGGTTGAAATGGAAGCGATGACAGCTGTGAGTGTTGCAGGATTAACAGTGAATGACATGTGCGAGGTAGCTTCAAAAGACATCCAGATCACAGATATGCGGCTTGAGTGTAAAACTGGTGGGAAGAGTGGATACTGGTGCAGGGAGAAATGATGATGTTTCAAAAGAAGATTTTGACGCAGAGTGCTGCCAAATGTTGTGGAGATTAGTGTTTTAGTGGATATTTGCATTTTTCATCAGAATGGAAATATTCCTCATTCTTGTAAACATGAAACTTGGAGGCATAATTCATGTTCTCAATTCAAATTTACAGTCAGAGGTATGATAATGTATGACCAATATGCAAGTTGAAACTAATCTTACCTCTTGCTAATTTTTTTTTGAACTTTTTAATTGTCAAATATTCCAAAGTTTTAAGCAATTCATGCACATGAAAAAATAAAACAAAGAAATAAGAGATCTTGAATTATAATAAAATGTTCAATATGATTCTTAAATTTTAAAAATCTTTAACGTGTTATGTAAATTATGAATCGTTAACTAATATGGTAATTAAAAGATTATTTGTCTATCACATGTTATAATTTAAAGTTAATTTCATTAGGGGTGAATATCACGTTAGTTAATAGATTCATAGATCATATATTATATTAAAAAATTTTAAAGTTAAGATATCACATTAAATATTTTAGAAGTGGGTATCATATTAAAAAATTTTAAAAAGTTAAGATATCACGTTAAATATTTTACTATAGTTCAAGAATCATTTTTGACATTAACCCTAATAACAAACAAAAAGGGGAAGGGGGGAGAGATAGTGTTACCTATTTGGGAAGAAGATCAATATCACACCTTTTTTAGAAGTGTATTAACCGGAAAGTATTGATTTTTACGGTTAAAGAAGGCATAAACTAGATAGAGAGAGAGATGTGGTAGTCAATATGTGAGCCTTTGAAATATGCAACTTTTAGTACGGTTATTAAGTGGAAAGCATAAATATCTACATTTACAAGAGGCAAAAGGTTGTTGGGGAATGCCTGTGAAGATAACCTTTAGTTCCTGCATACTTCTAGTGCTAACAGGCAAGGACCCTATGTGACTGATCAGGAAACTGCAAGAAATGTGAAGGACAAACTCTAACAGATAAATTGTAGAACTGATGATTTAATTCTTGGGATTATTTTACAGTTTACAAGTTAGACTGCAATCTGTAAGTGAAATTAGATTTAAAGTAAAAAGGAAGAATAATGTCAGAATTAGCATCTAACTATTGAATAATTGTTGATTTATGGGATTAACATTGTAATAATTAGACCTTAAATTGACCTACCTTTTCTTTTTCTCGGGTTCATTGGGAGCCAATATTGCAAATATTTTTTTCTCATTCTAATTAGCAGATTGCTTTATTTGGTTGTTGAATCTAAAGATAACTTCTAAATCTGATGTTTGCTTTAATTAGTTAGTTTCTTCTCCTTGAAGTTTACTTTAGGATGTCATTTTGAGATATATATCATTCATTGCCTAGCAAGGCAGCGACCAAAAGGGAAAGCCAAAGCCCTTTTCTTTTTTAATAGTTTTTTTCATGATTCTTTATTTAGATTTTTTTTAAACAACTGCAATCATATATAGGAATTAGGATCCAATTCTGAGGGCTTGTTATATTTTGTCACTAACTGGTTGAATTGGATGGCATCATGGACTGAGAGCATAGACATGGCTATTTATGTGAAAAAGTCTAAGACATGTCAAATGCTTATGTATCATTTACTTTATCTTTACTGTCTTGGATTTGCCCTAATAAATAATAATGTCCTTGTTCTGTAATTCCTTATTGAGTCTCCCATTTAGCAATCTTTGCAGCTTATTATCTTCTTGTTCCTCTACTCTCCTTTTTGGCTCTTTGGAAGTTCTTACCCCACACGGTATGAGAAACAGGTTTCAATTGAAATTTATGTAAAAGAGAAAAGTTGATGTTTCTCTCAGCTGGCCATTGTGCTAAACCTACCTTCCAAGAATATTTTTCTTATGAAACAAAGGATCCTTTAAAGTTACTTGTGGGCTTTCTTATCCTCTCTTTATTTTTTTTTCCTGATCCAATAAATTACTTCTTCTATTTTTATTTTTTTTTTGGTTTCAAAGGGGGGGGGGGGGGGGGGCATTATGTTTATCTGCTATCCCCTTTTTTAGATGCATTCCTGACAAAAGGCTAAACATCAGAAACTTCATAAAAATTTTCCTAATTCACATTTATTTGCTATCCGACTCAATAAGAAATGAATATGGAACAGGAAAATACTTGTGGAAATCAATGCGATATGGTGAATATATATATATATATATATATATCTGCATTCTTGAAGAAAAAGATATGTGCATTTATTATACAACATGCCATGCCGCTGCGGCTACTAGTTTTGCAACCTCTTCAAGCATTTACTTTCTTTATCCTTTACCTGTCAAATTTAGTTTTGGCCGTAAATAAGTATCCACTGTATACTGGTCTGGATTTATATCTTGATCTTCCAGGGACATGAATTTAAGAGAATCCGATGACTTGGTTGGTTAGCTTCTCTAAGTCTATTTATGACTACAGGATTTATACTTTAGGGTTTTAAGGCATAAATTTCATATTAATTATCAAGATCTGCCACATCATCAACATAACAACATCTGCAGCTGAATGATATCCTAGTTTTGGTCATCATCAGCACCTCAGCAGGCACCCTTTTCTTACTAGGTTTTACTGTTCTTTTTAGCAACTTGTTTTGAAACAAAATGCACTCTTGATTCATCTTTGGAGCATTACTTATTTTATCTCTTTCACACCCAAAATAAAAACCATAGCTTGAATAGATTCATCATTCTGATGCATCTCAACTATAGTTTTTGTGATTGAAAATATAACATATAAATATAAAGAGAAAAGTGTAAATATCAGTATATTGTTTGGTGAGAAGTGCGGTAGCAGAAAGGTGTCCCATTAATGACAACTGGACCTACAACTTTCTGTCTGTTACCCTTTCATGTCAACTTTCTAATAAAATATATTCCAAGTGGAGTACTCTCGAGTCTTGACTAGTACATCTTCACGTTCTAATACTACCCGACATTCTCAGTATTGAGAAATCCTGAGAAAGATTGCGTCATTGTGGCCTATCTTCTTGTGAACTTTCTCTTCGTGAGGAAAGGGCAAAGGGAGATGGTGAGTTAGAAAACAACAATCAAATCAAAACAAGAAAATCCAGTCACGGATGAAGATCAGCCTTCCAGAAGAAGCTAATCCAAAGGGGGGTGAAAAGCGTCAAATATCTCAAACATTGTTTTATTTCTCATCGATCGGAGGAGCAGGGGAATGCTGTTATGTCGTTGAGGCCAGAGTCATTGGATTGTATAAACAGTGTTGGAAATACTAAAATTGATCACATTCACATGATGTCTTACGACCAATCCAGTAAAGTGGTCTTTTCTAATCTTAATTCTTTCTTTTAGTCAAAATCCAAGAAAATTGTTATACGAATGCAAAGGTTAGCACAATTCACTGTATTGATATAACGAGACAACAGCACTGCCACGTTTCCATAATCCAAATGAGAAGTGCTTCCGTGGCTGAAACCGTACCCATTGGTCCAATGGTACGTTGAAGACTCAAGTCCTCTTTTAGTACTTGCTATATTCAACCAATCACCTGAAAGTTGCATCAAGCTGGTATTCCAATGACCTTTGGAACCTGACTGCTGTCTTGATATGGCTAAGCCAACGCTAAGATATCCCTTCGAAGGACCAAAGGAGGCAGCTATTAGCCTTCATAATTTAAGTAATAACTGCTGAAAAATTAGATGGCCTAAAGTCACGGGGAAAGTTAAGGTAAAGAAAACAAAAGCTTCAATTTCTCCATGATGTTGGCCTTATATTGGTATATGCTGGTGGTCCTCTCCACCTTTCTATTTTTCTTTACTTTGATGTAAACTCATTATTACTTTTCGGTAATTCACTCTTATGCACTTTTTCTTTTGGTGCATGCAGTCTCAAGCAGGGAAGTTTCCGTAAACATTTAAGAACTGATTTCTATGTTGACTCTGCAAATTAATTACTATAGACAAGCTTCACTTTGGCGTTTCACACAAAATTTTTAACCAGAAACGTTTGGATTTTATTCAATGATAGTTTTGTAATTTTATGTTGTCTCCATCGAATTATCATAACCAACACTGTGCAAAAATCCAACTACCGGTATGTTTGTAGCACATGCCCAGCATCAGGTAGTCAACAAAGGTGGGCACCCCACCATGTCTTCCCCGTAAACAAGTAAACAACAACAGGGGCATGGATGGCTGGAGAATCTGCTAAAAAGTCGACTGTTGGAATGCGTGGCATAGATAAGATCATAGGAGCAATTGCAGTTTTCTTCTTTACCTGTTATGAGACTCTGTTTTGATTGCAATCATGGATGTTTAGAACTTCTGCTTACCATGTTGGCCTCTGGTGCCCAGAGGGTTGAAGTACAGGGAAGGAGATTTTTTTTTCCCCAGTACTTATCATTCTTCATTTCTTGTCACACTGTTTTGTTTTCCATTAAAAATATCATTTCAACTCATTAGAGATCTATTAATTATACGGTTCCGAAACCAAGATTGAAATTAAGAATTGACATTTGACATTTTTCTGTAAACTTCTCCATTTCTTCAATTAATGCAACAAGAACATGTCTGTGGGAAGTAAGACCAAAACAAAATTATTCATATTAAGATCAATTAAGATATGACCAAAAGCAATGACACTATATAAGTGATGGATTGGATATATATTGGCCCCAATCGTATAACTACCAGGAAACTTCTGATTTCAAATGAATACAACTGATACACACTTGCATGAACATGGCAGATTTTTTTTAATTAATTATCTTAAGGACAATGTTCAAAGATCTGAAACAGGGATTCTTATTTATTATGCTTGTGAAAATTTAGAGCAGAGACCAGTTCTCATGAAGCAATTATTTTATTAAACTTGGTACTATAGTAGAATAATCACAAGAAGACAGGAACCTCCATCCCTTTCCAACGCATGTGCTGCAGAATGCAGTGGCCCAGAACCGAAGTTGATGATTTTACCGTTTGATGTGATCAAATTACAAACAAGTAGCTACAAGCCAAGGGTTCGAATATTCAAAATATTCAACTCATTAAGAATTAACATATGATCGCCTCTGTAATCTTAATTAGCTGGACATAATTTTCTTAACCTCTCGAAGATCTCACTTAAGTCAGATAATTCTTGTTGCACAAGTGAGTTGGGTTCTTGCTTTCACACCCAAAGTTTTTAATATATTATAGTCGTGTTGGCATTGCCGCGAAGCTCCACTGGCAAATGGGTGCTGATCATGATGGGGCCAAGCTGCATGTGCCTGTAACCCACACAAAATCAGCTATCATAAGGATACGTCATTTTCTTACAAAGATGTAAGCCTATGAGTGGAGTACTGGGCTTGATGAATGGAGCACCTTGTTCAGATATTACAAGCCATTTATATACACTATGCTTCACCTTTACCACCCCTATCGACAAATCTAGGATATGTATTTGTGTCTCATCAAACCTTAATATACATCTCAAATGTGCGTAGATTCACACGTAACTTATAAGATATTATTCGTTTTAATTTAAAAATTTTATAATTTTATCTCATATAAAATATCTCATAAATTTAAGTTTAACTCTCAATATATATATTATATCTACATATCTTTTCAATATAGAACTGAAAGGGTCACAAAATATTAAATAAAATAAATTAATAGTTGAGTGATTTGTTGATAAAATATTAAAATTTAATTTTAATAATATGGATTTAAATATTGATAGTCGTAAATACTAAAAATAGTTAGACAAAATAGACATAGCTGATTTATATATTATCAAAAAGTTTCACAGCAAGCTCCAGCTTGACGAATCTTGTAAGGTTTGTAAAGGGAAAGGGAGGTTGGGAAGTAGCTTAAGACAAGAATTCAATGAAGGGAAGACATGAGTCACGGCAGTAAAGATGACACTTTCAAAAGAAGCTGAGACCTAAGAACATGAAAAAGCTTATGAAATATATCTGGGACGTGAGTCATCGTTTTGCCACCTGATCTAGAGAACTGGTAACATAGGAATACCGTCATTGATTCGTTGCTATCAGACTCAAACAAATCTTAGGAGCAGATAGACTTTGGTGCAAACGCAATGAACTTGTTGGAATTTTTGACAAGAATCGGATGATGTTTTGGATCATTTAACTCTCGTGGCCAAAAAGAACAAAAAATTTGTAGTCGATTAGTTTGTGAATTAAAGAGATTGCTTTCTTTGCCCAATTTTTTGAAGTTCATTTCATTCAGTCGTACAATGTTAAGTAAATAATTAATGCATGAGGAGTAACATTCAGAGAAGTGGATTACTATAGAAATCAAACATAAATTTCATAAAATTAAATCAAAATGAAAGTGAACAAAAACATACCTCGAGCCATTTTCATCTCTACTGCAAGACATACTCCCGCTCCCTTTTACCTTTTAGGCATTAGTTTGGATTCACACCGGATCTGGGGTCCCAAACCCAAAAACAAGAAAAACCAGACCACAAGGGTAAGACAGACATTTTCGGTTTCTTCCACTTAGAACTTGGAAGTAATAAGACGGGGGTAATGATAAGATTAAACCAGAAAACGTGATAAATCCACTAACTAAAGAAAGAATGAGTGTAATAAAGAACCGCGTTACTCCGTTCACATTCCATTATTTAAATTCTCCCTGCAAAGTGCAAACTCCATAACCTCACTCGAATCAATGGGAGAAATATCAAAAAACACCCTTCTCTTTTCCTCCTCCATTTTTCTCCTCCTCCTTTCTCTCTCCGCAGCTGTCTCCTCCCCATTCCACTTCCAAACCCTAGTGCCCGGCCGTCTTCCTTCACCTCCCACTCTCTCATGGCACGACTCTCTACCGGAATCCAATTCCCTCGTCGAAAACTCCGAACTCGACACTGTTCTTTCCAACACGACACTGGAAGTGCAGTTAGAATTGCACCATGTGGACGCTTGGTCTTCGGAAGAGACTCCGGAGCGACTCTTTGACCTCCGACTCCAACGCGACGAGCTCCGTGCCCAGACAATCTACTCCCTTGTTTCGAAAGCTGTTGCGCGTAACCCTCCACGCGCGCCCGGAAGACGTTCTGGGTTCAGTAGTTCCATTATTTCCGGACTCGCTCAAGGTAGTGGAGAGTACTTCACGCGCCTTGGTGTCGGTACTCCTCCGAGGTATCTTTATATGGTGCTCGACACTGGTAGCGACGTTGTTTGGGTCCAGTGTTCACCTTGCAAGAAATGCTACTCTCAATCGGACCCGATTTTCGACCCGACTAAATCACGCTCTTTCTCCCGTATTCCTTGTGGATCCCCGCTTTGCCGTAGCTTAGATTCATCGGGATGTAATAAACGCCGAATGTGTCTTTACCAAGTATCCTACGGCGATGGTTCGGTTACTTTCGGCGACTTCTCGACTGAAACGCTGACGTTTAGAAGAACTAGAGTGGGACGCGTGGCGATCGGTTGTGGTCACGACAATGAGGGCTTGTTTGTTGGTGCAGCAGGTTTGTTAGGGCTTGGTCGGGGGAGATTATCATTTCCCTCCCAAACGGGACACCGGTTCAACCAGAAGTTCTCTTACTGTTTGGTCGACCGGTCCGCTTCTTCTAAACCGTCCTCCATGGTTTTCGGTGACGCCGCCATTCCCCGAGCCGGCCTATTCACTCCTTTGTTAACAAACCCGAAGCTCGACACTTTCTACTACGTTGAACTGCTTGGTGTCAGTGTCGGTGGGACCCGTGTCTCCAGGATCACGCCTTCTTTGTTCAAAATGGGTCAAGATGGTAACGGAGGGGTCATTATCGACTCAGGTACGTCCGTGACCCGCTTGACCCGACGCGCTTACATCGCAATGAGGGATGCTTTCCGGCTTGGGGCTTCGAATCTGAAACGGGCGCCTGATTTCTCATTGTTCGACACATGTTTCGACTTGTCAGGGAAGACTTCCGTTAAGGTGCCGACGGTGATGCTGCATTTTAGAGGAGCTGATGTGTCATTGCCGGCGACGAATTATTTGGTTCCGGTTGATTCCGGGGGGACTTTTTGCTTTGCTTTCGCGGGTACCATGAGCGCTTTGTCCATAATTGGAAATATCCAGCAACAAGGTTTCCGGGTTGCTTATGATTTGGCGGGTTCTCGAATCGGGTTTGCCCCCCGTGGATGCGCTTAAAAATGGCGTTAGCTTTCTTTTTTGGAGTGTAAGAAGGGAAGAAAAAAGAATCTTTCTTGGATTTGGATGTAAGAAAAACAAGAGATGATAAAAAGGCAGGTAGCTGGTTAGGAGAAGGGAATGTCATTTGGCTGTTTTCACGAGTTGTCTGTTGTATTTTAAAAATATGATGATGATCGACTGCTCAAGAGAATTGTTACTCTGATATAGGGGTAATATATTTATATATATTTTTTATTGTAAGTTGAATTTAACTGCTATATGTTGAATATCAACAGCATTTGCATCATTATTTTCTATTTCTCGTTGTTGCCTGTATTTTCCTCATTGTGGATTTCGAATTGGTTGAAATGATGATTCACTTAAGAAGGTATTGAGATCCTGTGAAGAGCATTGATCATGGTTACGAATGATTAGTGATATATCGTTGATAAGGCTTCTTTTATTGCTTTGCATCTCTAGCTAAAGAGATCTTACCCTGTTTAAATGGAAGAAGAGGGTGTTGAGTTACTTCTATTCCACTCTTCTCATATTTGCATCAAGCTGGTGTTCTATTATTCTTCTACCTGGTGGCATCGTGTCTTGAATTGAGATCTTCAAGAGATCCGACGGCTGGTTGTCCAACCATAAGCAAGTGGTTGAGACAGACCAGACCATTGTAACTTCTTTTTCACAGGGCATTGAAGGAGTGGCTTGGCACATGTTAATACGGTGGATGTATCGTTAATATGGTGGATGTAACAAAATTTGCCATACAAGTCCAGCAAACTGCTTTATTTTTTTGGTTTAAGGTAAGGGGAAATTTTACCAGTATTCATTTACTCAATTTCACTCTTAAATTCTACACATTTGCATTCAAAGTGTTGTGCCCACCTAGAGTTTTATGTATCTGAATGTCACTGCTAGTGCCATGTGATAGAATGTAGAATAAACTGTATGAGACTCAATGGCAGATTCCTCATTGAAGTACTTACATGGGCTGATCCCACATAACTGGTCCTAGTAAATCAGATACAGATATTCTTGTAAGTTTGTAGGCAAGCATGCTCCTTTTTCTTCCCAAGCCCCCTCCCAATATTAAGGCTTTACAGTTTTTATTGCTCTTTATGGGATCTGGTCTTGATTACTTGTTCCCGTTTTATTTAACAGCAGAAAAATGTACATAGAAAACTATTTTGTGCATCAATAGTTGTACTGGTCAGTTATTACAATCTTACGTTTGCTGTATCCCATAATGTTCAAGAATGAATTACTTCTAGCTTTGATTTGGACGGTAAGTTCAATAAAAAAACATTTGGGACGGAAGTTTGATAAGTCACTAATGCCAGTTTTCTGTTCCAGTTGTAACAGGAAGCATTATTATTCGATTGCAATGGCAATTTTTGGGACGTTTTGGTTGCCAAGATAGAAGCCTTTTGCTTTCTCTAATGATAGAGTATGGTTTCTACATTATAATGCTATATGAGAGTAACAATCTTCTTTTGTTTGTTGATATTGCAGTTGGTATATTGTTCTGTCTCCTCTTTTTTGCAGTTCTGGCTGCAAGGAAGTAGTCATCAGAGTCCTATCCTGTCATAGTGGGTGCCTATATTTACTTTATAAAGAAGCTCTGCCTTTTCTCAGGCCAATTTACAAGAGCCGGGCTTAGAAGTAGAGATTATATTTTCAATTGAATCAAGCTGTAAATCTGGTTTGGTGGCATCAGATTTCATTCTGGCGTTGAGTACTAGCCTTTTTGTAGCTTGAGCTGTTTATCAATTACTTTCCCTGGACCCTGATTAACAATCCATTAAACTGAAACTGGGACAGTGGGTTGTGAAAAGACGATACTGTTGGTGAAAACCCGTAGGACACTCCATTTCATTATTGTTACTGTATTACGAAATCTAGGGTCATGGCATCAAATTTGGCAATTAGCAATTGAGCACATGGATCAAGTTAAGGCTAAGAAAAGAAAACTGAACTTTCAACTTTATTTAGTACGTTGGCATATGAGCGGTGGCTCCCTCCACCTTTTATGTTTTATGTTTTCCTTCATTAGAAATCAATCTTCCTTTTTTTTGTCTATAATGGGACACTTTGGATGAGCAAGCAGGAAACTAGGGCGAGTTTCTTATATGATATTTAGTAATTGACTTATTTTGACTTTGCAGATTAGTTGGTTTGGACAAATTTCACTTTTACTCCACCTTAACAAATGAAATTTTTCCAAGGGAAGGTTCCTTGTTCATGCTTCATGTACATCATTTAAAGTCTACTAGAGTTCTAGTAAAAGAATGAAAGTACCCACTGGTTGCTTTGTGGCATCGTAATGGAAGAATATTCCTTTATTTTCACTTTTCATTCCATTATTTTCAATTACAAAAAAAAAAAAAAAAATCCATCATTGAATCGATTTGGTTTTTTAACTGGGAGAATATTCTCTTAATTATCTAATCTACTTTTGATACTTGTTTTTTATATTTATCTGATTTAAAAAAAAATACTTTGTGCATGAATTTTTTTTCAAATTTATATTTTTCAAATGTCAACATCAATGATATGTTAATTAATCCATATATATATATATATATCGGTAACTTGGAGAATATGATTAAGAACTATAAGTAGCACTTACATTTTACAGAATGTGAAAAACCATTATCTTCTAATAATGCAAGCACTGCTCTTTCTTTATCTTGTTATAATTTAGCAAAGCAATCATGAGAAACAATGGAATCTACATCCCTTTCCAATGCATGTGCTGTAGTGGCCCATGAAGAACAAAACATTTTGCCCAATATATATTTTTTTCCATGCGATGTAATCTTAAAGGGAATAGAATAAATGAAGCCTTGAATCTTGACCTGGGACATCGAGAAAACAGTCAATCACTGTTCCAGAAACTTAAGAGAGTATTAGGTATATATACATGGGATTTGTCAAACTGCCTAGCTTCAATAAAGAGCAAGAAATTCAATTTTCTAAATGCATTAGTTGAGTAATTTTTAAGCCTTTTTTGAAGATCAAACTTGATTTATAATCTACCCAAATCAATAAAAGATTTCAGCACAACTACCAATAAGAAGGTATACCATTCCAATTGAGGACCACAGCTTCATATTTCAATCCTTTTCCTTGAGTGGTGAGTTTTGTCTTTTTTTTATGATTTTTTCCAAAAAATGTAAGAAAATTCGAAAAGATGATAGATTATTTAAGTTCTAATTTCAATGATCAAATTCAATTTTAAATTTTCAGACATAATTAAAAAATGTTATTTCAACTTTTGGGTTCTTAGCTTATGCTAAAACCATGCCCATTTATTGATCCTATTCTTACAGAGTTAGGCCCAAGATTTACTTTACTTTTTGGGCTGAACTCTGACTGCCCAAATCTCCAAAAAAGCCACGTTGCAGGCCTTCTTTACAAAATGCCACGTAAACCAAATTTAACCTTTCCCTTGGCTTTGAAACCGCCGCTGTTCGTTAACTGTTGACTTTGCGCGCATTGTAAAATTAAGGAGAAGTTTCAAAACCCTATATAAATTAGGGATTTTGAAAAAAAAAAAAAATGGAAAGCTGATAAGATTGGGGATGGGGATGGAGATGGAGGAGAGAGGAAATTTTAGGGCTTTGATAGAAAAAGCCGCGAACTAAACGGCTGCCGAGGTTGATCCATCCTTCTCAAAGCAATCTAATCGGTGGTCCGGTTCTGTGATTCGGAGCTCCGAGTCGCAGCCCATAACCTGATGGACCTCATGAAACGCGATCATTCCTAGGTTCACTATCTATCTTTCTTTTATTAGTTACTAAATATGCATATTTTGAATTCCGTAACATTTCTCATTTTTTTCTTGGTTTAATTCAATTTTAATTTTGCTACTTAATGCATGTTCTGATATCTCGTTTCAAGAGTTTCCATTTATTTTTGAAACAAAATTTAGGATCTTTTCTTTTGAACAAGTATTCATTTATTGGTTTTAATGCAAAAAAAGAAAAAAAATCCATAAAGATTGGTGTTCAAGGAATTTGAGTTTTGAGACTTGTTATTGCAGGTTCGTTATCTCACGCTTCTTATAATTGATGAACTTCTCATGCGGTCTCAGCTTTTTAGAACCCTTCTGATTGAGAACTTAGATCAGCTGTTGGCCTTAAGCGTCGGATTCAGAAGAAAACTCTGTTAAGTTCTAAGGCCAAAGCTAAAGACTGCAGTAACTTAAGTTATAAGGGCAATGAGTCTCTGGGTAGTGAAAACTCTGTTAGGAGTAAGCTTTTGGCTGAAGCTCCAGTTGTCGAGTGGGGTTCTTTCTGGATAATTGGGGCTCCGTCTCTAATGGGGATATGTTGGCTAATCACAGAGGCTTGGAGGTTGAAGGTCACTGGGAAAGAGTAGATTATGATGCTGTAATTCCGGCAGAAAAATTTGTAGAATTGAATCTTCAGGCGTCTGTTTACCAGGAAAAGTTAGGAGAAATCCAACCATGCCGTGCACCTTTTAACAAAGGTGGACTTTGTCAGAGAAGAGATTTGAGGGTTTGCCCATTCCATGGGCCCATTATGCCTCAAGATGATGAAGGAAACCCAATCTATGAGAATTCTTCAACAGATGATACAAATCCTGATTTAGGGCCTGATTTAGCAGAGCAATTAGCAAAACAAGATGTGAAGAATGTTAGGGAGCGAAATAACGAGGAAGCAAGGAAGACAAAACTTGATAAACAGTCATTACAAGGGGCAAAGCTTGCTAAAGTTTGGGAACACAATGAAGTTCTTCTTCGTGATGCTGCAATGGCTTCAACATCATGATCTGCAGTTGTTGGAGAAGATATGGGGAAAACTATTGGGGAGATCAGTGGGGAGAAACAAACAAACTCTGACATCCATGCTGTGGAAGAAAGTTACAACAAAAGATAGGTTAGCTCAGGGACTTCTGAATACCTGGACAGCAGATGCAACAACAAGTCAGATGACCGGGGTGAGGATGCAACTTATAGAGAAGCCTCTTCCAATCAGTGGTAGATGGTTCCCCTACTAAGTTTTCAGGCATTCGTTGGAGGGTAAATGGCCGTATATCCATAGGCAAGTACTGGACAAACAACTCCAGTGGTGTCCCTGTGCATATATAAACACAAACTGATCGAATATCTATTGCATTAGTCAGGGTACTTAAATGAAATTCCTCTACCACCTGGGGAACCTGTTTGCGTCATTTTGTGAACCAGGGATGACGAAGCATTTAAGCACAGCTGTTATTAGGTTAGTTTATAATATACATAGTTTTGGTTTTTTTTTTTTGAAGATTTCTTTTTACAGATTCTTGGAGACAAATAAAGAGCTAGAATGTTAAATAGGTTTTTTATACAGTAAGTGAGATTTTCTCTCATTGCGAACTAATGAAGTATATTACTCTGTTTTCTTGTTGTAACAGTTACAGAACTTCATTTAGGTTGATTGTTGCCAAGGAAATTTTACTGTATTGTACAGTTAAAATTAAGAAAATGAAATTGCCTAGTTTTCTAACTATGTCACAAATAAATAAGGAAACTTATTCAGGTATATATTTATGATCTAACTGGCCTAAGGCATAAGCTGTTGTCCATAAACAAAACTATTTCCATCACTTGGATAGGTACGAGTTCTTCTCAGAGACACATGCTGTCATGTTCCGAACAACAGACAAAGCCAGGAGGAAACAAAATGTATGTTCGGCCTTCTATCCAGCAAACCAGCTCGGACTTGGGTCGTAAAAATAAAAGTACTAACTACAGTTAAATAGAAAGGATTATTGATTTCCCTTTCAAGTTGAAGTAACGTCGAACCCAAGTCACCTCTCTATGCCATTATTCTCCTAATATTTCTTTAAAACTAATTATAACTAACCCATATTTCTTTTTTATTTTTGAAATAATATTGGCAAATGGCCATTCCACGTTCCAATCACTACATATACGACGACAACGACGTACGTGGATGTAGACCTGACACATCCTAATTGTGAATTCAATTTGTACATAGTTACCAAAAATAGGTAAAATTTTCAAACAAAAATCCTTCAACGATGCTTGAAATTAAACCCTTTTAAGGATACGATGTGATCAACTTGTAGTCGTATCCCATCCGTTGTCTCAAGTTCCAATAAGGTAAGGTTGGCTCCGGCTGAGCTATTTGAGTTTTTTTTTTTTTTGGAGGTTTGATTATATAATCTTACATTAAGTTTACCTTGATATAAATGTTTAATGGTTTTGTTAATGGATGTTTATGAACACTTATTAATGTTAGTTAAATTGTTATTTTAAAATTGATTTTTATATTTAATGCATTATTTTTATCAAATCCAATAAGAGGCAATGCATTAATCATAATTTGTTTTCTTTAAATATCATCTTAACCAATGTCATTACTCATTAGACTTTGGTTATTATTTTTTCAATGTTTAAAACATATTTAAAACCTCAAAATATATTAGTTCATGATTAAATGAACAAAACTTAAATGAAGTTAATTATGTGAGTTTTGTAAATTTATCTTGGAAATCAAAACTTATAAATTAATAAAAATCAATAAAAAATTAATAATTTTTTTAATTAATAAAAATTAATAATATGTAAAAATAATTATTAAAAATATCATTTATAATCAAAATCTTATAAGTATAAAGTATTTATTCAAAAGAAAAAATTCTCATAAAGTTTTAATAAAAATATTTATTTAGAATATCAAAACTTATTATTGTTTTTTAAAAATTTAACAAAATATTTTAATTAATTAATTTAAAATTTTTATTTAAAATTTTTTAATAAAAAACTACGCAACTTTATCTACAAAATTTAATCTAAATCTTGTCATGGTCAGACACGGTAGGGGCAGAAAGCATTGAATGAATAGCGGCCACATGCAATAAATATAGCAAGAACACGATAAGGATAACTGGGACAACTCACCGCAAAAGATGATTCAATTCTTTAATACTAAGCAAATACTAGTTGTAGGCCAGTTGCTCATTCATACACTATAATTATGTGCATGATATGCACCCTAGAAAGTGGCAGGAAACTCATCTCGTCAGCATTTGCTTGAGACCCTGGCCCTACTCTCCCCACTCCCACCAAATCCAAATCTATATACAATTAACAAGCGGTAACAACCAGCATCAATTGTGAAATGTTAGTAGTAAATTTTTTTATTAGTTTAAGTAATCACAGTGGATGATGATAATTACTGTGTGTTTCCTCTCATGATTCCACCTAATCCCCTTATCAATCTTTACTTCTTTTTCTTTAACTGGAAACCGTTTGATGTTGATCAACTGTCTCAGAAAAGTTTGACGGTGACGCACTCTCTCTCTCTTCTCTTCTCTTCTCTTCTCTCTCTGGAGCCAATGAAGAAAGCACAAGAAAAGAGAAATAATAGTTTTTTTTTCTGTGTAGATTGAATTCATTTTTGTCTGGTTTTTTTGACCCATTTTATTCTTTGTTTATTCTTCAATCAACTCAAAAATTGACTTGCCATTCCACAGCCAAAGAAAAGACCGTCTTTTTTTTTTTTCATCAAACAAAGAGCACCCAAAGTTTGTGTCTTTCCAAAAAGGAATTACACCCATCGGTAAATAGCCGATCAAATTTGATTAGTTTTATTTCATCTTCTATGGAATTGGATAGCATTGATTGCATGACATCTTCAGATGTGATTGATGATGATGAGATCCATCATCATAATCATCATCACCATCATCAGTTGCCTTCGTTGTCGAAACCCCATGGCAACAATGGCAACAACAACGGTACTACTTTGTCATCAGTGGTTCACCCAGGCACCACCAGTGTCCATGAACTCCTTGAATGCCCTGTTTGTACCAATTCTATGTACCCTCCTATCCATCAGGTCAGTCTTTAATCCAATTTCTCTGATGGTTTTTTTTTTTTCTTTTGAGGTAAATTGCTTTCTTTTGGGTGTTTGAATAGTTTAAATTTCTTTCTTTTTCTTGGTTTTTTTCTGTCACTTTGTGGCTTTGAGTGATTTATTGAGGTTTAATCTCGTGTTGAATCTGTGTTTTTTTAGGGTTAGAATTAGGACAACAGATTGGAAAAACTTGTTGGCAGGGATGCTATTTTAGGGTGACTTTGTTTAATTGATTCTTTGATATGGGGTTGTGTTAGAGAGGGTGAACTTGAAGGACATTTAATGGATTAGAGGATGGCATGGGTCTAAAGTTGCATCTTTTGGGAATTTGATTTTTGGAATTTCTGTAGTTCGGTTTTGCTGTGTTTACTTAGAAGTACACTACACTGTTTTCTTTTTGTTTTGGGGGATTAAGAGTTAAGACTAAGGCAGATATTCTTCGTTGGTTTTCTTATCCGCCCCTTCTGTAAGTTGCTTACTGCTTCAGTTTTAATTGATTAAAGAAGTTAACATTAGAATCCTTTCCATATAATGATGAAATTTTTAACAGCTTTTCCATGAGTAGGATAGAAAAGGAACAAATAGAAGAGGGTGATGAACTGATCATATTGTAAATGTGAGCGATCAAGACTGTAGTTTTTTGTTTCCTCTCCTGCCCCCTACTCATGAGGATGTCTTTTATTATATTTGGCAAAGGTTTCCTAAGCTGATTGAGCTTTTCAGATCAGGTGCAGGGAATTGTGGATTATTAGCAGAGGTGGCATGCGTATCTGTCTGTTCTGGGAAGGGTATTAGAAAAGTGTGTTTTTAAGTTTGATTTTCATTTTCTCTCATTCTGGAGAGGCTAAGAAGCGCATAGTGAAAAGGAAGCTAAAGACCTTTTAGAATACTATCTGGTCAGGCATATGTAAGAATCCATGTCTATTCCCATGGGAGTTTACTAGGATATTTTGGGAGTCAAGAAAATCAGAGATGGATGTTTTTTAAGTTTCATAATTTCACAGAAAAAAAAACATAGCATAGTGCCTTCATCTACATAATAAGAAATGCTGATAAAGATTGTGTTTATAGCTATAGTAACTGAAGAGTGCCTTAGGGTCTGTTGTTTCTGTTCATCCTTCTCACAATAATGTATTTCCTATGATAAAATACTTGAATTGAGGTGGAGTATCATCTTGAAGTTAAGTGAATTCCGTGCATTTTTCTTTTTTTATTCTTTTTCCTTCTTAGGGGTGCCAGCACATATCATTAGCCCGCACAGGATCAGGTGGTTGGTTAAATAGGCTGCTGAGCAAAATCAATGATGCTTAAAACAGCCTTTTTTCCTTTGTTCTTTCACTTGGGGGTTGGGGGGTGGGGTGCAGGAACTTTGGCATATGTAATTATTTGTTTAGACGTTGTACATCTGCATGTTTTTATGTTGTCTCTGTTGTGTGCTAGTATAACCATATTTGCATGTTTTGCTATGAAAGTTGTCCCAAAATTGTGCCGGTTTCTCAAATTTCACACTTCAAACGCTAGATTCTGTTTTCTAAACCATTGACTTTTGTGCAATAGAGTTTATCAATTTCTTTGAATGCTAGTACCACTGGACTGGATTTCTCATTGTCCTAAGCAGAGAAGATCTAGCTGTCCAAATAATTTGGTACTTATGATAGGTGTTTAATGATTTGTTGTTCCACAGTGCCACAATGGGCATACCCTCTGTTCAACCTGTAAAACAAGGGTACACAATCGGTGCCCCACTTGTAGACAGGAGCTTGGTGATATTAGGTGTCTAGCACTTGAAAAGGTAGCTGAATCACTTGAACTGCCTTGCAAATATACATCGCTTGGATGCCCAGAAATCTTTCCATACTACAGTAAACTCAAACATGAGGCCCTATGTAACTTCAGGCCATACAATTGCCCATATGCTGGATCAGAATGTGCTGTTGTTGGTGATATTCCATTTCTTGTTGCTCATCTAAGGGATGACCACAAGGTGGACATGCACTCTGGATGCACATTTAACCATCGTTATGTGAAGTCTAATCCTCGGGAAGTGGAAAATGCCACGTGGATGCTAACTGTAAGTACACTCATTCTTAAGCATCTTTGTTCTGATTAAGAATTGAACTATATTGGATAAGAATAAACGAGATATGCATCTTGTTGGTAATTTATTTCATTTTTATACATGGAACATGGTCTTGACAATTATGTGACAAGGAGTTCACCTGTATACTCTGTACTTGAAAAGTTACCAGTTTTTCCACATGGTAGCCATACCCTTCACACAAATGCCAGAAGTTCAACTAATATCCATGATGAATAACCAATAATGTACAATTCTAACGATTACGTTATGTAATGTTTGTAATTCCCAAATTATAAAATCGCCCGTTATACTGTTGGTATTTTTTTTTTTTTGGGAGCAAGTGCCTCAACTCGTTAATATTTTTTGAAACTCAAAAGGGAGATTACAATGACAGGATGCTTAGTCTATCCAAAAAATAAATCTTCATTCTTGTTCTTGCTCTCTCTGCCTCCACTGAACCAGTCTGTTGCTTTAATTTTCTTAATAAAATGTATTAGAAATATAGAAATGTGACAATGTAAACCTTGCTAAACCGCTTTGATGTAGATAATGAATAATATGCTGTTGACATATGTTCATTGCCTGTTATTCGAATTTCCAGTCCTGAAGTCAGACAGTATATTACAATCTTCTTAAAATTTCCTAAATACTAAATGGTTTGTATCTTTCGTAATCTCTGTTTAGGTATTCCACTGTTTTGGCCAGTACTTCTGTCTCCATTTTGAAGCCTTCCAGCTTGGGATGGCCCCTGTTTATATGGCATTCCTTCGATTCATGGGCGATGAGATTGAAGCTCGCAACTACAGTTATAGCCTAGAAGTCGGTGGGAATGGCAGGAAACTCATTTGGGAAGGCACCCCAAGAAGCATAAGAGATAGCCATCGAAAGGTTAGGGATAGCCATGATGGCCTTATTATACAGCGTAACATGGCGCTTTTCTTCTCTGGAGGGGATAGGAAAGAGTTGAAGCTGCGAGTAACGGGACGGATATGGAAAGAGCAACAAAACCCAGAAGGTGGTGCCTGCATACCCAACCTTTGTAGTTAAAATGTCCAGTTTGGATCCCTGCTGCACAACCAATTATAATGTTTGCTGCATATTCTTGTAATACTAATAGTAGCCTGCTGTTATTGTTGAAGATTCTGGAATTCTGTATGGATATTGAAGGCTTAATCCTTTTCTCAATTAACAATAAGCTTCCCAGCTCTTTTTATAGCCTCAAAACGAAAGTTCTATATGGTCTGCATAATATTGTAAATATTAGAAATGCAGTCTAAATGAAATCATCTATCAATTCCCCTTGCAAAAGCCAATCTTCTCTCGATGAGAAATTTTGGTTTAGTAAACAACTAAAACTATGGATTGTGTTGAGTGACGTCACACTCTCAGATTAGAAAGTTAGGCATTCTTACGCAACTTATCCATTAGAGGCACTGAGATCTTGGCTTCCATCTTGCAATTTCTGCTGCATCCTTGCTTTCCCTGACAACTAAGCTGCTGATATGTCAGTTCAACTGTCCGTGGCCTATAGGGTAACCGAAAGCCTTCCTCTTTGTTTCTTTATCTGCAATGGGTCAGCAATGAGCTGATGACCATTAACTTGATTTATAGAGTAAAATTCAATTATACTACCAGCCGATCTACGCATCTTCATATCTTTTCAATGCCACATGTAATCCAAGTTACGTAGCTCGAATACGCTTTCAGCAAATAAAAGAAACAATTTTATTCCAAAATTATGGAATCAGCACACATGATTGAGAGAGTAAGATAAACTAATACTTTTTATGAACTAATAGTGACTACAACTTAAAACCTAGTACTTAAATTCATTCTAGGGTGAAAAACCTAATAATGAACCAAAAAAAAAAAACAGTGAAATAAAAAGAAACCCATGTCTTCAATTCAAATCTCAAAAGACCAATAAAAAATATCTCAACAAATTAATTGAAATGAACGTTAATCAAGGCCTCAAATTAAAAAGCTTTGGTTAAGTGCCATAAAAAATAGAGAATCACAAGAAAAGGTTGAGAAGAATAAAGCATTGTGCCTTCATAACCAGTCTGCCGGGCCATTTGAGGTCCCATCATCTAGCAATGCATGCACAAGTACGAGTTACACAACTATCAACTATGAATCAGCAACTACATAACTATCAACTATGAACCAGCATTCTCTACAGATGTTCAGCACTTCTATCATAGGAGTGACCCATCAACCTCATCAAGACGGCGATCCATGATTTGAGATAGTGTTTCGAGAAATGCAGCTTCACTTGTGCCAGGCAGCACAGAATCCTGAGCCTCTTGGACAATTTTCTCAATGACAGATTCCTCCTTCAAGTTCTCTCTGCACATTATACTTCCAATGGCAAAGGGAGTGAGTCCCCTCTCCGCACCCTTCTTGAGAAGCATGGTGGAGATGCGAAGAGTGCGTGCACATTTAGGTGGCATATCCCATCCAAGGAATTTCAGAAGGGCAATATCTTCTTCGGCATCCAGGGATTTTATATAGTCAATTGTCTCAGAAGAGTAAGATTGGTGAGCTTGAGGCCAATACAGCCAGTCAAATGTGCAATCTTCAAACTATAGAAACAAAACATATAAATAGTGATTAGGCAAATGCAGGCGGGAAAATAAAATTGGAAAGACCCTAAAACAGAAAGAATATGACATTTTCAAGGTTGTGAAAGAAAAACGACAAGTGTAATGACAGACTCATAAACACTGCATGAGATAAGGTTTAAAAAAAAAAAAAAAAACCCAGAAAATGTAGGGACAGAATCAGGCTGGCAGCACCACTCAGCTTGCCAGACAGTTTAAAATTAACCGGATCAGTGAATCTTGAGAATTTTTGCAATGTATTAGAGTATCTTGATTCAATAAGACTTAAAACAAGTTCAATAGCCTTCTAATCAGGAATCTATATACGATTTGAGTTCAATTCAGAGTTGAATTCAAACAAACCTCAGTATGATATTTAACATATATAACCTAGTGGATGAACCTAGAATAAAAAATAAAAAGAAAAAAGGTCGGGGTAAAGTACGAAAAAAATAAAACCAAAAATGAAACATGCATGAAATTGCAGGAAATTAAGACATCAGTAGAGAAAAACTTACGCTTTCAGGCAAGCAATAGCCATGATCGATCGGAATCAGCAATGTCTGCCCATCTTCATCTTTGCTCAATAAAATATTTCCAGCATGCCTATCTGCATTAGCCAATCTTATATCCAACACACAGATTTTATGTACTTGCTCGACTGGGAAAGACCCAGGACCCATATCCTCACAACTTCCACTGTTTTCCACAAACATCTGCAATGACCCAATCTTGACTGTTGCTAAATCATCAGGATTGTTAAACCCACTATGCAAACACTTGATCATAGCAGTAGGAGGGACACCAGCAAAACCCTTCTCATGACCATATATAGTGCGTTGCTCATTATTAGGATGATCCAAAATATAAGCCGCAACTTCCCTGAATGCTCCTTCTCCAACTCTTGTACCCTTCTTCAAACCTTCCCCATCAGGTGACACCGGTAGTTTTCGAGGGTTGTTAACAGCTAAAGGCTCCTCATCAATTGGCTTAAAAACAGCAACAAATTTTTGGCCTGATGAATCCTGCATGAAATAGGCTCCTCCAGTGCCCTCCATGGACCTGATTGGAATTTTCCTGCTATCTAATCCATCGAATGCGGAATTAATCATATCTACAATCACTGAAGGTAATTCAACCTCGGGATTAACAATAACTGGTTCCAATGAGAAATCTCTATCAGGAGGCTTTCTTGGTTCTACATCCCTATCAACTTCATATCCTCTACTATAATTCTCTTCACCACCAACATCATATTGTTTTCTACTGTTCTTCTCACCAACATCATAATATCGCTCTTCTTTCAATTCTGGTGCCACAATAGTCAACTCAAAATTCTTCGCAACAGGCTTAGACCTAACTTTGGCAGATTTTCGGACCAATAAATGCAATACAGCATCATTGTGCTTACATATGTCATCAATAAGCCTCTGATCCTCTAATCGCTCCCCATCACAAACGACTTCTTGCTCATCAAGATTGGTAAACCCTTTCTCCCTCTTTGCAATCTGCTGTTTCACATAACCAACATCGCGTCCCCGTTCAACATGAAATGTAAATTCTTTCCCAGACGTGGTCTTAACATTAATGACCTGAAGATCAGAAAGCCTAAGTATCAATTGCAGAACATTCCCATCATTGACTCCGTAGTCACGAATAAGGGAATTGCTCCGAGCCAGCTCACGGCCCCCACAAACCAACTTCTGATTCTTCACAACAAACCCTTTACAGATTTGAATGCGTAGCTTCACGGATTTAATAGAATCTGATTCCAGAACCTTCATTGGAATCATCAATCCGGAAAGGTCCAAATATATCCAAATTGATTCGTTTTCGCAAAGACCCAATTCAGGATTCATGTGAACAGGTGGAACCATATGTTCATTTCGAACCGGAATAACAGCAAGACCAGCCGACGACATTTCTAACAGTGAAATTTAGAAGAACCAAGAGACTCCAACACTCTAAAAATGAATGCTAAAATTTAAACTAAACTGTACAAATTCGCAACAGTTTCCCCATGTTCTTACAATCTAACAGTTCTACAGAACAGAGAAAAGAAAAATCCCAATCGAGGCCTAGGGAAAAAAACCCCTAAACCAGGGAAATCGAAACCCTAGGTATCAGAAGCGATATATTAAAGAATCTCACAGCTCAATCATCTTGATTTGTAAGATTATGGTTTAGAGATTGGATGTACGGAAATTATTAACAAAATAAAAAAGGAGAAAAATTAAATTACGAAAGAGTGAGGATCCTTACCAGAAGAAGAACCGAAGAGAGGGGAGACAAGAAATTGAAGCTTAAGTCAAAAGTCAAATTTGGGAAGCTATTGTTTTTTTTTAACTGATGCTTACGCAGAAAATAGTTTAGCTGAAGAGAAAAGGATTGGAGAAGCGACGGTCGCGTGGAGCCATCATCCTTTTATAGGTAACGCGTAAACTTGTGCTAGCTTTGCCCAATTTTTGTATACGTATAAATTGTACGAAACTTTTGCAACAAGGGAAAACGATTTTAGGTATTTCCTATATTTAGGATCTAAATTTTCCTAAAAGAGTAAAATTCTTGGAGTAGTTTCCAAGTCTCCCTATCTATTAATTTTGTACTCATCTCTCCTGATATTATCCCTTCCGATAACTCTTAACTTTAATGATTTGTTTCAAAGTACACATTTTCTCCCATATAAAACAAATTAAATGCTAAAGATTTATGCATGGCCAAAAGACTTTTATATAGACGGTGATATATTTTCATTTGATTGGTGAATTTTTTTTTTATTTAAAAATAAATATAAATAATAAAAATATAATTCAAATGAAATCATAAATATTTCAATAAAAATAATTACTATTATAATATTTATATTCTGTAGTAACTTTATAATATTAATAGTTTTTTCTATTACTAATATTTACCTCTTAAAATTTGTTCCACAATTATTCTAAAATAATGTTATATTATTCTACAAATGAAATAGAGATTTTTTTATTATTATTGTTTTCTTGCCGTCACATCTCAAGTTTTGAAGTGGAACAGAAGCTGGTCAAAATCAAACACAGGGACGTTAAAAACAATATAGTAATAATACAATCAAATTCCAAGGACAGCGGTGCGTATTGGTTACGTCTGTTCCGATTCCATTGGAATATTCGGTTTGGATAATAATATTTTTTGGAGGTTGGAATTTCTCATTTGAATAGGATACTTTAAACGGCAGGCGTTGTTGATACGAAATTTCCAAGTTTTCCAGAGGGTCGGTGATGACGACTGAGATGGCCGATCAACTATCTTTTTAATAATTTTTTATTAAAAAAAAATCAAATTCAGCAGATAAGACTTGATCGCTTGACCTGAAGAATTAAATATTTTTATATAAAAATATGATAATAATTACTTTGTGAAAGCTCCATTTTTTAACTTTCGAGTGAAGGGAAATTACGAATCATTTGATAAATAAATAAAATAAGAAAATAAAAATATAATACTAGTTCTTTCAAAATATTTATATGTATAATTAGTACTGTTAGGAGAACTCTTTAATTTAATCCTTCCTATTAGATTAGTATTTTTTTTTCTAAACATTTAAAACAACATAAGAGAAAATATTTAAATTCTTCACGATCTATCTTGTCATATAATTTCCAATCACATATTTCAAATTAAAATAGTAAAAAAAAACCAATGAATGGGAGCTGAAAAGGGTATGTATTCACCCATTGATCAAATATGTTAGGTTATTGAGTCTACACGAGACATGTTATGACAGATTTCATATATAGTACAGAAAAAGCCAGTTTTAAAGAAGAAATTAGGGGCTAGGTTTTCAATTGAGGCAGATTCTGCTATCAGATGCGGAAGGATTCCTCGTTGAACATGCCGCTGCATAAACTTATTCGTATCCTAGACGCCAACATTTTTCCCCCAGTTCTCACCAATCTGGAACTTTTCTTCTTTGAATAGTCGCCGAGAGGTGAAACCATGACGAAAATAAGTTGTATTTGCATTCAGGTATGCTAGCTGCTTGCAGTGTTCTGCTTCACTGTTCAGCACAAAGCTAGGAAATGCTCGAGAAATGTCCGTAAAAAGGTGCAAAGACATGAAAGCGTTACCAATTCAAAGTCACTCATTGCAAACTATTTAACAAACATGTAATTCAGGTGACAAATGTTGATCGTTAATTTGTAGTCTATACAGCATTTCATCCTACATAATCAAACAAACGGTTCATCAAACTCAGAGGTGGCAACTGGGAAATCAAATGGTTGCAATTGAGCTTCAAAGGAGCTCTAGACCAGACCCTAACTGGAAATAATATTTTGCAATGAAAATTAATCGATCTGTGAATTTAAGTTTCATGAATACACTTTGCTGCTACTACTTTATTTTCTCTTTACTTTTGTCGTTTTCTATTTTCAATTTCTTTTACCTTTCAGGGCAAGTGCGGGTAGGAGGTGGTAGATTTTTCAGTTTTGCTACAAATTTTTTTATAATCTAAAAGCTGAAATTATGAATATGATGTGAGAATCGTCGAGAATTTAGTTCAACAGATGTGGCTAACTTTCACAAATATTAGGCAAATCAGCCATTAACAAAATTAGTTGAATGGTACGGAAATGAGAAAAAATGTACGAAAAGAAATGCTTAAGAAAATACGAGACAAAGATTTTGGGATATTCAGCTGACATAAACTGATAAACAGAATGACAGTTGTTGTCTTGAATCTTCGGAAATTTTTATTGTTTCTCTTTTGGTTGACCTCTGCACAGATGTACATGATTCGGACAGGATCTAACGAGAGATTGATCAAGGAGGTATTTGGAGGATACCGGGATTAATGGTTGTCATCAGCAAACGTGGTGGATGTGTGGGCCGTTGGATCATATGCCCACCACGTGGCGCATTGCTATCGGTTCTTTCGAAGCCTTTCACACATACTAAACCTTAAATGAGATGGCACTTCTAGCACATGCTGGAATGGCTGGTGGCCGTGTCCTAGAAGATAATTAGGTAGCCTCGAGATAACACTGTCCCAGAAGATATACAAGCTACCACAATGCCAAGCATAGCTCCAGCAAGGACCTGTGATGGAGTGAGCCAAGAAGTTCCTTGAGTTTTCTTTGACTGATAGGATGCCCTGCAGCCCTTGAAATAGGTCCACAACGATCATACCAAGAACCTACAACCAGGAATACAAAATTATTCCATGATTCCTACACAAGTTAGCAATCACAGAATTAAATGACAGTTCTCAAGGCAAGCTAGCTGCCAGAATGTTCACATATTGCATATAATTATTTGAGGAGGAAATAAAATTCAAGTTAAGGTCATGTTTGAACCCAGGTCAAAAAACGCATGAAATTTAGGCAGATATAAGTAGACATTAGGCCATAGGGAAACTGCAGCTATAGACCTGTGAAAAACATGCTTACCCTGAGTTTCAATATTTCTGTGTGATAGAAAAAATGCAAAGACATTCATATTACATATGATAGCACTGATATGTAGCAGACAGATACTGCCAATTAACCATTATAAGTTGAAGCATGATATCAGCTATAATATTTATTTCCCTGATTCAGATTCAATTACCAGCTGCAAAAAGGTTATTAAAATGTTAAATGTGTCTTTCAAAATTAGCCACATCACTTGTCCTGTGATTTACCTAAATGAGAATAAAACTTCATTATTTGATATAAATTCATTAACACAAAGGAAAGCAACACTGCAGGTCAAAATCTGTTCATAACTTGAAATAATTTCAAGCACCGTTTACTGTGATAACATCTTTGCTTCTCCAATATTAAAAGAATCCATTCCCACATTTCCACTTCAAAGCCCAAAACAACGGTATACTAAATCAAATCAAGCTCCAGTCACCATGGGGAAAACTATAGTAGGAAATTCACTTATAAAAGCATAGGATGTAACCCATAATACCATATCTAAGACCCTCAACCAGATTTTGAAAATGGAAACTTAATGTTATTTCTAACACTATATTATGGTGTTACATATTCCAGGGAGGATATTATCGGCTAGTCATTCACCCACAATTTAGGCATACTTTAGTGTTCAAACTTTGGCAATAACCATGTATAATCAAACATCTAATCCAATTATCGCCACATTTAACAGAATTAATGACTTGTCCGGATAATGCTTGAAAAAAAAAAAAAAAGGTTAGCACTCTTACACGACCAGCTTCACGACCATTTGCAGATAAATAAGTGAAGCCGAATTGGTCGCGTAATAGTGTTTTTTTCAATAAGGCGACGATTGGGTTAGTTATTGGGGCCTTGGAGGGAGATAAAAACAACGGTGACGTGGATACTTTACAACGGTTTACTTCTGGTTGGGCCAGTTGTTGGGCCTACGATTAGATTTAGGTTTCATTCAACATCCAAGCCTAATTTTGGACAAATTTCACCGTAATTTATCCAATTTATGCTCAAATCTAATTTGGATCATTAAATTTTAATTTGTTACATTTAGATCGTTGAATTTATTAAATATATTAAAATTAGTCACTCTAATATAATTCATTTAAATTTTGATAAAAAATGATAAAACTGTCATATCTTAATCACATCATCTTACTAAACCACATAATTTTATGTCATTAAACTGTCATTTAATTTTCAAATAAAATACTGAATTTTAATTTATCATCACAATATCATTAAAAATTGTTAAATATATCAAATTTGATTATTCTAATAAATATTATCCAAAATAAAAAATTTAGATAAAATCTAAATATTAAATTCAACCAAATAATATCCAAATTTTTTATGTCAAAAATGCTCCATACCTCATAAAAATAAAAATAAAAAATTAAGTAAACCGGGATAAGATAGACCTTTAATAAATATTTATTTTTAAAAAATATTATTATTTTTATTTAAATTAAAGAATATAAATATTTAAATAAAAATAAAAAAATTAATTAAAGCGTTATTTATTATAATCGAAGCATAAGCAAAAATATAATCAAAGAGCCAAATTGGGCTTCCACATTGAATCAGACCGCCCAATAACTAGCCCAGCCAGTAGTTGACCGTTATAAAGAATCCGCGTCACGTTCGTTTTTCTCTCCATTCAAAGGCTCCAACCGTCTCTTCCGACTTTTTCCCGGTTCCTTAGCCAACCCAAAGTTCCCACTTGAAGAAAAATGCAGCCTCCCTCCTCCTCCTTCTTTCCTTTCAATTTTCTAATCAAAACAAGGCAAAGCACATTTTTCTTTGAAAAAGCGCTACCTTCCTAGTCCGCTCACTCGTCTCGACCTAAACTCGGCTCCCCCATTTTTTTGACTCCTTCATCACAACATGGAGAACCTGATATCATTGGTGAACAAGATACAGAGAGCGTGTACGGCGCTTGGTGATCACGGCGAAGAAAGCGCTTTGCCTACCCTTTGGGATTCCTTGCCTGCCATCGCCGTTGTCGGTGGCCAAGTATGATCCCCTTCGTTAAAACTACGAATTATATTTTTCATTTTTCTGATGATTTGCGTGTTCCTCTCTTGATCTTTTCTTTTTGTTTGATTTTAAATTATTCTGCCGATTTTTAATATTTATTTTATTTTGTTTATTTCTGCGTTGATCCGTCTCCTTTACAGTTTGATTCTAAGGTGATTTTGACTAAAAATTTTGTTTTTCTTTTCCTCAAATGCGACGATCATTTTCTTGGTTGTGCTTTTCCTATTTTGAAGTTTGAAATTTGAATTTATTCAAATTAGTCCCTTAAATATGGTTAATTAATTAATTAAACATTCACATTCTTTTTATAGAATAAGGTTTTGATATAATAATTTCAGAAATTTAATGGTTGTAGAGTTCTGGTAAGTCATCTGTGCTAGAGAGTATTGTTGGAAAAGATTTCTTGCCTCGTGGCGCAGGTAATTTTTGCTGTTAATTTTTCTTGTTATTTCTTCACCATTGTAAAAGCCTGGATATGATGCAAAATTCTTGTTTGCAGGGATTGTTACAAGGCGGCCTCTCGTCTTGCAACTTCATAAGATAGATGAAGGAAAAGAATATGCAGAGTTTATGCATCTCCCGAGAAAGAAATTCACTGATTTCGGTATGCGCTCGTTGGAGTAGAGTTTTTCTTAGTGCTAATTAACTATTTATATTATCTTCTTCCCGTTTGTTAATCTAATAGTCATGATCAATTAACTTTAGTGCTGTGTTCTTGAATTAATTTTTGCAGCTTCTTTTAGTTGTTTATATCTTTGTTTAATCTTGAAGGCTAAGCTTATATATGAATATGATACATTTTTGCAGCTGCTGTTAGGAAGGAGATTTCTGATGAGACAGATAGAGAAACTGGCCATACCAAACAAATCTCTAGTGTTCCAATTCATCTCAGTATCTTCTCTCCTAATGGTGAGATAGAGTGTTAGTCAAGTTGTTTAACCCTTTTTCATGAGTAGGCGTTATCTAAAATAAACCAATAATTAATTTGTACCCAAAATGAACCTCCCAATTATTTTCATCTCAGATAACAGAAATTAGAGGATTTCAGATTAGACATTTAATGGTTTCAATTCATCTTGCCAACTTTTTTGCAATATCAACATGAGCTGAATTTGCTTTTGAGATTAACAAGTAATCCTACTGCCCATCATTCAGTGGTTATTATTAGTTTATTGGTAGATTGGATCTGTGCTATTTCTTTAAATTGGCTTGAATTATTACATCCAATTTTATGAACTTCAATTCTTTCGTAAGAGCTGCTAAATGTATTTCTTATCTCTTGTTTTTATTTGTTTGTTTATTTTGCTTCAATTCCTTTGCAGTGGTGAACTTGACATTGGTTGACCTCCCTGGACTTACAAAAGTAGCTATTGGTGAGTGTTTCAACCTTTTGCAAGTTTTTTTTATGTTGACATAATCATGTAACAATGTCGATTAATTTAGCTAAAAAGTTGTGGTAATTGACTTGTCATGTAGAGGGACAACCTGAAAGCATTGTGCAAGACATTGAAAATATGGTTCGGGCATTTATTGAAAAGGTAAATAGAGGCAGAACTTGAGAGGTTCTTGCTTATTCTTGGTACACTAAACTAGCATAATTGAAAACAGTGTTAACTATTGTTCATCTAATAAATGTGCAATTATGTAAATATTTATGAAGTGATAAGCATGATGGTATGAAGTAATTTTCCAGGGTCTAGTAAATGCCTAAAATATTCTTTGTTTCTTACATTTTTATCATATGTAAAAGGGTATGCTTTTTAAAAAAAAAAATTATTGTGCTATACCTGTCTCTTATTGCAGCCCAACTGTATCATACTGGCAATTTCTCCTGCCAATCAAGATCTTGCTACTTCTGATGCAATAAAGATCTCACGCGAGGTTGACCCTAAAGGTATGATTTTGGCCAAATTCTTTCATGTATTGGACAATAGACATTATTTTTATTCAGAAAGTTGGTAGTAGAAAGAAATCTACTTGCTGTAATAGAAATAGGTGAAAGAAGGGAGGTAAAACAAAATAAAATAGGCTTAAGTATTTTAAAAGTTGATAAAAGATTCAATAATGAAGAGTATGGGAAATGGAAAATAAAATCGTCTTGTTGATGGAGGGCTTTTGAAGGGCATGCTAGAGTGGTATCTCTACAAGTTACTGTATGTTAACACTAGTTGTTTGAATTGCTTTTCCCTGTGCAATATGCGGATACTAATGTGACAGGATCTTTCCCTACAACATGAGGATTGCTGGATGCACCTCGTTTGTACCAATTATTGTGTCTGGCAGTGCAATTATTTTATGGTTTTAATTCATGCACCCCTTGTAGCACAGATGGGATCCTCCTGTAAAATATCTATGAGTATTGTGATCGAATGGTTCATGTGTGCCCCATAGGTTAAGGTGCACTGAGCATGGGATTTTCGCTGTAATTAAGTTTATAACAAGAAAAATTATTCTTAAAGAATCAAGTCTCCTCCAAAATTGCATTACCTCTTTGAATTTGATTAACAGCCACTCTTGAACTGGTTGACAGAAGTTGTATGAGGTAAAGATGGAATGAAATTTGGCTGGAAAACAATTCCAATTAAAGAAATGAAGTCCATTTCCTTTGTTGGAGCATCGGTTTCCTTTGCCTTCGCCTTGCCTCATGCCTTTGCTGACCTGCTCAACTGAGTATTTTCAACTGGTGCTTCTGTGGTATAATAAGCATCTATAGCAGAAACTTGAATTTTGCAGCTATTATCCTGCATAAAAACATCTTGTAGAAAGGATCCTGCTTAAAGACGATATAAAAATGTGTATGGAATGGTGATGTAACTGACCAAAGGGAGAATAGCAATGGTTATGGCAGCATTGTTGGGTTTCATTTTAATGGTCTTGATACTTTTCACTATGATTCGGGTGTCAATTGCCTTCTGGAAGGAGAAATGGATAGTTATTGATTTAAACTATCCATCATTTTCAGCATTGGAACTTCTTTTCCTATTTGCCGAGATGATTATTTTCCTAGTTTTCCATTTTACTTATATTGAATTTCATCTTGGTTGGTTGTCAAAAATCAGGAGAGAGGACATTTGGGGTTTTAACTAAGATTGATCTGATGGACAAGGGTACCAATGCAGTTGATGTAAGTTTTTACTTCAAATTGTTGACATAACTGATATTATATGATATAATGTTAGGAGCAGCTATATGATAATATATTTGTCTTTTATAATATATACAAATCAAGTTAAACTTTTTTTCTTTTAAAGCCTTTCCGTTCCTAGACAAGAATATTCTTAGAAAGTTGTATTTGAACTTGTTATTTATTTCAATATCTTTGTGCATTTTGTTACCAATAATCATGTATTCAGTTTCTTGCAATGACTATTTTTGCTTCTTATATTTCGGGATTTAGATTCTGGAAGGAAAAGCATATAAGCTACAGTTTCCATGGATTGGTGTTGTTAATCGCTCTCAAGCTGACATTAACAAGAGTGTTGATATGATTGCTGCTCGGCGTAGAGAGAGAGAATATTTTCAAAATAGCCCGGAGTATAGTCACCTTGCTAGCAGGATGGGTTCTGAGCACTTGGGAAAGATGCTTTCTAAGGTATACGAATACTATTTTCTTGCAATCTATGTAAATAGATTTATATTATGTGTTTCGATCCATTTTGAGGCATGCAGAGATTTTTATGTAGATGGATATACACATATTTTCTTAAAAGTTAATTATCTGGTAGTTTCCTGCATACGCATCTATTCTTTGATGTTAATTTTAATAGTTAAATTCATTCAAACATCTAAAACAGAAAAAAATTAAACTAACATTTAATTTGTCTACTGATAAATTTTTTTTTTGGGATTCCTTAAGTGATAATTTGCATTTCAAGTTATTAATGTTATTCTTAATACTGAAATTGGCTGATTTTGCAGCACTTGGAAAGTGTGATAAAGTCTCGAATCCCTGGTCTTCAGTCTCTTGTTAGCAAGACTATTATTGATCTGGAGGCGGAATTGAGCCGTCTTGGGAAGCCTATTGCTGCTGATGCTGGAGTAAGCGTTAAACCTATTCTATCCCTTTCATGTTTTGCCTCTTTTCAAATTTTCTCAGCTTAATTTATTTTGGACGACCTTTTTATGGAAGTTGTATTACTATTACCGATTTGTCAGTCTTTGATAGGTAGGGTGGAGGGACTTTTCTTTCCCTCTGTCTTTTGGTATTTGGAGAACGCTGTTGACAGGTTTAGCCACTGACTATTTTCTTTCTTTGTGCAGGGGAAGTTATATACAATCATGGAAATCTGTCGAGCTTTTGACCAAAACTTCAAAGAACATCTTGACGGCGTGTATGTTTTTATGTACTAGTGTGTTTTATCAATTTGTTAATCTCTTGCCAATTTCCAATTTAATGTGCTTTTGGTTACATCAATGTTTACAGACGCCCTGGAGGTGATAAAATATATTCCGTATTTGATAGCCAACTTCCTGCTGCTTTGAAGAGGTTGCAATTTGATAAACATCTTTCAATGGAAAATGTACGCAAGTTAATTACTGAAGCTGATGGATACCAACCACATCTTATAGCCCCTGAGCAAGGATATCGCCGTCTTATTGATTCTTGTTTAGTATCTATCAAAAGTCCTGCTGAAGCAGCTGTTGATGCGGTTCTAAATTCATTTCTATATCAATCATCTTTCTGAACTTTTTGTGGCATGTGGTTTGGTTGATACATTTCATGATTCAATTTCAGGTTCATTCTATACTTAAGGATCTTGTTCACAAGGCTATGAGTGAGACAACGGCAAGTTCCTGGCCATGCTAACTTTATGATTTTTATCATACTTTATATTTTTTTATTTTACATTCTATGTTAGAGTCAAGCATCTCTTCTTTTCTTGTTCAGACCTCAAATATAATTGCTCACCATCTTTGCTCTGTTGTGATGATTACTTGTTCAATGCCATATCAACTCCCCCTTCCCCCTTCCCTTTTTCCATCTTAAATTCTTAATTTATTTTTTATTGTATATAGGAACTAAAACAGTATCCCACTCTGAGAGTGGAAGTAGGGAATGCTGCTATTGAATCATTGGAAAGACTGAGGGAAGAAAGCAAGAAGGCAACTCTACAGCTAGTTGATATGGAATGTGGTTATCTGACGGTTGAATTCTTCCGGAAGCTTCCTCAAGATATTGAGAAGGGTGGAAATCCTACACATTCACTCTTTGATAGATATAATGATTCCTATCTTCGACGAGTCGGTAAGTACTAAAAGGCTCGGACAGTTTTACTATTGGAAAAGAAGCTTTGGCTCAGTTGGTTTATGCAATGTTTTGGAGTTCTAATTTCTAAATTTTTGAAGTTTCTATTTTTCATGGTTTTTTCATCAATTGTTTGCTCAGAGAAGACTCTCCCCCTTTTCTCGTTTCCTAAAGGAAAGCAGAAGAGATGTTAGTTACTGTGTTAATTTATGATATATCCTACAGATAACTAGACTACTAAAAGGCTAGCTAGGGCCTAGGGACACATTTCATCTCTGTGACTCTGTCCCATTCTAACTATGATCCGTTCCTGTTTCTTAATGTTTTTGATTGGCAAAAACAGGTAGTACTGTCCTGTCATATGTCAACGTGACTTGTGCAAGTTTGAGAAACTCTATTCCGAAGTCAGTTGTCTACTGTCAAGTTCGTGAGGCGAAACGTAGCTTGCTTGACTACTTCTTCACTGAATTGGGTAAGAAAGAGGTAAGCATTCCCACGGCCAAATCTCCCCTCCCTGTTGCAAATTGCAACAAAATGGAAAATGGAAAAAGCAGACAGCGGATGAACTCTGCTAATAACCTGTCCATTCGCTATATTTGCAGTCGAAGCAATTGGCTAAGTTGCTGGATGAGGATCCAGCAGTTATGCAGCGTCGTACCAACCTTGCAAAGCGACTGGAATTGTACAGGAGCGCACAAGAAGAGATCGATGCTGTTGCCTGGTCGAAGTAGTGGAGAATAACTATTTTAACCTTGTTCCGTTTCTTGGTAGTTGAATTGAGATTTATCCATAGGATGATTCTTTTATTCATTGGAAGAGGAGGGTGGAGAGTTAATTTGCCATGGCTTTCTTGGTTAGGACATTTTGATATTATATATCAACCAGCTTTTATTCTAGTTCCTTTAAGGCTACATTTTATTTCATATATATATATATATATATATATATTCCCATTTAATATCAAATTCTCCTATATACATATTTCCGTTGGTCAGTATATACCTATTTGCGTTCACACAAAATTCTGGCATAATTTGACGCAACTCAACTTGAAGGTGTTTGATCCGATCCTCTGCTTGCGAATTGTGATCATCCTAAATGAAGGTGCTTAGTTCACTGACACCTTTCTGAGTGCCGAATCAGGGTAGATAACCAGTGGCTCTAATTCACAGCACCATCTTAAAAAATAAGATCATTTTTGACACTGGCAGACCTTTTGATCAATGAGAAGTTCTACTCTGTCCTGTTTGGTTCCTTCATGAAGGAAAGGAAGCACTCTGATTAATCATGGTTAGCTTTGAATGTTCAGCAGAAAAGAAAAACAGAGGTTTTCAGCAAGAAAGAAAATAGTGGAGGTGCGGGGAATCGAACCCCGTGCCTCTCGCATGCGAAGCGAGCGCTCTACCATATGAGCTACACCCCCTTTGATGAAGTAACCCATCAATAAACCTAAAATCTGTACTTGTTTTTTTTTTCACCGACAGATTCACCCTATGAATGCAAAAAAAAAAAAATTAATGTATCCATAAGTTACACACCTACACACTGGAGCTACTCCCCCATAATTCCATTTATTTTTTTCATGATCCTTACCAAGCAGCAAACCAAAAGAATTTCGTTTGGAAGAAGGCTTTGAGAGGTAAAATGGAATCTAGAAACGGTTTCAGATGGAGAAAGCAAGCTCCCAAACCGACTGAAACAAGAAGATCAGGAAACAGAGAAGAAGAAAAAGGAGAGAATATTAAGAATGGCCAAAGAACAGCAGAAGAAGAGCCGTTGAGCCCGTCATCTCGTCTGTATCACGAACCAAACTTCAACGTGTATGTTATAACCATCATGGGGTGCAAGACTAGAATTTACCCAGATGTTGTCAAAGCCAACTTGGGCCATACTTTGCTTAAACACCCTCGTTTCTCTAGTTTGCAGGTACAAAAAGAACACTACTCAACTTTTATATTAAACTTTCTCTCCTTTATTTTTTATTTTTTGGGTACTGAAAGCAGCATCTCCTAGCCAATTGAAGTATACTTAAACTTGTAGAGAAACTATGTCTATATATTTAGTAGGCTATTTGCATACATCTTAAATACTACTACTAATAATAATTAATTATAGGATTATTTCTTGAAAAATTTTTAAGTAGTTGATTTCATTTAAATTTGATTTTTTATTTCCTTTTGCTTTTCTAATTTTCATTTTTAATACACCAATATACATAGAAATGTTAGGTGGTGGACGAGAAAAAAAAGGGAGAAATGAAATGGGTTCGAACAGAAGTGGATTTGGAAAGGCATGTTATTGTCCCAGAACATGGACCTCACCAGCCAAGTTCCTTGAAGATTACATCTACAACCTGAGCCAAACCAACATTGACAAATCACAACCTCTCTGGGACCTTCATCTGCTTAACTTAAGAACCTCAGAATTCGAGGCAGTTGATGTTTTCAGGATCCATCACTCCCTTGGTGATGGCACTTCTCTGATGTCTCTTCTACTTGCTTGCACTCGTCAAATGAATGATCCTCTGGCTTTGCATACCATTCCAATCAGGAAGAACCAAGAGAAGAAGAAGAATGATCATAGAGGATTTTGGAGAATTATGTTCTTGTTTTGGAATACTGTGGTTGATGTTTTCATGTTTCTTGCTACGGCATTGTTCTTGAAAGATATTGAGAATCCTCTCAAGGGTCCGCCAGGAAGTGAGTTGACTCCTCGGCGAATTGTTTACAGGACAGTTAGCTTGGATGACATCAAGTTGTGAAATTTGCAATGAACACTGTAAGTCCATGCGTTGCATACTTGCATTAATTAGGAAGAAAATCCCATAAGCAAGCTGCTCTCTGATGAATATGAGTTATTTCAGAAAATAAAATCTTTCAAACTCAATTTTCAGAGTTCAGACCATAAATAGTGTTGCTTTCGGGATCACACAGGCTGGTTTGTCCCGCTATATCAAGAGAATATGTGGTGAGATTTTTTTTTTAACTTATGGGTGAAACAAGAAAGATTGTCTTATTCATTTTTTCACTTGCTAGGGAACAAGAAAGATGGGGGGGGGAGCGATAGAGAAGGATAATCTTCCAAAGAATATTCGCCTTCGATCAACTCTGCTCGTCAACATAAGACCATATATCTCCAGGAATCCAGGTTAATAGTTCTCTTTCAAACTAATTTAGCAGTTATATAATTTCACCAAATGTCAAGCTTATTATGGTTTACAGGTTTAATTAGGCATCCTGGGTGTTATATTTGCCCAAGTCTCAAAACTTATTCACGTTTAATGCATGCCAGGCTTTAGCAGATATAACAGGGAAGGATGGTGAAGCAAAGTGGGGTAACTGGATTGGTTATGTTCTCCTCTCCTTCACCATTGCAATACGAGATGATCCATTAGATTATGTTCGTGATGCTAAGGCCATAATTGACAGAAAGAAACGCTCCCTTGAAGCTATATCCACTTTCTCTACTGCTGATTTAGCGCTCAAGCTTTTTGGCATCAAGGTTTAATTTGAATATTCCAATTGACTACTTTCTGCTAAAATGAAAAGAATTCCTCTATTATAATTAGTTTGTTTTTCCACTGGTAATAACAGGTGGCAAGTGCTCTGTCCCAGAAAGTAGTATCTCGCACAACAATGTGCTTTTCGAATCTGGTTGGACCTCTGGAGGAAATTCATCCCATAGCTTTCCTTGCTCCAAGTTCTTATGGTCAACCTTATGTTAGTGTTCATTTGAGAAAAACTACTATGTTTGTCCTGTTAATGTTGGGTTGATCGATCAGCTGGTGACTAAAAATTGCAGGCATTAATGATCAACTTCTTTACATCAACAAGATGAGAATTGTACTATGGGTGGATGAAGGAACTATACCCAACCCTCACCAGATATGTGATGACATCGTCGAAAAACTCTAGCTCATCAGGGATGCAGTACTGACTACGGGTCTTGCCTAGATAGAAAAGAGAAACATCATACCTGAACCTCAAAGTCTACTTCATGAGATACTCATCTTCACCATCGACCAATAATTCATGAACCTCAAGCATTAATTAGAGATTAAATAATGGTGAAAGAGGACTTTCGTCAAGTCATTACCATCTTATAGTTTATTTAATTATTTCTCATTGTTGCATATTAATGGAATTAAGTAATTTTCTAAATGCAGTAGGATCTATTATTGTCAAAAAATTTTGTGGTAATCCCATAATTTCGTTCAATCGTCCGTGCATGACACATCTTCCTTTCAAGTCTCTCCCTCTCTTTCCCTGATCTCATACGAGGAAAATAACCAAAATCTGGCAGACAACAATGGGACTCCCAAACACCGAAACCCAGATTTTCACACTCTTCATCTTCGTCTTCTTCTTTCAACTATTCCCCATTGTTCTCACTTTCCCAATTTTGCCCAACTTGAATCCACTCCGGAAACCAAACTTTCAACAACCTCAGCCGGAGACCCCCCTGCCGCCGGCCCCCCAGTCGCCTCAATCAGAGCATCAACAATTCCTCACTGCCCACAACGAGGCCCGGGCCCAGGAGGGTGAACCCCTTTTTGTCTGGAATGAAACCTTGGCCTCCTACGCTCGCGCGTGGGCCAACAAGCGGAGCGAGGACTGCCTTATGATCCACTCCTTCGGGCACTACGGCGAGAACATCTTCTGGGGCGGCAGAGACCACTGGAGTCCCCTGGATGTCGTCAAGTTATGGGTGCAGGAACACAGGTTTTACGATCGGAAGACCAATGCTTGCCTCCCAGGGAAACTCTGCGGCCACTATACACAGGTTGTATGGAGGGATACGGTCAGACTAGGATGTGCCCGAACCAAATGTTCAAACGGTGGCGTCTTTGTTATATGCTCCTACGATCCTCCTGGAAATTACGTTAATGAAAACCCATTTCAGCCGAATAACAACAACTAACAATCACAGTAGACCATCTCCGGCAAACCAATCTTCTCTCTAGCTTAATTAATTGTTTATTTTATATTTTATATTCTATTTATAGTATATTGTTCGTTTAACAAACGTGGAATAATCTTTTTTTTTGTCTTTTAATTGGGTAACTTTTGGCTATTTGTGAATTTTGATGGTTGATTTCATTTAGTTTTTGCATGAAATCAATGAAGTCCAAATGTCAGTGTTGTCAATGAGAAGTAACATTTGTTGTCTGTTTAAATTTCCACCGTTAGTTTGCTATTGGCTTTGTAGTATCTGTTATAACCTGAAAAACAGAAATTGGAAAACGCAAAAACGTTTAAATTGTTTTATCTCTTCAAAGCATGCATACTGGGCATCTGGATTTGAAGGGATTTTTTTCCGAAAACAATGTTAGTCAGTATCAATTTAAAGCAAAAACGCAAAGCTCAAGCCTTGAGCCTCTCAGGTTCTCAGAAACTTAGTACAGATGATGAGATATTGCAATCTAACTTCTTTTAACATGGTCAGTTGATACCCAGAAGATAACCGCGCGTGGATAAATTTTATATTTTGTTTTTTTTTTTATTTATCGATTTTTTATTATAAAATTTATTTAATTAAAAAAATAAATAAAGATAATAAGTGAATATCTTGATCTTATTTTTTATAAAATTTACCTAATATAACAAATAAAAACCAACAGCCAAAAATTAGAAAAAATTGAAAAAAAAAGGACTTGGGTTGACTTTTTTTAAAAAATTTATTCACTGTTTTTTTTTGTAAAATTTATTTAATAAAAAAATAAAAAACAAAAAAAGCAAGATAGAATGCACGTGTACACATTCGTCGACTTTTTAAAAAAAATTGATCTAATTAAAGAAAATAAAAAAACTAAAAAAGGGAAAAAAAAAAAAGCAAAAGAAAATTAAGTGATCAAGATAAACTTTTTTTTTTTTGAAAAATCTATATTATAGATTTAAAAAAATTTAAATGACCCGCCAACGTTTCTGTCAATATCTTTTTAAAAAATATATATCTAATTTTAAAAAAAGAAAAAATAAATGTTTTTAATTAATAATATTAAATGGATCTTACAAAAATTAAAAATATAAAAATATTTATTAAATATTTAATAAAATTAGAAAGGAAAATAAAGAAAGTAAAAAAAAAGAAATAGAAAAAAATAAAAGTGATTTCACTGCAAGGGAATGGCATATATGTCTAAAATTTAAAATATAAATAGATAGATAGATAAATAGATAAATTTATTAATATAATATATATATAGATATACATATACATATATATATATATGAATATAAAATTAAAAAATTAGTGATTTTACGCATTATAACTTTGTAAAATTTTTATATTATTAGTAATAACTATATAATAACATCCATATTATATATATTAATATTTTGTTTTTCGTAATTTTATTTATCTATTATAATTATTTTTTATCTTATCAAATTCTAATATTTAAAATTTTTTTAAAAAGTAATTATTCAAACAATATAACTACAAATTTTATTATTTTGAATTAATGCATCTCAAAATGCTAATATTTTAAATATTTTTCGTTCAAATGCACCTTTCAAATATTTAAAATAGATATGATCCATATTATTTCGAATTGATACATCTTAAAATACTAATGTTTCAAAAATTTTCAAAATCTACAAACAAATCTAGTTCATAAATAATAGTTATGGAAATTTACAGTAGATATGATCCTTGTTATAAACGGGGGTCCAAACTTGCAATGTTTGCCTGGAAAATTTCCTCCGACTCAAAGAAAAGATTCAAATGATTGTTCCTATATATAATTGATAAACCTTTTTACCCTTTATTTGTTTCTAATCAAATATATTTTTTAATCATTTACTTATACTTTATAGTAGTAAATTTTAAGAAAGCATATTAAAAAAAGGACATAACAACTAAGTCGAGCTTAAAAAGACTCATTTCCTTCAAAAACAATCCATCCAAGGAAATTTCATCAGGAAAAGTCATCATAGACATTCCCGAATTCTTACTGATTACCTACTATTTTGAATCTAATTGTGTTATATATCATATCTATTAAAAAGACAAGAAACTGCATAAAACATTGGTTACAAGTTTTGGTCAAGGCAAAAGTTAAAAATGAAAGGCGTGATTACCAATTTTGCTTACATGACTGATATTAACATATCAAGTGCAATGTTCCATCAACTTCTTTTTTGGTTGAGTTGTCAAAACTAAATCTCTCTTGCAAAGCAAAGCAAAGCAAATTAAATAAAACCTTTTTGTCTTGAAAAATCTATCAGAGCTAAAACATTAATAACTAAACAAAAGGAATTGACATCACAACCTAAATTTGCTAAAAATTGGCTTATTTTGGAAGGCAAAAACGTCTTCCTCTCCAATATTCTAATTCAGTTCAGCCAATTCTTGTTGCTAAATGACAGCTACCCAAAACATATAAAAGGCTTTAACAGATATTAAACGTTCATAAAACACAGAGAGATAGAGACAAAAGAAATACGATTTGTTGATGAGTTTGCTGGCGAGAATGATGATTACCCACCATCCCCACCATCGCCAACAACAACATAATTCAGTCTTGAGACCAAAGAAACTGAAACATCTTAACCTCCTTGGCTCACTTCACCTTCACACTTTCTCTTCTTGTTCTTGACTTTCCTTTCCTTGCAACTGCTTGTCAGTTGATGCCCTTGTATCTCAATGGCAACTTCAAGATTCAGGGTTTTGTTTTCCAGGATTCTTGTTGGGTTATACCTTCTTTATATTTTCCTAGAACCTAAGGATTTCGCCACTGCAGGGTTTAATGAGATCCTGGTCGACCCTGATAAAACTGATCCAGATAATGATGCTAAGTTTGAAGTCCTCATCCATGATACCAATGATCCTTTAACCAATGCCACTATTAGTACTGCTGGTAATGGTGACGGTAGAAGACATGAGCTTTGCGGTACTGATCTAAGTTTTCTTGATCCACCATATGGCAACATATCCACTTCCAATATGGTCTGTTCTCCTATATGGAATACCTTTGTTTTGAGGGTAAGTTGTTTCAACTCTTATTTTCTGGTTTTGTACGTTTCTCTGTCTATTGTTGCAAATTTGAATGAATTGAATCTTATTTCCTTAGTTGATTTAGAGGTTTTAGAAAATGGTGAAATTTGTGGAGCTTGGTCTTGCGGCATTGATTAGTTGGTCATTTCCCGTTATTGCTGCAAGAAAAAAAATGGCTTCTAGAAACCTAAAATAGCAGTCTTGTGTTCTTTCTCTTTTAGAATGCTATGTTTCAATGTGGAGAGTTTTTTTTTTTTTTTTGGGAGGGGGGGGGGGGGGGCGCGGTTGTCAGTGTTGTGCCTTTATTGCATGTAATAATTGTAAGATCATGTTCGTTCATCGTTGTGCATTGAAATCAGACTTTGTTGACAAGACAGAGTGACATAATATGAATTAGCCAATCTTCTACTTAGCTACTCATGTCTGCCACCGTTTTATGCAGTATTATGAGAGAGCAGATAAAGTCATGACAATCATACTATCGGCAGTCTACACAACTGGATGGGTAGGGATTGGTTTTTCGAGGAATGGAATGATGGTTGGATCCAGTGCCATGGTGGGATGGTTTAATAGAAAAGGTCACGCAAGAATTAAGCAATACTACTTGCAGGGTGCCCATGTATCACAAGTCATCCCTGACAAGGGTGAATTGCCCCTTAACAATATTCCACCGGTTGTGGCCCTTCATGGGGCCATGATTTACTTGGCATTTGAAGCGAAGTTCGAACGTCCTCTTGGTCGGCAACCTATTATATTGGCTTTTGGAAGCAGATATCCTACCCATTTGCGCCTAACTAAACACGACGACAAGACGGCCGTTTTATTTGACTTCTCTCAAGGTTTGCTCATCCTAGAAAATCTTCAATTCAAATATTTGCAACTGTTAGCTTACCATTCTTTCAAAACTATCACAATTTGAACCATTGCTAACAGAAACTCATGGACACTGTTTGCAGCGTCCGTTTTAAACATAGACATGAGCCAGAAAAAGAATCATGGGATATTGGGTATCATAGGATGGGGTTTAATCCTCCCTGCGGGGGCAATCGTTGCGAGATACTTAAAGCACGAAGATCCACTATGGTATTATCTTCATGCTGGGATTCAATTTCTAGGATTCATCATAGGACTCGCTGCTGTTGTCCTTGGAATACAACTTTACAGAAGCATGAATGCCGATATTCCAGCGCATAGAGGCATAGGAATCTTTGTGCTTGTGCTTAGCATTCTTCAGGTTTGCTCGTCATCTCCGATACTACTTTATAGAGCTTGAATTATTGCTAATGAAATATGACAAATATGATTTCAGATAATGGCATTTTTTCTACGGCCCAATAAAGATTCCAAGTACAGACGATATTGGAACTGGTACCACCATTGGTTTGGAAGGATCGCCCTATTTTTTGGATCTTTGAATGTAATATTGGGAATTCAAGCTGCAGGTGCAGGGGATGAATGGAAGATTGGCTACGGATTTCTTCTAGCTATAACTCTAGTTGCGGTTATTGTTTTAGAAGCATTATCGTGTCTGCGAAGAAGAGACGAGTCTAGTCTGCCGCCAACCTTCCAAATGAATCCAATTTAGTAGCTCATGTTCAAATATTCTCAATACTTTGATGGAACTGAGTGGTTGATAATGATGGATCGTGTTTTGCATCTGAACGGAGCGCTCAGCGTTGCACCAGTTTAGCGTTGTAAGTCAAGCCATGTGTGACTGTATTTTTCAACTCATATGGGACCTGGTTTGAATTCATCTCCTGACCTGACCCTGCAATACAAATACAATCCGAATTGATGTGTGAGTTTTCTTCGTGTGAGGAGATTAATTAGCTTCATATTTGTTTCCAAGTTGAACCATTCTAGTTTCAGTTTCCCTGGGATACAACCGGGACTCAACTTTCCCTGCCAAGTGTAACTGTAATCTTACTCAAAGAATGAAGATGCATTCATTTGTCTTTTGTGGTCAGATAATGACGGTCCATCAAAGATGTATCTAGAGCGATTTTGATTTTAGCTTCTTGATGTTGTTTCCGTAAAATAAAGTTACATTTTTCATCGAATCCTAGTATTTATGAAGCTCATCATTATATCGCTCTGTTACAATACTATTACCATGCAAGAGTAGGGCAAGCACCAACATATATATCGAGTAGTGCTCATGGATATCTCTCTCCATAACACCAATGAGGAAGTTCAAGGGAAGCAAAAGCTATTTGCTCATGTTGCAGTCTTTTTATACCGGAGCAACAAGTTATTTTGAACAATACAATACCCAAGTGGAAAAATTAAAAGGCCAAATTGAAGTCATATACAATTGAATGAAATCAATAATCAATGTCATTGCCATGGAAAATCAAAAAGGCGAAATCAGTCTAAAATTCTGTGATCCAAGATATTATAAATTTCCCAACTTAAGTATAAACCAAAATTGTCACCTTAACAATGCCTACTTAATCCCCAATAGTTAATTACCACTTGAACCTGCAGAACAAACCAAAATGGCAAGTGAGCACATAAAAACACACCAGCTTAATGAGGGGAAAGTGAAGTTCATCCTTGTAACAAACCAAACTGACAAAGCCCCGAAGATTAAAAAAATAGGGAACTCTACCCCCACCTTGTTGGGCATGCTTTTCCAGTCTCTGACCCAACATGACTCAAAACGTCCTCTTTATACAAGAGGTAGCTCAATCAAAGGTTATCTTTTCCAGACCATAGTCACTTAAAATGTTTGAACACTCTTAAATGAATGTTTTAACTACTATAACCTAAGTCATATTCTAAAATATGGAGTAATTAACAGTCACAAAGACAAACTAGAATAAGACTAGAGTTTTGAACATTCATCCTTCCCCTCCTCCCTCCCTCTTAACCAAGTTGGATCATTTCCTACAATTTTCTAAGCAGCAAAAAGATGACACACGTAGAAACTGTGAAGTCACAATACCTGATTTGAAAAGTCACTTCCGTCCTTGTTCAGACTTCAGCTGAATCAAGTAGAAGCCAAATATATAGCATCTGCGAAAAATTTTATGACTGTTAATATGATGGTTCAAAGGGAAAGAGAAAAGTCTTCTGCATCAGTATGATTTTACAAGAGAGAAAGAGATGGATGAGCTTAAAAGAGTTATCATAACCTAATTTTGTGAAATGGAAGTATCAAAATTGACAGAACATAGTGAGGCAGGCCATGCACATACATTTTTCACTGTGAGCACAATTTCAAATGGAAAACAAAAGGCCTCTCTGTTAAACAAAACCAACCTGAATTTTTAGATCACAAATCCAATGGGCAATGTAGTTTGTTACCGTGAAGCTAGAAAGATTTGTCTTTGCCTTTCATAGGATTGATCGAAGTTTGTTCCTTCTACCCCGTTCCTGACAATCCTGCTATGCTAAATCAGCAAGAAATAAAACTTTCAGCTAGTAGAACTAGCTGTATAATTTTCACTCGAACAGAAGCTAGCAGATTTTGGAGCTTCACTCCCTCTGACCACTCTGTTATATACAACTTTAAAAGACTGTGAGCCATATGGTCGACTAAGCAAACTGATTGGCATTCTCAACGTCTGCTTTCGGTTTCTTCTACCCCTGATTAAAATGCTGAAGGTTTTCTCACCATCACTCTTCCTTTCAGCACTGCTTTCAGCATTTTTGTTTGGGCTGTTGTATTGGCTCAGTCCATTCCCAGAACTGTCAACCATACCTTGATTCAAGTGACCATTTTCCTTTAGACTTTCCGGCCCAACTCTAGCTACTTCATTAACAATATTTTTTGCCTCAGATGCTGAAATGTTGACTTCTTTCTTAGCTTCTCCAACGGTGTCAATATCCACCGGCAGCATTGGAGCGAAACTTGGGTTTGCAACATCACCTTGCATTTTGGGCTCCAATATCTGATCAGCAATTGGCTCAACAATCAATGGTGGTATAGAGAACTCCAATGGATGACCAGGCCAAATTGCCCCAGGAATGAACTCTGGTACACTGGGGTTCACATTGCACTGCCATGAGAATTGACTGGGATGAAAAGGATTGCTAGTTATAGGAAAGGTGCTTGTTGGTACAGGTTGGGTTTGGGTATAGGGTGGATACATAAAGGGTAGAGACTGCATCAAGTTTGGAGTTGGAGGGGGTGATGGATATGGATGGTGAGGGGAAGAGCATATTGGATTTGGTAAGACGGTAGGAGGTGCAGGGTGAATAGGCATGTTCACCGGCCAAGGGGCAATGGCTGGAACAGGTCTAGGAGCAGGAGGAAGGGTGATGTTGATGGGGAGCGGTGCCGCACGTGAAATGGGTGTTGATGGGTTGAAAGGAGCTGCAGATGCAGATAACTTCTTAGTGGCAAGTCCCTGAACATTACCTGAATTAAGGACCAAGGGTTTCTCCTTCAATTCTTCCACCCCTTGTAATTTGGAGTTTGAATTACAGAGTTCCTTTTTAGGAGAATCAATTGAATTCGGCATGCCATTTATGAATATGCCATCCTGTACAACTTCAAGAACCTCATGACCACCAGCTTCAAGTTCTTGTCCCTCCACTCCCTCAGACATCACCAAAGGAGAGTTATCTTCCATCACAGCAGTTGGCCTAGTTCCTTCTTTGTTTTCAACTATACCAATTTCCTCTTTCGAGCTGTCTGTTGGATCCAATATGGTGTTTTCACTCTTCTTTTCAAATATGTTTGTTATCCCCGTAGTCAACGGATCAAAATTGTCTTTCATTTCATTCATTTCCTCTCGACATTTTTCAGTGTTGAAGTTTGGGTTATCAGAACAATCAGTTTCAGGCCTGAAATGCAGTTTGAAAATACTACCTGGAGGGGCCAACGCTACTTCAGACACCACCAAAGGAGAGTGATCTTCCATCACAGCAGTTGGCCTAGTTCCTTCTTTGTTTTCAACTATACCAATTTCCTCTTTCGAGCTGTCTGTTGAATCCAATATGGTGTTCTCACTCTTCTTTTCAAATATGTTTGTTATCCCCGTAGTCAACGGATCAAAATTGTCTTTCATTTCGTTCATTTCCTCTCGACATTTTTCAGTGTTGAAGTTTGGGTTATCAGAACAATCAGTTTCAGGCCTGAAATGCAGTTTGAAAATACTACCTGGAGGGGCCAACGCTACTTCCTTGTACGAAGGAGATTTCCCAAGACTGACCATAGAATTTTTTATTGGACGGTGATCATTAGGTGCAAGGCTGGAAGCAGATTCCCCTGAAGAATTAAACACCTCACCTCCATTTCTATAGATTTCAGTTGAATTTTTAGAAGATGAAGGAGTGGGCTTAACCCTGTATGTAACAGTTTTAATTATTCTCCGTCCAAATTTTGAACCTTGGGAGGGATTCATTGTGCGCTGATCTGTATAAGCTCCATGAGATATTGTTCGTTTCTTTAAAAGGTAAAACCTACTATTTTGTTGAGTGGCCTTGACCAGAGGAAATTCCATATCAGAATCAACATTCTTTTTCTGATAACTGAAAAACTTGCCTATGGTTGCTCGCCTCTGCTTTAGTCTCCGTCCAAGCGAGACAGATGCTCTTGGCCTTTGAACAGATTGCCACCCATCATCCCCTTCAGCATGTGATTCAGACAGAATGTGGTTATCAAGGTTTCGTCTTGCTTCTGTTGTCTCTTCCACATCAGGAACCTGGGACTGCACTGATAAAGAAGAGCCCGTCTCCTTGTTAGCATCTGGTTTATCTTCCTGTTCAGATAAAAGTGTCTCTTCATCTGAAGCTTCGTTTGCAGCCTGTTTGGGGGATCCCTCAGAACTTGATGGATGGAGTTTTCCCTTCACCTGCAGAGGAGAATTGAAATTGCATATAAGGTGAATTTTAGGTAAAAAGAAAAAGAAATATATCACATGCACCTGATGGTGCACTCCAAAAGTCATGCAGCCCTTTCCCTGGTATATGGACTTGCAATTATCCAGGCTTGTCTGGAGAGTCTTTGCATGATTATGCCTCTACCAAGATGCATAGATACTTTCCTCTTTAATTTAAAATTGTTAAATAAAATTAGAACGAGAAAATTTTCCCTTCGTTGGAGAAGAATGTGCCAACATGTCTTTTATTGTAGAAGGCACAGTTATTTTTCCCTATTGGAGAAAGATGGAATCCATTTCTGAAGACAATATTTTCACCAGATTCTATAGATACCATGCCAGTTACACAGCCCCATATCTAAAGGTTCTAATTTTCACCATTCTCCACCCACCCATGATAAGCCTTCTGATTGTTACATGGACAGATTGAGACCAGGTTCAATTAAGCACAATATCAGGCTATTACCGTTTGGCTACCTCAGTAATTAAGGACCTGAAACTACAAATTTCTTTCTATAGTTCTTAGCCACTGGTACAGTCTGCATAAACTTGTTCACCAACATCTAGGTAATGCCCTACTGACAGCAGCTACATATTAACTCATTTCAAGCAATGGTATTAGTAAGAGAATCAGATTTGAGTCTGGTTCCTATCATGAATAATAATAGTATGTCAAAAATAAGTTTGACCAACCACATATTAAACTCCACCCTACCTTCATAACATAGCTTCTTCTCTTTCCTGCTGCAAGATCTTTCCCTTTGGCATCGTGATTAGGATTAATATAGTCAAGCAAATCAGATACACTGCAAAGAAGCATAAAACATCAGCACCAATACAAGGATGACCAAATTTTCGCTTATAGGAAAAAGAGGGTGTCACATTCATAACCTCTAGTGGACACAAGAATAGAGAATACGTATACAACTGCTGATAATCCAACAAGGTGCTGACCAAAAGAATTTTTTCACTTTGGCCAAGCACCAAAAGAATTTTTAGAGAGCTAAACTAACTACTACTATATTAATTTTTAAATCATTACAGCAGCCCTTCATATATTATGTAGGTAACAATGCCAGCTCTAACACACCTGTAACAATAAGCTGATTCAAATTAATATAAAAAAGCATTAATCCACAATAGAAATGAATGGGGTATCAAAGAAAGAACTTGAGAACAGGTATATGGCGGGGACAAATAAACCATGAAGGTTGGGTCCAACAGCCATGAATGGAGTAGGTTTTGTTTTGTTTCTTTTGTGTGGGGAACAAGGATCTGGGTAGGGTGAGCCAACATGAAAGGTGAAGAATAGAGGTACTACAGAAACAGAGGCTGACGCAGGCTTTAAAAACACTCTCCAATTAGAACTCATAAATAAAAACTGATTTCTTATTTTGTTAATGTGCTCAAGATGCGTTTTTGGTTAAGCAGATATAAATATCTTTCCATAAGCAATTTAAAGATGGTTCCATAAGCAAAGGCATGGATTACTTTTTCTACATCAAGCTGGGAGATGTAGAAGAAGCAACTGGCAAAATAGCAGGACCAATTATGTGAATAGCACATGAAGTAGCAAGACAAAACTACATGACATTCAAAAACAATAAACTATTTCCTAGTCCACTTCTTTAGGGAATATGTTAAGATATTTTACCTTAAATGGCCCTTGCTAGCAATGGATGCATCTGGCTTCCTAGTACCATTTCGAGCAGCTTCTTGCTGTTCAAATGCCTTGGACTCAAAGTACTCAAGCCATGCAGCAGCATCCTTCAAGAATTCATCAAAATTGAACTGGTGATGATGAATAAAATAAATACAACCCTAAAAAGTTATCATATCTATCACATGCTGCCAGAAATTATTGATTTAAGTCATGCATTTGATGTGCTTCTGTCAAATATTATCGAGCTGCAATTGCTGCCAACTTTCACTTCATTATACTTTGCTCGTCAAGAAAGAGTTTTAAGCAGTAGCTGCATTATCCCTAGTTCATAGGTTACTTAAATCTTTTAGTGGTACGAATCATATATCCAAGAAAGAGAGCACATGTTCAATCTATGGACTGCATAAGAAAGATACCTGGGTACGCAAATCATCTGGGCCTAGCTTTGCTCGGAGAATGTGCAAGGTTGTTTGTTCATGTTGGACACTTAAAGGGTATGCTTCCATCAACGAGAGAGCAATTGCAATTGCATGATAACTTGCTGCTGTCTGAAGGCATTAACAGAAAAAAGGATCATTCCTTCAAAAGTTTTCTCTTTGTTATTAAAAAGAATGACGGAGAAAAAGGAAGACAAAAGTACAAAACAGGATAAAAAATTAGCAATACTTCCTAACAGCTGATTGGGAAGCATGTATAAACTCAAAATTAAGTTTCATCATTCATGCAGTCATTTACATGTTTTATAAAAAGCCGCATTTCAGCAAAAACATCTGAGACAGCATTGTCTTACCACCCACAATATGACTTAACTTTATCATTTTTATAAACAGCATTAATTCTCTGTAGTCCTGAATGCATTTTGTTAATTAGTTTTATACAACCAAACAACCTTTAAAAGGAAACCCAAGCCAAAAAGTCAAAAACCTCTGCAATGACTTTAGTTTTAGGCATTTAGCCATATAAGAAAGGTTTTGTAATGATTTAATTTCTCCAGATCACAAAATAGTATCATAGATGATATAACAAAAAGCTCAAAGAAATTAAGTGAGAAAAGATAGAAACTCAAACCTGAATATGGTCTGGACCAAGTAACCTTTGGTTACACTTCAGAGCTTTGTGAAGATATCTGAGGGCAACATGCACATTGCCCAGGCCTTCTTCCATCATAGCTACATTTATGTATGTTGCGGCAGTATTTGGATGAGATGGGCCGCAGGTAAGATGTAAAAGATACAGAGCGCGCTTTACATATCTGATCCAACAATAATTTATAGATGTTCAGGTTAAAAGGTTAACGAGAAAGATGAAAAATATGATTTGAAAGTGCCACTGCCATCTTGCAAGATATTTCTTCAGAAACTTACAATGCACAGAAGCAAACAATAAGATTAGGTTCAACAAGTAAGATTTGAAAAAGAAAATGCATCTAGTTATAGGAATTTAAGCAAATTAAACTTTATCAATGACAATGAAATCCATTTAATGGCCCACTAGAAAATGCGCAGATGGCTGGTTCAACATCTATAATGAATATTGTATGCTATTAAAAAGTAGACTATGTGGGAAAACACTTATTTACGGCTGGTTGTAATCTTGTAATCTGTATATTTATATTTGTATCTCTAGAATTAAGTATTTGTATCCCTAAAATTAGGATAGACAATCCCTCAATTATAGGATTAGTTTTTTAGGAAGATTTAGTTTCCTAGTTTAACCTCTAGTTAGTTGTATATAAACCTAAGATTCTTGTATAATTCTCAATAAGCAGTTTTCCAATATACATTCAGTTTCCACACTGATTTATTTCTTAGTTTTTCCACATGGTATCAGAGTTTTAGGCTCTTCTTGGGAAGCAAAGTTTTCAACCTTCATTGCTGACTTTTTTAGCCTTCATTGCCGAATCCTGTTTAGGCCTTCATTGCCGAACCCTTTCAAAGAAAGATATCACTACCACCCAATTTGAGGAAATGTTAACTGAAAAAATCACTGGAGTACTACAGATGTCTCAGAAACAAGGAGAGTTCGACAGGGAAGAGATTGAAAAGCTGAGAAACTTATTGAAAATCCTTGAAAAGCCTACTATATAGTAAGGTTTCTAATTCAGGTAAAGCTTCCGGTTCTCATGGATTAAATGTCTCGGCTAAGCCTATTATGAGTTCTTAGGTCATTGACTCAGGAGTCACAAACCACATGACACATTCCTCACAAAAGTTTAGTACATATAATCTGTGTCCTGGTAATAAGAAAATTGTTGTTGCAGATGGTTCACTTACCACAGTGGCAGGATTAAGAGATGTTCAAGTTAATCCTTCGTTTGTTCTCAAAAATGTTCTTCATGTTCCTGGATTGTCTACTAATATGATATCTATACAAAAACTTACCAAAGATATGAATTGCAAAGTAACTTTTTATCCCTCTTATTGTGAATTTCAGGACCAGAGTTCGGAGAAGATGATTGGACTTGCTAAGGAAAAGGATGGACTATACTATCTTGAGACATCAAATAACACAAGTAGTATCAAGAATAGTTTACCTTTGTCATTTCTTTCTGAAAAATCTTCCAATAAAGACAAAATCTGGCTTTATCATTTTCGTCTTGGACATCCTTCTTTCGGAACCTTGAGAAACATGTTTCCTTCTTTGTTCAAAGGATTAAATGTCGAAGATTTTCATTGTGATGTTTGCGAACTTGCAAAGCATAGACGTGTCTTTTCCAATCAGTAACAAAAGAAGTTCTACTCCCTTTTACTTGATTCATAGTGACATTTGGGGTCCCTCTACAATTTCTAATATTTCTGGTGCGAGATGGTTTGTTTCATTCATAGATGATTGTACCAAAGTCTCTAGGGTTTTTTTACTTAAATCCAAATCAGATGTGAATAGTGTATTTTTAAGTTTCCAAAACATGATCCAAAATCAATTTGGAGTGAGAATCAAGAGATTTAGGTCTGATAATGCAAGAGACTACTTCAACCAGAGTCTATCTACCTATTTCCAAAAAGAGGGGATTATCCATGAGTCATCTTGTGTTAATACTCCACAGCAGAATGGAATGGCAGAGAGGAAAAATAGTCATTTACTAGCCACAACTCGAGCCTTTCTTTTTCAAGCAAATGTACCTAAATTTTATTGGGGGGAAGCTGTTCTCATTGCCACACATATTATAAATAGGTTACCTTCAAGGATTTTGGGATTTAAAACTCCTATGGAACTACTCTCACAATTTTATCCCAACCTCAGTACCACAAACAATCTCACACCTAGGATATTTGGTTGTACATCATTTGTTCATGTTCACAGTCATACCAGGGGAAAGTTGGATCCAAGAGCGATTAAGTGTATTTTTGTGGGGTATTCTTCAACTCAAAAATGATATAAGTGCTATCATCCTCCTACCAAAAAATTCTATGTGTCTGCAGATATCACTTTTGAAGAAAATAAACCATTTTTTACTCAACCTTATCTTCAGGGGGAGACTTCATTCATGGAAGATAAGGATAAAGACTTCTTTTTGCTTGATTTGCCTCATTCTTCAACATTTACACCCATTAATTCTTCTGAGTCGAAACCTGTTTCTGCTGAGCCTAAGTCAAACACTGAATTTGAGTCTGAACCCATTCCAAATACGGAAGATGTGACAAAGGATAATATTGTTCTTGATTCTATAAAGGAATTACAGGTGTACTCAAGAAAGAAAGTTTCAGATCCTGAACCAGTGCCAGTCCAAGAACCTGATCCTAACTCTAGAAATGAGGTAACTACAGTTTTTGACTCTGTTTCTCAAAATGAGCATGAATATCCTAAAACTATAACTAGTGATTATGATCTGCCTATTGCCATTCTATAAAGGAATTACAGGTGTACTCAAGAAAGAAAGTTCCAGATCCTGAACCAGTGCCAGTCCAAGAACCTGATCCTAACTCTAGAAATGAGGTAACTACAGTTTTTGACTCTGTTTCTCAAAATGAGCATGAATATCCTAAAACTATAACTAGTGATTATGATCTGCCTATTGCCATTAGGAAAGGAACCAGAGAATGTACCAAGCATCCACTATACCCAATCTCTAATTTTGTGTCATTTGAAAAATTCTCACCATCCCACAAAAATTTTCTTGTGAGCCTAAACACTATTTCTGTTCCAACTACATTATCCGAGGCATTATCCAGTGAGAAATGGAGGCAAGCCATGAAAATAGAAATGGAGGCCTTAGAGAAAAATCAAACATGGGAGTTGGTAGAGTTGCCTAAAGGAAAAAATCCAGTGGGGTGTAAATGGATTTTCACTGTAAAATACAAGGCAGATGGTACTGTTGAAAGGTATGGAGTGGATTACCAGGAAACCTTTGCTCCAGTTGCCAAGATGAATACAGTTAGGATTTTGTTATCATTGGTTGCAAATTACAATTGGCAGCTTCAACAATTTGATGTAAAGAATGCTTTTCTACATGGTGATTTGGAAAAAGAAATATATATATGAAGGTTCCATCGGGATTTGGAGGTCATCTAGAAGCAAACAAAGTATGCAGGCTGAAAAAAGCTTTATATAGCCTTAAACAGTCTCCTACAGCTTGGTTATGGAAATTTGCCAAAGTGATGCTAGCAATGGGATATAAACAGAGTCAAGGAGATCACACATTGTTTATCAAGCACTCTGATTCAGGGAGTGTCACAATTCTATTAGTGTATGTGGATGATATAATTGTAACTGGAGATGATGAAAAAGAGAGAGAATCTCTAAAACAGTGTTTGACTAGAGAATTTGAGATAAAAGAGCTAGGGAGATTGAAGTACTTCCTAGGAATTGAAGCAGGTCACTCACGGCATGGTATTTTCATCTCACAACAGAAATATATGATGGATCTTCTGAAAGAAACTGGGAAGCTTGCATGTAAACCTGCAAATACCCCTATAGATCCTAATCATAAAATTAGATAAGCTAATGAAGATGCTGCTGTAAATAAAGAGATGTACCAAAGATTAGTTGGAAGACTCATTTATCTCTCATATACTAGAGCTGATATATAGCGCTGATATATAGCATATGTTGTGAGTGTGGTAAGTCAATGTATGCATAGTCCTAAAGAAGTGCACCTACAGGCTGTCTACCGTATATTACACTATTTGAAGGCCAATCCTGGGAGAGGTATCTTGTTTAAAAGAAATTCGGGGTTAGTTCTTCTAGAAGCATATACAGATGCTGATTATGCAGGTTCAGTAACTGATAGAAGATCCACCTCAGGCTACTGCACTTTCTTAGGTGGTAATCTTGTGACTTGGAGGAGTAAAAAACAGAATGTGGTGGCAAGATCAAGTGCTGAAGCAGAGTTCAGAGCAATGGCTCAAGGAATTTGTGAACTACTATGGTTAAAAATTATCCTAGAAGACTTGAAGATCAAGTGGGATGGACCAATGAGACTCTACTGTGATAACAAGTCTGCAATAAGCATTGCACACAATCCTGTGCAACATGACAGAACAAAACACATTGAAGTAGACCGGCATTTCATAAAGGAGAAACTAGACAATGGGTTGATTTGTACACCTTATGTTTCAACCAAGGGTCAACTTACAGATGTATTGACTAAAGGTCTCAGTAGTGCAACATTTCAAGAAATTATTTCCAAGCTGGGAATGGAAAACACCTATTCACCAGCTTGAGGGGGAGTGTGGGAAAACACTTATCTTGTAATCTGTATATTTATATTTGTATCTCTAGAATTAAGTATTTGTATCCCTAAAATTATGATCCCTCAATTATAGGATTAGTTTTTTAGGAAGATTTAGTTTCCTAATTTAACCCCTAGTTAATTGTATATAAACCTAAGATTCTTGTATAATTCTCAATAAGCAGTTTTCCAATATACATTCAGTTTCCACACTGATTTATTTCTTAGTTTTTCCACTGACTACAATAGCTACAAGGCACCAAATATAACTTGTAAAATGCAAACAAACATACTTAACAGCAAGTTCTGTATGTTGAAGCCTGTAATAGAATACAGCAAGGTCTCCATAACTCTTCATTGTGTCTGGATGATCTAGTCCCAGTTCTCTCTCGTTGATATCCAAGGCTTTTTGCTGGTATATTGTGGCCTGCAATTGGGACAGATTAATGATTCAAACTAACTTGAAACCCTCGGTGAACAGAAATCAAAACAATGGTTTTTAGTAAGAATACTTCTATAAAATTGTTTAGGCTGCTGTTATTCTAGTATGATATGGATTTCCATACATTGCAGATAGAAACAATTAACAACAAGACCTGATTGAAGTCCCCGGTGTGATATAAAACTACAGCAAGAAGGCTGTAAACTCCAGCTGTCATTCGATGATATGGACCACAAACTGCTACCAGTTTTGAAAGAGCCTGTCAATACCGGAAACGTACAACAGGTTAGAGACTAGAGATGAAAATAAAGTTGATGAAGCACATGATAGAAATACCATCTTGGAAAGAGGATACAAGTCATATACCTTGGTTCCAAAAGTCACTGCATCTTCCAGTTTTCCCTTATCTAAGGCTGTTTTTGATGATTCTAAAAGTTGCCTTCCATCAGCAGATGAGCATGCCGCTTGCTGAAGAGAAATAAAATGCAATCAAATACAAAACCATGATAAAATCAACAAATTCTGAAACAAAGTTGAGGAAGGAGAAAAGACAATGTTCCGGGAATGATTTATCACCTTATGCACAGGAACCAGGCTGACAACATCAGATGGTTGGAATGGACTAGGAGAATCCATGTCAAAATCCCTTGGAACCAACTCAATTCCTACCTAAAAGAAGCAAGGGAGAGAAAAAGGAAATTGATAATTAATGTTCATGCTTCATCAACAACCACATCCTACTTTTGGCAACTTAACTAGGCATACAAAGTACCCTAAATAGCCATAGAGAATTGTTCCCTTATTCTCAATTCTGATCAGTAAAATTTGATTTTAATCAATTTGATAGCAAAATCCATCATAAATCTACTAAGAGAGGGAAGGTGACCAAGGTACGGAGACGGATTCTTCCCAACATAGCTTATATGCATCCCTCTTTCCATGAGAAAAACAGTAATGAAACTACAATATAAGCTATCCAGGATGATCCTTATGCATAATCTCATTGCAATTTCAAAAATAGTGACAAAGGGCAATATAGCTTCTTCCAACTACTCAGTGAACAGAATGGAATGTACTTCATCTCCAAATCCTTAAAAGCTTTAACTGGAAGTTATAGCCTTTAATACCTTATGGCATAATCCGCGTAGAATTGCATATTTCCTAATGTCCTTGAAGTCTAAGTTGCTAATATCCCATTCATATCGCTTCATCAAGAAGACCTGCAACCACTTCCACACTAGGGAATGGATTTTGCATGACTTGTGTAGTTCTCCGTTCTCAGGAACTCCAAGCATCAGGTTCAGAGCAGAAGCTATTGATAGAGCCATTTTATAAGTGTTAACAACAGTGGCAATCACTGCTTGCAGAACATGCTTGAATGCCCGAACAATCATCTCATGAATACAAAGTGACTGCACATGTGATAGCTTTTCTGAAAGCTTGACCTGAGCAGAAAAGAAATATCAACCAATAACTTAATAAGGGAAATAATAAAGTATTTCATTGTGCCACATCTCACAGGCTCACACACCCCGAGCAATTTTATGACATGGGATAGGTAGCAAAGGATGGACTGTGTAGTGAATTTTCACAAACTATGATGCAGTGTCTGCAGTATACATTTCTAACAAACACATATATAGAAAATTGGCAGTGCTTGACAGAGCTTTGGAAACAAAAAGGAAAAAGTTAAAGAATTCCTTTTCAAGCTGGATAAAGATGTTGTACAAGGCAAGCATTTAAAAATCAAAAGATATCAGAGTATGGCACTTACAACATGTCCCAAAGAACGCATCTGAAGACCTCTAGCATGCATGAAATCAGTTAGAGTCCGTCCATCAACTGGTGAAAGTTCCAAAGAACCAAAATCTGCAACCTGTAATTGCATAATAAGTACTAGGACCAGGAACTACTACAAACTTACCAACAGACACAATCAGGAAAGTGAGGAAATAACACTCAGGATTACCAGTTTTGGAAGAGCAACTTCAGTGTAATATTTCTGTGACAACTCAATTAGTTCCTGTAAAGACTGTCAAGCAAAATGGACATCTTAGACAAATGCTTCCTATATACAAAATTCAATACCACAGTATTCAAGAATATCTACCTTGCAATGAAGTCCAGTCTCTGATTCTTTTAGTCGAGCAAAGGCCTCTTCAGATAACTTCCTCTTCAGCACAAGTTCATCATCTCTTGAACTGGTTTCAAGCTGAGATTCTATAGAAGCTGCTGTAACATTTTCAACAGCATCTGGATGAGAATTTGAGTTTCCAGACACCATATTCCCATCTGAGTTTTTCTTGTTTTTGAGGGACCTAAGAGGCGTCCCAAGTCCCTCAACCTTCATCTCATTCTTAGGCTTCTCCCCAGATGGTTTTTTATCTTTTTCTGTATTATTTTGGTCCTGTAAATGTTGTATCCAGCAGGCTCCTAGTTCCCATCTAACAAATGGTTTCTCTTCGAGTTCCTCTTCCTCAAGCTTAGCAAGACTTTCTTCCAGCAGTCTCTCTACCAAGACTTGGGAAGAACTAAGCTCTTCATGTTCCAAAATTTGTGAAGGCAAAGCTGGTTTATTGAGTTCTGAAGGTATTGTTTTGTGAAGAAGTAATCTCAAACTGAGAGAAAAAAAGGAACTGTTAAGAATTCTGCTCATGAAGCCGAAGAAGCCAAAAAAAAAACCACAAACTACTGAGCAATAAATGCATCACAGTAAATGAATTATTATGCCTTAACATTTCAAAGGCAATTATTATGCCTTAACATTTCAAAGGCAACTCTCTTTTTTCAGGCTTTTTTGAAGGAAAAAAAAGAAGAAAAAAATGCATAAAAGGACATAAAAATGTTAAAACTCCATGAAAACCAACAACCGTATGTAAGCCAAACCATCAAGATGCAAGTCAAGCAACCACCAATCCAATGATTTCCATCATTGGGGTTTGAGTTTTCCTTCCAGGACAAATAAATACTGAACACTAGGAATGATTTAGTTGAAACCTAAAAATATAAGTGAGCCACACCATCTAGATGCAAGCAAGTCAAGCGACCAACAATCCAATGATTTGCATCTTTGAGGCTTAAGTTTTCCCTCCAAGATAGATGAATATTGAACATCAGAAAAGATTTAGTTGAAACTTGAAACATTATTATTTTTAAATCAAACTATAAATACACTTAAAAAGAGTTTCATTTATCAAACTTGTGAAAATATCTCAAATTAACAGTTTGATCCCTCAACTATAAAATATAAAATATAAAATATATTACAGCCATACATGTATATGTTTGACACACAGTAGGAATAAGAATAACCTGTTAATATTGAGGGCATTGGCCCCGCCTTCAGGCTGTTCAAGTTCAATGCTTTGAGATGGGGGACTGCTTTTCTCATTCTCTCTCCCCTCAACTTTCACAATGGCAATATAGCCACAGTATCTCACATTTAGTACACCAAGAGTGGAAATGTCCTGCGGTCAAAAGGAAAAATTGTTTCAATCTTACCAATTCAGAAAGTAGCATCTCGAACTGTGAACAGACTTTCATTCGTCATTAACATTTTCCAGAAAATATCTTACATCTGGAGCCGTATTTTCATCAGCTGTTATCCCTTTCAATAAGTTTCTTTCAAGCAAATTCTTGTGATCTACTCCAATTGCTTGAATTCCATCAATTTTAGTATCCACCTTGCAGCTTGCATTGGAAGCATCTTTCATTACCATAATATTCAAGTCCCCCACTCTCTCAGTGTACAGAGTTTCACAATTTTTTACTGAACAACTGGGATTCAGCTTTTGCATTACATGCTTCACAGCCTTAATGGCTCTAAGAATGGCCATGTCTACAAATAGGCTGTGAAGAAGGAATGCTTTCCTGTCCCGTGTCTGTCTCTCCTCTGCTGTCTTGCAGGGCATAGATGCAAGAAATGAAAACTCATTGGCCCAAGGTATCAAATTAGTTTTGCAATCTCTTTCTACACCGCCTTGATTACCCCCCCATGTTTCATCCTCCATAGGGAGAGGTGGGAAATTTGAAGGTGATTGTGCTGCAATTGGAGGTATGAGCCAGGTATTGGCTCTGAAGCCATAGGGAAGATTCCCAAACTGGAAAAGAGAAGAGGAAAAAAAACAAAATTGTGAAACAATACAAGAGCTAGGCTATCTTAATGAACAATATCTTGATTCTTGAGCATTGTCAGTCAAAGTAACTAAATAAAAGGACAAACAATGATGAAATAATCATATACCTTGTTCCGTTCTGAAAATGCTTTCATGAGATCAGTGTATGCCTGTAATATTCTTATCAAAATATTAACATAAAAGAGGAAACATGAACTGAATAATACACATCCATTCAAAGAGAAGCCATTTAACTTGACAAAAATGAATTTAAAACTAGTAAAAAAACATATAAAACGAAATGCATCAGATTCATAAAATTGTCGGGCCCCAAACCTAGGATTTAGGACATAACAATGTCACATACTCGTAAGACGAATCCCATAAGCATGTAAAGCAATCGATATTGAACTAAACCAAAATCAATACTTCCACTATGCACTCTGATATTCCATTCAAATATAACCTAAAAACAACAAATTTTACTTTCAATATTGTCTTTATTCCAATCCATGTCAAGTAATTATAGCCATATAAAACTTTAAATCTGAATATGTCAACAAATCATCTAGTTACCTCAAAAATCATATACTAATATCATTTTCTTTTCCACTGATTATTGAAATATTTCTCATAAATTTAACCCTTATACAACTATGATAAAGGTCAAGCCAATACAATAGATCATATTTCACTAGTTTCGCACCACACAAATTCAAACATAAATCTTTGAGTACCCAACATAACTCCAAATCCAAATATTATTGCTTTCAAATTTCCAAGGTCAACTATCACCTAACAATTGCACTACAAAGCTTATAAAAACCACAATATCCCAAAATTTCCTTTTAACCCAATATGTTGTTATTATTATTACCTCCAAGTCAAAGTCAAAATCTATCTACCAAAAGGAAAATCTGCTTATAAAATTTTCAACCAATAAAACTCCAAGTAATAGAAATCATATTAGATGTTCAAGTACAAAAACCAACCAAAATAGACATTTAAATAGCAAACTTTAACAAATGCACGCACACCAATTCTTAGCATCAAGTTTAGATACTTTTTCACCAAAACAAACAACACCAAAATAAGCAAACATCCTCTTAAGCATCATAATACTGATTCACCACAAGTGTAATGTTAAAAAAAAAATCCACCAAGGCAATTCAAAAACAGTAATACCAATAAATACCTCAAATTTTCAAAATATTATCTCATGACAACTCCAATACATCGTACTTTAGTCCCAAAGTAGCACAATTCAAATCCATGATCAAAGATTCACTAAAAATCCATCACAACTCCAAAATCTATATAGATTGAAAATCTAATCTCATATCCATAAGATCTCCCAGTGTCAAAATCATTCTCCACAATACTCATTCAGCTTAAAAATATCTATATTATCAAAACTCTCATCACAAAAACTCCATGGACTCTTAAGATTTGCAGATAAACAAACTATGCCACCAAATATTATCAAGGGAAAACCATTAAATAACGCATGAAAGACTATCATCTTCAATACCAGCAAGCTGGTTAAGAAGAGAATCAAAAGCTTATCACATTCCAAAGCATTTTTCAATTTAGATAAACCAAAAATAAAGGCGCATACGTAATATCTTAGGAGAAGGGAAAACAAAAAAACTGACATTATCAAAAGCTCTGCTAAGTTGGCGTAACAAATCAACAAGATTGTGACAAAGAATCCGCTGCTTCCCAACGCTATAAAAACCTTCCCGGCAAGCTTCCACGTGAACCAGCTTTCCATTGCAAAGCTTAACCTGTCATTATCATAAAATATATCATAAATATAAGAGAAATACAGAGAACAGTTTAGCCATGAAATAGTCGCATCCTTGCAAGTGGTTCAAGGACGAAGATCTCACTTCAAGGAAGAAGATACGATCGTCGCCTGAGGTCCCCTTAACTTGCCGCTTAGTTGTCCTCCTTATGACTGAAAAAAAGAATAGTTGCTAAGTTATGTTGAAACTGAAACAAGAGAAAATAAGAAGAAAGAAGGATGAAAGAGACAATACATTGAAGAGGAGGAGTGAGATGAGAAAGCGAAAAGAATTCATAGAAGGTGCCGAGTTTAGGACAAGAATGGCTCATCTCTCCTTCTACATCCACCGCCACGTCCTTAGATGAAGATTTTGACGACGATTCCTTATTCGCACAGGTGGTGGTTTTCTTAGCGGCGGCACCGCCCTTGTCCTGCGCAAACGGAGCATTCTTGCTGGCGTCGGGCTTGGGCTGATCTTTGGCGGTGGCCGATGGACCAAAGCACGTGGTGCAAGCCACGATATCCAGAACCCGTCTAACGTGCGCCACCGCGCTCTCTTCATCGTAGCCCTCTGTGTGCGTGTTTTTTTTTTTTTTTTTACAAATTTTGATGTCGCGAAACAGAAAGAGAGAGAAACTAGCCGTTAAGTCTTTTATGGGGGAGAAGGGAATAGCGTAATTATGAAGCTGAGCTATGCAATGGCGTCATGTCTAAGCAGAACGTAACGGTCATGGTAAACCAACATGGTTAAATTACGTCTTTTACATTTTTACCCTCGTTAAGTCTTACCTTCGGTCAAAGTTAGGACGTACGGCTTGAGCGCTGAAACGTGGACAGTGTCTTTTAACCGCGACCCTCTAACCTTTAAAGCGTTGGGTAAATGAAGTTAGTTCCACTAAGAATGGTCATGCCCTTCAATTAAGCCAAGAAATTTCTTGGCATTAAATTTGCTAAAAAGAGTATTAAGCCTAACTTTCTCTAAAATCTCATTTATATTTTTTATAATAATAAACTGAAAACAAAAATATAAAGTTGGAATTTCTTTTATAGGTAGTAAAATTTTTTCGACATATGAAATAATTAAGTTAAACATTTATTTTTACTAATATCTTCATTATTATGAATATTGAAAAAAAATTTGTATCTTGTGCAAAATGAAATGCACATGAACCCTTTACCGAAAAGAAGTAAAAACAAAAATCGTCCATTATTCCAGAGATTGAAAACGATTGTCATAGTCAATGCAGGACTTCATGCAATATTCCAAAAGCCATGTTGTCAATTTGAACCTGATGTGTGTGTCCCTTCTGCTTTTTTCAGATTTTTGGTCAAAATTTTATGAATTTTAAAATAAATATGCTAACGTGTCTAATAATTTTATCACTCATAAAAAATAAATATTTATAAAACTAATATATTTTCTAAAGTACTTCACCAAAATAATGCATGCACCTTGTTATCCTTACCTCATGGGATAACGAGAAATTTGTGATGTTGCAGGTCTCAGTATTCACCGATAAAAGACGACGAACATCAATGATCCTGTCTGTTGATATTCCCTGCCCATTTTTTCAATTTAAATTTAGACCAATTGCGAAAAAATAAATAAATAAATAAAATTGTTAATTTCTTCCGAAATAAAAACAGCCAATTTGACCATAAAAACCAATACTATTACAATAGTCAAATTACGCAACCCTTGCTTTGTTGTGGTACTTAACCACGCAATTGTTGATAACCACTTATTGATTTTAATAAAAACAAAATAGTAGTAGTATATCTGTAGTCAAATGACAAAATACCTACCTACTAATAAAAAAAAAAAACTTATACTAATAATGATTTTGAAAAAAAAAAAGATTTTTTTAAATGCATTTTTTCCATAATTCAACTGCTTTAATTTTTCATAAGTAGTTCAGATATTTAGTTTGTAATCTCCGTTTCATTGAAACCCAATCAAGGTAACGAAAGTAAGCGTTTTGATGATAAAGGTATTAAAATATTAATGCTGGAGAAGACGATCTGTAAAACGAAATATAAAGCTCGAAAAGCGTGAACAAGGAAAAGACGCCTAAAGAAACGCGCACGCACCACGCGGACATGGTGCCACGGTAAACAAATATTACAAGTGGAATAATTTGAGTAAGCTTGTTAGTTATGGGGGACACAAGAACATGAAATTTTAAGAACGACGGACGAACCTTGAGAATAACATGAGTTTCGTCAGGAAGGTGTACGGTGATGTCCATGACCACTGGAAGAACTGCAAAAGAAAAAAAAAAGGAGAGGTTACTTTCGGGCTATGCAGAAGATTTTAATAGGGGAAGTGAGAAGTGGAAATAATTAATTAAGCTGATAGAGAAATACTAATACCCTTCTCTTCTTTCTTCTTCTTATCTCCTTTGGCCTTTCCGCGGCTGTTCCTGGGAGCCATTTTCAACTGAGTAGATAGGAAGAACGAGTTTCTTTAGCTAGATATATATAGCTGCAGGCCTTTCCAAGAAAATGAATTAGTTGCTTGTCATTTTCTTTCCAAATGTTTTGTCGTAATCAAAACTTAAGCAAACAATAATCATATTTGTAAAAGTATGTTTTGGAGCATAATCCAATTCTTATTTCAATTCCAAGAAAAAAAAATAAAAGGCTGAAATTCAGTATCTCCAACAAAGAATCATTGCTTAGATATCTATACCTCATTAAACCTTAAAACTAGCTTAAATTCTATGCAAAATACCAAAAGAATCCCCCCCTCCCCCAAAAGAAAAAAAAGTACAGTTCAAGCAAACTTTCGAACATATGGACTACTTATTTCGAATGTTGGAATTAAGATTCAATAATTACCAAGCAGCGGCAGCAAAACAGAAGATTTTCCGAAACTTCAATGTTGAAGAACAGAGAGAAAAAAGGGGTATTTAATGCACTGTCAAACTTCTCAAGGAAGGGCAGCAATAGCCAATTAGTTAAAAGCTGAAAAACAAAGGTATTTTAAAGATAGGATAACAAAGAGGGCATAAGCATTGAAACAGTAAGAATTGAAGCTCTCATCCGCTAGAAGAGAATGGTGGTGGGGAGACGATATAAGAGAGTGTGGGGTGTGATAAGGAAGGAAGGGCGGAGATTTAACATTCAGATGAGTATATGGAAATTTATGGCTGCTTCTAGGCTTATATAATGATTATCATTTTGTGGATTTTTTTAACTTATATTTTTTTATTAGTAATACCAGTATACCTAAAAATATAAATATAAAATAATAAAATCGTTTCTTTCAAGAAAATGGTAAAAACTGAAAAGTATATTTGGCCACTGCTCCTCACCATTTAAAGTTATATTTGTATGGACGATAAAATTAATTATAATAAATTAAAAATAATAATTATTATTATTATAATTATAGTTAAAAAATATTTTATAATAATTGTAATTAAAAAATATCAATAAAAAATTTATATTGAATAAATTTAATTAAAATTAACATTTAAATTCAATTAATGATATAATAAATTTAATTGTATTGCTATAAAAGTATATTAAATCCAACTGGACACTAAGTTTTGATAATTCACATTGCAAGCGGGGGATCTCCTCATCCTTATCTTATCAGAGTTCATACTAAAGATCCATTTAGATGGTCAATGAGATTAATTTCATTGATATTGAAAATAATAATAAATATAATATTAATTAATGTAACGATGAAATTAAAATCAATAATAAAATATATGTTTAAATGTAAAAATATTGATAACGATAAAATGAATTATAATAAGAAAATGACTTTAAAGATAATATAGTAAAAATCATATTAAAAACAAAAAATAAATTATTTAATATTTATAAAATTAATAATTTATTAAAATTTATTAAATTATTTTTAAATAAATTAATAATTTTGCTAATCAAAATTAAAAACAAAAAATAGTGTTAAAATTTAATAAAATAATTATTATATTAAACTAATAAAAATATTTATATTAAACAAATAAAATAATTATAATATTAAACTAATAAAAATAAAAGTTAGTGACAAGGATTTTTTTTTTTACAACACTTCAGTGAGGAGAGTTAAAGAAAAAAAATTGAAACACGGGCAAAAATGAAAAAGGTAGACTGCGATGGGAGAAGAAACTTCCACCAGAACCTTGAGGTCTAGCGGCTCTCTGGAGCTTCAGTGCGATGGCCAAGCTTCAATCTCGCAGCACCTTGTTATCTAAACAAGTTTTTGGCGCGATTGGGTACTTTAATCGTGTCGCTCTGAAAGAAACCGTTGATCAAAACGAACTCCTAGTCACCTCTTTTGATGATAGAAGAAAAATAAAAGGATGAAAAAAAAAAAGTGAAGTTATTTATTTTTTTCGAATAAAACAAATTTATTTATTCAACTTAAATTAATTATTTTATTTATTTTTTATATGAACACAACGAAAGAAGAATGGCCAAAAAAAGCACCATGAAAGAAAATTTTTCCTCCTTTTCTTTCATTTTTCTTTTTAATTTCTTGCCAACCAAATTACATAATCACACTTCTTGCATATGACAATCTTTTAGGAAGTAATACAAAAACATACACTTATTGCGTATAAAAGTCTAGGTGAAATAATTAGGACTAATGGCATTAACTAGTAGCTGGGCGAGAACAATTAGCTGGTGAGAATGCCAAGAAATGTACTAAATAGTACACTACTTATAGAAGCTCGTCCTTCATTTTTTTTTTTTTTTTAATTTAAGCATGGGAAACTTTTCATTAATCAAATTCAACATTTGCCCATCGGAAAAAAAAAAAATGCCTATAATCCCATTTGCCCAGAAATGCAGTAAAAACGTTTGTAGTACGTGTAGTCGTGAACCATGTGGCTGGATAACTCTGAAAATGATGTTCTCCGGATAAGTTTGACGTCGACCTTCCATTTTTCTCACTCCTGGAAATTATACACTCCATTTATTTCTTTAACTATTACGATGAATTTAGTTTTTAAAGCAATAATTAACTTGATTATTTGAAAACATAATATATACTTTTTTTTACCAAACACGAGAAAATATTTATACTGCAACAAGTAATATGCACATTTGAATATGTATATATTATTAAATATAACAAATGGAAAACAAAAGAGAACAAAAAAGAAATTTAATGTTACATTAAGAGACAAATGGACAGTAGTTTGATTGACAGATAAATCTCAAGTTGCGTGACTTTCTGCTCTACTTTTTTCTTTGTTTTTTCTTCAATTAAATCGCCACATAATTTTCACTGTTTATATTTTATAATAGTTTCCAAAATTATTGTATTGAAATTAGGATATTGGGAGTACAAAATTTTCAAGTTCTCAAAAAATAAAAAATAAAAAGTAAATTATAAGACTCGTATCTGTGCATATATACGAAGTGACTAATATAAAGGCAAGAATTCAGGTCAAGACAACAAATTCTATCACATTAAAAAGATTATTAGTTCAATCTACAAATTGTGTCAGTAGTTTTATTAATTTATTTGTTTATTTATATTATAACAAGAAAAGAGCATAATTTTGTTTCATGTACGAAATTACATTAGCAAATACTATAATTTTGAATTCCACCAAAGATGGACAGAACCGACGCAGCATTAAGTTTTTCATTTGCTTTCTGTATATGGATTACATCAGCACTCATGAAAGTGGAGGAAACTATTGTGCCTAAATTAACATGATCTCAAACATACATTCCTTTTAGGCTATTACTTTAGCTGTTAGTATCAAAATTTCATACCACTTGATGATGCCTACATGAACACGAAACATTTTTCACCAATCGGATTATAATTTTTTTTTTTTTGAATTCATCATTTTTTTTTTTCATTTTTACTTGAGACGCGGTATTCAAAAAAAAAAAAATGATGAAAATCAGTTACAAGGATTGAACAATCTTAATAATTAAGAATTAGAAAACGAGTCAGCGAGGACTGGGTTCTTCTATCACTCGTGGAGAAAAATAATTTGCTATAGTCTTTTATGAAGGTGACATGCTATAACATACCATGGATTAACAAGTAATATAATGGCCACTACTTCTACTGGGCACTTAACTAAACCAAGTGGGGCGGCATTAGATTGAGTTTTAATTTTGTTTATGCTTGAAAAGATAGTCGGTTTTGATAAATTATAAGTTCTTTTTCGGCATTTGTCAACGGTGTCGTCATTGGCTAGTGTGCTTTAAGTGTTCTTATACACTCATTTATCATTTAATTATCGTAATAATTTTGAAATCGCGTAATATATTTTAAAATTAAGAGAAATAAAATAAGAGTCATCACAAATTTTTATTAGAGTATGATTGATCATCAAAAAATTTATTATTTTAATAAAATTATAAAAATATATTTAAAATTTATCAAAAAGATAAATTTTAGTATATTAAAAATCAAGTTAGATCTAGAAGTCGATTATACGTGGGAATGATTAGTATCCCACAACACCTATAAATTGATACCATTTATTTTACGTTATTTTCGGTGTTGGATAAAAATAATTTTAATTTGAAATTTAACACTAATTCCCTTCATTTGAAAAAATAAAAAATTTTCTAAAATTTGTATTTAGAAATATTGAAAAAATCTTTAAGTTAAAGAATTATCTTAAAATTTTTTAACATCTAGGCAAAATTTAAAATAACTATTTTCGCTTAAGATTTAACACAATAATCCTTAAAATGAAATAACAATCTTTATAAAAAATAATTGTTAGTGACTCTCAAACATCAATTTTTTTTTGGAATGTTATTTTTATTTTGCTTTATAATATCACAAAAAAAAATTTAAAGCATTATTTTTTTATTATAAAATATTTTATCATCAAATAGTAAATTAAATAAAGAATAATGTCAACAATTATTAATGATAACACGCTAATATATATATACTAATGAATGTCATGTAAAATGAAATGCAATTTAAAAGTTTAGTTCTTAAGTATAATGAGACCACCGTAATATTTAGGCAGAGTTTAGGTGCGACTGTTTATATTTAAGATCCCAATTTATTATACTTTTTATTTATTAATCTTATTATTAATGTGAATTAAGAACTCGTGTGAAAAACTTAATGAAATTGAGTTTCATAAATACCCTATCATTTAAGCAGCATTCGAGAACAAATCATTTCATGTGAGATTTTTGCACGTATCTTTAAGATTTAGAAATAGATTTAGGGTAAAAGGTTAGGGTTTAAGTTTGGGGTTTAATTAAAACGCGAACATCTTTAAAAATCTCTATCATCTAAGCGAACTTTCGGAGAAAGTTTAATTTCTATAATTTTTGAAAATTAATAAAAAATTTCTTATATATTTAATTTTTTTAAAAATTTATTAATAATAATTCCCTAATATTTAGGCGGAATTACATTATTTAGGCAGCATTCGGGAACAAATCATTTTATGTGAGATTTTTACACGTATCCTTAAGGTTTTGAAATAGATTTAGGATAAAGGTTTAGGATTTAAGTTTGGGGTTTAATTAAAACGTGAACATCTCTAAAAATTTCCATCATCTAGGCGGACTTTCGGAGTAAGTTTAATTTCTACAATTTTTGAAAATTAATAAAAAATTTATTATATATTTTATTTTTTTAAAATTTATTAATAATAATTTTTCAACATCTAGGCAAAATTATTTTTTAGGAATACGTTTTATTCCCTCCAACATCTAGGCAAAAAAATAATCAAAAGTATTATTATTATTCATTTTTAAGCATTGTAAATATATATTTTTTAATTATTATCTTACTTTTATTATTATTTATTATTATTAAAAATAATTAAATATTTATCCTAATAAATTTAAAATTTTTATCATGTATAAATATAAAAACTTAAAATAACAAAAATAATAATATATAAAAAAATAAAAATTTTTTTTATTGAATTGGATCAGTCAACGGTGGTTCGATTGGACCGAAAAAAGTTTGGTTTGGCGCGCAGTTCGGTTGAGGAACGGTTCGGACCGGTTCAATCGGTTCAATAATGGTTCATCTAAATCGGTTGGAGGTTGGCTGAAGCGGATTGACGAGTCGATTTACGTAGATCTCGGGTCGGGTTTGGTCCACACGTGGATCCTCTTATGCTTGAAACGATGTCGTTTTGGTTCTATGCTCAAAACGACGTCGTTATGCTTCTATGTTTTTTATAAAGTCAATTTTTTTCAACTATTTCTCCATTTTCACCAAAAAAATTTTGTAGAGCTTTCAGTTCTCTCTATCCTCAGCCGAAATCCGACGCTGTGCGTGGGCCAGCCGCCGTGTGGGTCCCCGTCGGCGGTGGTCGCCAGTGATTAAAAATTCTGAAATCCTCCTGAAAGCTCTTTTCGAAGCGATCTTTCCAGATCCGATCTCCTCTTTGTTGGAAATAGCCTCGATTGATATAGATCGGGGTTCGAAGTTTTCTGTTCTTCTTTTTTTTTTTAACTCAAACTAATAACCTTTATTTTTTGTTGTAGGTATCTCTTTGGCGTTGGTTCCTCACCGATTTGGTGAGGACTATGGTTTTTGTTTTTATGATTTTTTTGTGTTGATTTTTGTAGATCTGTTTATTTTTTTGTTTGGGTATTTGGGGGGTTGTTTAGGTTTTTTTTTTGTCTGAGAGATTGTTAGTAGGGGTGCGTATTTTTTGGTGTTCTGATGAAATGATATCTAACCATTTTAGAGGAGGGAGATCAAGTATTTTATAAGGTTAGAAACGATGGTTGCGTATGCTGATAGAGTGAAGGGATTGGACGATGGGTGGTATGATGGCTGGGGTAGCTTGACAGGGCGTAGGTGGCCAGCGGTGCCGTGCACGGCACCTGCTGGCACCAACCCTTTCCATTTTATTTATTCTGTTTGGATTTTTGTTTGTCTTTTTTTTCTTTTTTTTTTAATTTAAAATTTTAATTTTTTTAATTAATTAATTTTTTTTAGATTATAAAAAATATAGACTCGAACAAAATTCGGTATCTACATTAATCATCATGGTATTTTAATGTTAATTTGAACAAATTTTAATGACAGCGGACTGGTCAAAACTGGCCAATGAAGTCATTGTGTTTATTTTCCAAGAGAACCAATGAAAGAGTCCCAAAAAGCTACGTTAACCGGAGAGTTCAAAACGCCAAATAATGGGAGTGGCATTGCATGATCCTGATGGGGACCAAACACACTAAATTTTGTTCGTTGGCACTTTTATAAAAGTGATTCTCCTTTACATTATATACATTGCACGATTGTAGTTCCCTGTTTAATGGTCAGATATTGCCTGGTTCATTTTCAGTAATATATATATTTCATAATTTGACTGGGAAACAGAGAGGATTGCATTCATCAGAATAAAAGTTTACAGTGTCAGAGCTTGTAACTGGCATTTCCACCTTCAAAGCACAAAGTTAGTTTAACGATTTCCCACTCTAACAAATCCAGATGCTAACACTTAACATGATTTCAAAGAAGTTAATGCAAGGTGAATCTTATAAGTGCTTTCTCAATAGAATAAATGAAAAATAAAAGAAAGGATTAAGGATCAGCATGGAGATTTGATCAACGCAGGAATCATGAAGGAGCTGACAAGACATTTTAAAAATGTCAAGACTTAAGAGAATTCAATACTAGAATACATACAGCCCATGCCTTTTGTTCCAACCCATTGCCAGCCGTTTTGATCAGGATTTTAAGCAGAGGCTGCAAAACTCACCATGCTATAACTTCAACGAGGACGAGGGCCCTCCCCCTTTCCATTAATGCTGTCACTACCAAAATAATTTTCCTTCCCAGACCTTTTTCTGTCGGCCATCATTTCCAATTCCATAATAAACAATTAAAAGAAAAAGAAAACAAACGTGAGCAAATCTGATTAGGTGGTTTATAATTTATAAACAACCAAAAACAGCGTCGTTTTGTAATGTGCCAGCTGCCTAATTTCTTGATATCGTTTCAATAAGTAATCAATCATAATATCCTAATGGACTATCGGTTTGTGAATTAAAAAAATATACAAATGTTAACTATTATTGCATTTTTATTAAAATAAATTAAAATTAATTATATAAACTAAATAAAAATTTAATCCTAATGGATAAAACTCAATACAAATAAAATTTGAATTAATTTTATATTTTTTGAAAAATAAAATTTTAACATGATCATTGTCAAGTGCTAAATGATGAGACTTAAAATGTTTTGTGAGTCAAGTTTATTATATAATTTTTGAAATATTGAAGGATAAAATGGATTATAAATACTATTTATTGATGATAAAAGTGAGATAAATTTTATATTTTATTTGAAATCTTAAAAAAAATTTAAGGAAACGAAGGTTTATGATTTAAGTTTATTTTCTCCTTTTTTTGATAAAATTAAAAATTTTAAAAAATTATATTAAAATATCAAACAAAAAATATATTATAAAAAATAAAATTTTAATTTTTACCGAGTCAAACTCCTCTTGATTCCTAATTTCCTACTATTGATAGAAAAAGGCTATCCATTCGAGTTTGGATTTTAGTAGTAGTAACTTTTTTTTTTTTACCACATTCTTTTGATCTAAACCGACAGTTTCACTGCGAGACATCTTTTTATAGCTCTAGACAACAGAGAAGATACACCTGTACTTTAAAACAGGATAGAGCAGAGGCCCAATGCCCACACCACATGCCGAAGAGTAAGCCTCGAAAAACTTCCCAAGTCCCAGCCCATTATATACCCATCCCCACTGCCACTTTCTCCCAACCTTTCGATTTTCATTTCGCGCTTCGCACGAATTCAAAAATTTCTCCTCCTCTCCAACTCCCGCCATCATTCCAATAGTTGGAGGCTTGGAGACGAAACACGCCGCCATCTGTGCCACCCCGCCACACGGCCCCAATCTTTTTAATTAAACCTATAATATTATCACCTTTTACACCAGTAATTAAACCCTAAAAGATTATTTTAAAAAAATAATAACCGTCTCGGTAGGCCTTAAGGTCGTTGGCAAATTTGGTCCTTGTACAAAACAAGATCCCTTCCTTTCCTTGTCTATGAAAATTCCAAATCAGCACTAATTCCTCCGCCAACTTTTTTATTACTCTATTTTGTTTTTCCATTTTTTTAATCTCTTTTGCTAAAATTAAGTCTTGATATTCGAACCTTCTTTCAGTGTTTTGTTGGAACTTGGAAGATAACACAAAGCGGGAAGAAACGTGCTAATTTTATAGATCCCTTCTTTATTTTTGGTGCATTGCATCGATTGGGAGTTTTTAGGGTTTTAATCGGGATTCCGGTGGGCGTGGTTTTCAATTGCACAACCACCGACTTGAATTTGGGGCAACCAATTACGTTAAAATTTTATAGCTTCCTTCTTTTTTGTATCATTGCATCGATCGGGAGTTTTTTAGGGTTTTAATCGGGATTCCGGTGCGCTTGGTTTTCAATTGCGCAAACACCGACTTGAATTTGGGGCAACCAATTACGTTAAAATTTTATAGCTTCCTTCTTTTTTGTTTCATTAAATCGAACGGGAGATTTTTAGGGTTTTAATTGGGATTCGGTGCGCTTGGTTTTCAATTGCGCAAACACCGACTTGAATTTGGGGCAACAAATTACGTTAAAATATTGTAGCTTCCTTCTTTTTTTGTTTCATTGAATCGATCGGGAGATTTTTAGGGTTTTAATCCGGATTCCAGTGCGTGGATTTCAATTGCGCAACTACCGACTTGAAACTTGAATTTGGGGCAACCGATTACGTTAAATCTAGTGGGGTTTTGTTTCAATGTGAAATTAGGGTTTTGGTTGACGTGCCTAGACAGATAGGGAGGATAATCAAACGGACGGGGAATCTTGAAATGCCGAGCATGAAACGCTGCAAGATGGAAGAAACGAGCCACGACTCCTACGAAGAAGAAATTTACTACGATTATGACGTGAATCCCAAGAGATTAAAATCGAAAGGTTATTATTCCTATGGCGACTTCGAAGATTTCAGCAGTGGCTCAGGTTATTGGAGCAGAGAGGTGTTGTACCAGGCTGGTGAATTGAAGTCGAATTCAATGAATTTGAATAAAGCAAAACAATGTAAGAAAAGTTCCAAGAAGAATTTTAAGCCTCCGTTGTTAAAATTATCTGGAGGAAGAACTCAAATGCTTCCTTCCAGATTCAACGATGCCGTTCTTGGTTCATCGAAAAATGGAGAATTGAATGTCGATTACACGGATTCGAGCTTGGAGGAAGATGAATTTGATGAGTCGAGATATATGAAACTTAAGTTAGGATATGGAAGCTCCGACTTGTATCTAATTAGTAAAAGAAGAGAGGAAAGAGAAATGGATTACGTAGGGGTTAATAGTAGTTTTGATTATGGAAATTATTTGAATTTTTCTTTGGCATTGCCAGACACTGAGGAGTTTGTGCCTAGGTATAACACTTATAAGGGTCTAGAAAGGTTGAGAAAAGAGAGAGCTGGAAAAAGGAAAGATGTGTATAAGCCTGAAGATTTTGCTTTGGGTGGTATAGTTTGGGCTAAATGCGGGAAGAGATACCCTACTTGGCCAGCTATTGTGATTGATCCGATATTGCAAGCTCCTGAAGCCGTCTTAAGTTGTTGTGTTCCTGGTGCTATTTGCGTTATGGTTTTTGGTTACTCAAAAATGGAACTCAGTGGGTAATCACATCTCTTAAGTAGCTTTTGTTGTTTAGTTAATGGCTAATATGCTCATTTATCTGCAATTGAAAGCAGGATTATGCGTGGGTGAAACACGGAATGATATTCCCATTTGCAAAATTCATGGACAGGTGTGTACTTTGTAAATGACCATCCTTAGTTGACTTTACTATAATGCCTTGGAAATAAGGGGTTTCTAATGTTCTTGAAAATTTCCTTGTTCAGATACCAGGGATAGACCCAGTTTTACAAGTGGAAACAAAGTGATTTTCAGATGGCACTGGAGGAGGCAGTTTTAGCAGAAAATGTTTTCCTGGACTCAGGCCATGAAAGCCAGCAAATAGGATGCCCAGATGCTCAACCCAGTGGTTCAAGTCAGGATTTGGATTATTTATACTCTCAAAACCTGGCAAGTTTATTCAGAACCATTTATGTTGTATTTATGACTTTAAGCTTCTCGAAATTAATAGTTTTATGAGGCATCCTTAATTTTGGGGGTCTAAGTGACATGGAATGCACTGTAGTTCTACTATGGACGAGCTCAGTTGGATATTTCTTTCTTCATGTCAATTTTGGTTTAAGCTCTTTGGTTTCTCCTTTTTTGGTGTGTAGGGCTTGCAAAGTACTTCAGTTTTGGGAACTGCTTGTTGATTTAAGCAGGATGCAAGACCTTGTGACAGCTGTGGCTCAATTGTCCCTTTAAAAACTATGAAGAAAATGAAGAGATCTGCTTATGAGGCTGAGCTTTTGTGCAAACATTGTGTTAAGGTTAATAAAGGATTCTTTCTGTTGAGGATGTATGTGTCTTTGAGTTGAACAATAAAATTTTACTTTCTTAAAATGGTGTTCTTGTTTCATTACAGCTGTGGAAATCAAAGCAGTATTGTGGCATATGCAGGAAGATTTGGCACCATTCAGATGGTGGCAACAGGGTAAAATATTTGCTTTAGAGCTTTTAACTATTTTGAGTATTTTCTTTGATCAAACAGTTGCTTATTTTGAGATTGTTCGTTTAAACCTGTGGATTAGGTCTGTTGTGATGGTTGTAATGTGTGGGTACATGCTGAATGTGACAACATTAGCAGTAAACTTTTCAAGGTATGCTTATCATAACCAACTTGCCTGTTTTTATGTTTATGATTCTTTCTTATTTTATGTTGTACCTAAGTCATAAGTACTGACTTGGTCACTGTCTGAAGGATCAGGAGCACATTGATTATTACTGCCCTGAATGTAAAGCAAAGTTCAAATTTGAATCATACTTAGTGAAAAGTGAGCCAAAAATCTAGTATGTTGGTTTAATCTGTGTTCCTCCTCTTGACAGTTTCTAATTTGAATTTATGTATTTGTCTTAAGGGAATCCTCTGACTCATTTCCAAAATTTAGACCTAATAATGTGATGAAACACTGAAACAGATCTACAGAAAAAGGGGAGAAAGTGTTCCTCCTGACAAGCTAAATCTAGTTTGTGGTGGTGTGGAAGGATCCTATATTCCAAAACTTCATTTGTAAGTCTTGAAAAGCTTTAACATATTTGGAATAGGTTAGAAAAGTAGGTTGTTATCTATTTTGTTTCTATCTACTATAATTTTCTTCCATAAAAATTTCCATTATGTTCCAGAGTTATATGTGAGTGTGGTGCATGTGGGTCAAAGAAGTATTGGCTTAGTGAATGGGAGCAGCATACAGGCTGTAGAGCCAAAAAATGGAAGTACAGCATGAAAGTGAAAGGCATAATGATACCTCTGGAAAAAATGGGTCTGTTCTGGTTTTTGTGATTTCGGAAGTATGGCTTTGATCTTTTACTTGATTCATTTATAGTTTGATTTGCTTTAAAACTTTTTTTGGGGTAATTTATAGGTTCATTAGGAGAAGAATGTACTCTTTGGTTTTGCCCACAAAAGAAACAAACTTTCTTTCTTTTTTTATTTTACTTCCACCTTCTCCTCATGAATGGTTATTGTTCATGGCTGTTCTTTAATGTTCTTGAATCCAATGTGCTATTTTTCTTCTTTCTTTTGAGCAGTACATATCTGGCTTTTGATTGTGTAGTCATTACATGTAAATGTAACTTAAGCTTATAATCCTTTCAGATAATGTTGTTAAGGCTAACTTTTGTGTGTATCTGTTGTAACTGATGTGAAGATACTAAATTGTCGCTGATTTCTGATTGGTCAAGCTCAAGGCCCCATCTCATCCTCCCAAAATTGCCAAAATAATCCCATTTTTTTTTGTTGTTTGATATAATCTATGCTCACATGAAATATAAATTTGTGGTTCTAGCGTGCAGATTGTTGAATATAATGCCTTTGGTGCTGATACACTGAAGCTAGATAAGCAGAAGTTAATTGGTTTATTTGCAAGGTAAAATGCATTTTATAAGGACTATTTCTTGAAGTTCTTTTATCCCCTATTTTTGTTTGGAGTTGAAGAAGTTAACCAATTTTGAAAAGGTTGAAACTTAATTAATTATTACTTTCATTGTAATAGAAAAATATGAGCCTGTTCATGCAAAATGGACAACCGAAAGATGCGCCGTATGTAGATGGGTTGAAGACCGGGATTATAACAAAATTATTATCTGCAACAGATATTTTCATCATGCATCAGTTCTTTATGTTGACTTGCAAACCATTTTATAACTGCCAGATTTATTGGAAAGAGAGAAATTTCTTTGTTCAGGTGTCAAATAGCTGTTCACCAAGAATGCTATGGGGCAAGCCTTGTTAAAGATTTGGCTTCTTGGGTTTGTAGAACTTTTGAAACACCTGATGTTGAGAGGGAGTGTTGCCTTTGCCCTGTAAAAGGCATGTCATGTAAAATTAGTTTTCATGCTTCTTTTTCATTCTCATTTATGTAGCAGGAGGGAATTAGGAGGGTGGCGGGTGGAGGGGGGGTTATTTGCTTAGCAAAATAATTTTGGGATATATTTGCTTAGTTGCAATAAAATATGAATGGCACTCCTTTTATTGACTCATATTTCACTTCTTGCCATCAAAGTCATTTTTGGGATTTATATAGTCACTTATAAATGGAATAGCTTTTTGTGGAGTTTGACTGTTTCTTTCAACAGTTTGTTCTTCTAATATGTAAATCTGCTTCTACAGGGGGTGCTTTGAAGCCAACTGATGTTGAGTCACAGTGGATTCATGTCACAGATGCCTGGTTTCAGCCTGAAATTGGTTTCTTGAATCATGAGAGGATGGAACCTGCTGTTGGAATCCTTAGATTTCCATCGAGTTCATTTTTGAAGGTTCCTTCTGAACTAAATGATCATTCTAAATTATTGTGTCTTTTGAGAATTAAGTTCTAAGATCTTTTGTTGGTAAGCTTGAGAACTGCAATGTCATCATTTTCTGCAATGCATTTTCTTATTATTATGATTGCATCACAACAATTCGGTGCTTTCCATCTAAGTGTGATTTAATCATGTGGATGACAGAGTTGCGTGATTAGTAAGCAAACTCATGGTTCTTGCACTCAGTGTTGCAAGTTTGCAACTTATTTTCATGTGATGTGTGCATCAAAAGCAGGATATAGCATGGAAGTAAGTCTTTAATTTTTTTTTTTAATGTTTTGGTTAATGGCAAATGTTTATCCTAGATTTCTAAGTGGAAGAGTCTTGTATAACTCCAATGGCTGCTGGAATGCATATGACTGACTTTTTAGGTGTTCGTACTTTTATAGAAAATGTTCTTTTATTGTCAACTCATATTTATGCCTATTTTACATATTAAATTTACAGCTACACTGCTCAGAGAAGAATGGGACACAGAGAACAAAAACGTTAGTGTACTGTGCTGTTCATAGGTTTGGATTATGTCCCTTCTCTTTTTTCATTTTTTCTTGTACCTATTTTCTCAACAACTGGAAGCATAAAATTTTGGTTCTGCTCCTGTATGCATCATATCTTTTCTTTGGATTGGATCCTCATAGTTTGGTCTTTGATACAGGAGGCCAAATCCAGATGCAGTGGTTGTTATGCATACTCTTTCAGGGGTTTTTGCCGCCAGAAACATTCTTCAGAACGAGAATGAATGTCTTCAAGTTTCAAGGCTAATTTCGTCCAAGAATGCAGAGCTCCCTGGATCCCCAGCTCCAGAGACAAATAAATTTGATGCATACTCTGCCGCAAGATGTCATGTTTTTAGAAGGTCAAATTTTAAGGTAGATGTCCAGGAATTTTGTGATGTGCTTTCATTTAATTTTTTTTTATTCTGTTAATATTTTCTAATTCTCTGATTATTATTTTTATACTTCCTTAAACCTTTTTATTTCCTTCTTCATGAAGGTGAAGTCCATTGATTTTATGTGATTAATTTTTCAAATTTAAGCTAAAGCCGTTTGCTGGTACTAGTTACCAATAGCTTCATATAAAGTAAACTCCTAACATGGTGAAATTATTGGTATCATTATTATCTTACTTATACTACTCTTGTTATTTGCAGAGGGCTGAAGCGGAGCCGATATTCCAATGACTGAGTAGGCCAAGTCGTCATCCTATAGATGCATTAAGTGCATTGAGCACATATAAGGTACTATTCTTGTCTTTGTTGTTTTAGATCTCCTGTCTTTTGAACACAAGTTTTTCATTTGGAACAGACGTCATTTATCTTTGCCTTCTTGGTCCTTTTGGATTGGTCAATGAAGTTACTATCTTTATAATTCCTTTGTCTTATAACAGGAAGTAGATGATTCTACCATTTTCTTGTCATTCAAGGATTGACTGTACCAGTTACAGGTAGCTATGATTCTTGATTATGTCCCATGATTATTTCTTCATTTGATGTAGCTTTCTAATTCAATTTACATATGTACTTTTAGAGAACTGAGAATCACTGAGTTTGTTTTGGTAAATCTGGTATTCCTGGATGGGGCCTCTTTGCACGTTGGAACATTCAGGAGGGAGAAATGGTACTTTGTTTGTACTGCTATCTCTGTTTCTGTCCATTTCTTAAAGCATCTATGTAGATTGGGTTGGAAGTTGCATTTTCATTCAGACAACCATTATTATGTTTGGTGTGTTGATAATCAGCATGTCCATCTCCTGGTTGTTGAGTATTGTGGCGAGCAGGTTAGGCAGTGTTGCAGATCTTAGGGAGGCACAATATCGTTCTGAAGGAAAAGATTGCTATGTAAGTTTCTTATAATCCCTCTGTTTAATTTGTGGATGTGCTGCATTGGTATTTCAATCAGTTTAGATTTGACTATCTTTGTGGTCTAGATTTTTAGTTGATAGAAATAAAATTTACATACCAATGAATTGTCATGAAGTACTGTAGTTCTGCACAAGATTTTTCAGCGGCTTATAGTATACAAGTACTACTTAGAGTGTTAAATTGATAAGCGAATGTCAATATTTTCTTGGTTTCATGAACTTTTAAGGTTTGATAATGCTGAAGTGCCCATTTGACTATGTAGTCTGTTTGGAAAAGGTTCCTAGACTTTTGGAACACCTTGATATATACTGTAGATTGGATGAATCGGTGGAGTTCCGGAAATAGATTGCATGTCAACGGTTTGACTCAACCATCAAATATTGAACTGAATGTAGGCCAAGATAAATGTCATTATCATCTTTGTGATCATGTGTCTGTTAACAGCATTTATAGAACGTGTGAAGTTTCTCCATTTACTGTACTGACTTGACACATGCTAGAGTCTTAGAGCCTCTTTGATTGTTTCTAATTAATCAAGCTTGAATCACCCTTGCTATTTGGACAGGTCTATTTTTTATTGTTGCTGCTGCTGCCCGCTGATTTTTTTTTTTACATACTGAATTCTTAATGATTGTTGAATATGTAATGCAGTTGTTCAAAATCAATGAGGAAGTAGTGATCAATGCCACCAACAAGGGGAATGCTTAATCAATCATTCGGTAACGGCTTACAATTGGATTGATGCATCCTCACCCCCTGTTCCTCCCCATGAAGAAAAACAGAAAATGATGCCCCTATGATTACTTTAGTGTTGGTGTTACTAGTGTAGCCTTCTGAATTCTCTTTGTATGCTGAAAATATCATCCTTTTTGCAGTGCATGCCTAATTGCTACGCAAGGATCATCAGTGTTGGTGAAGAGGAGAGCCGGATAGTTCTTATTGCTAAGGCCAATGTGTCTGCAGGCGATGAGCTAATGTAAGATTTGTGGATCCCTCTTTTCTCCCTATTTTTGTTCTTGGATATTCAAGTTACTGCATTCATTCATCAATACTCTAATTACAATTTGGATGATACAATAATCACATCTGTATGATTTGTCTGACAGGTATGATTATTTGTTTGATCCTGATGAGCAGGATGAACTCAAAGTTCCTTGCCTATGTAAAGCTCCCAACTGTCAAAAATATATGAACTAAGATCTACAGTCCCATTTATCTCTGAAAGAAGCGTTAAAGAGCTCCTAACTGATGGGGAACGTCTCCCCTCGAGACAGTATTTTGCTCACAGTTTTTTTTAGGGTTGTAAACGAGCTAAATATAAATGAACAGATTTATATTTGTGTTTTGTTTGTTTGTTTATTTTTAAAAGTGTTGAAAATTATTTTATTTATTCAAGTTCAGTTTGTTTAAATGATATGATATTTATGTTCAGTTTATATTTGATTTAATTAAATTAAATAAGTTCGTTTGTAAATATTAAACGAATATATTTACAAATAATAAATAAATTATAATAAAATAAATTTAAATAAACTAATTTTAAATGAATGTAAATGAATTTAAATTAACATAAAAATAAATCTTAAAATAGATTAAGATTAAAGATAAAAATATAATTTTATTAGTATTATTATAAATAATAAAGGAATGAATTTTAAATAAATTTTAAATGAATTTATTTATGAATATAAAAAAATTGAATAGATTTTTGTTTATGTTTGATTTATTTAATAAATAAATATAAAAATATTATTTAAAATTGCTTGTTAAATTTAATAAATAAATATAAATGAATAAAAATTGAATATATTTACAAACAATATGTTGAAAATTTTGTTTGTTTATACTTCTAATTTTGTCCCCAGTGAGCTTGTAATTCTTTCCTTTTTTGTCCCCTTGACAACATAGTTTTAATTCTTTTTCAATAACATGTAAATTTATAAGCTCTTACTGGTGCTTTTATACTATAATAATATTGTTGCTCTTGAATTTAAAATTAAATCGTTATAGAAAACGTATAATAGGAATTAAGGTATTAGGCCTTCGCCATTATCTCCCAAGCCCAATCAAACAGATACGGAGCAGGGTGGCTCAAAAATATTTTTAGAAAGCCCAATAGCAAGGTCCAGGTTTCAGATCCGTTATTGAATCGATCCCGTTCAATTTTCATTTTCCTTTTTGAATTATTTTTAAATATGAGGATTTGGCGCGTCGCTTATATATGTATATACACGGAATTTAAAAACCTCTTAAATATCAATCGATTTCAAATTTCTTTCCAGATTCAGAAAGGAACACGGAAGAGAGACAGAATGAGGAAGCGATTGAAGAGAACGAAGGGAATTAGCAGTTGCACCTCTCCTCTTTGCACTGATCGCTCTACTTTCAGTTGGTAACCTCTCTCTCTCTCTTTTACGATTTGGAGCTTGATGATGATTTTGAATTTTCGATCTCTTCTTTATTCCTTTGAAATTCTGAGCTGGTTCAGTTCATTTTAACCTAAATTCAGTTTTTTTTCCCAAAGTTAAATTTAGATTTAATTATGTCATTTTAGTAACTATGAAAGTTAAATCTAATGAAGCGAGCGATCAAAAGGATTTGAACTTCTTGAGTTTTAGCTGATTCAGCTAAAACAATTACATGATGAATCTTTTTCCGTTTATGATAGTTCTTCTCATTCTTCGATCCTCGAAGTTTCGCGCTTCTTCATGCATCGATGAGGTGTTTTCAAAGAAAGCAAAGCAAAGAAAAAAAAATCATTTCTGTTGTTTTTTTTTTTTTTTTCCAGGAAAAAGTTCTCTACGAACCGTTGATCTAGAAGTTTCAACGAGTCTATTCTCTTCAGGGATAAATCACTTTTAAACTCCGTTAATCCTAGAAATTTTGGCATTGCAAATGCATTTTGTTCCTCGAATGGAATCGGTCTCTGTTTTTGAGTTGGTTGTACCAACTTTCAGTCAATCGAGTTTATTTTAATTGTCAAGATCTGTTTGGTAGATGAGAAATGGCGGAATCTGAAATATTCACTGTTTGGTAGCTCAAAACAGAATGGGACAACTCTTAAATTTTCGATTCTCACGAATCAATTTTCTAGAAAGTGATTGGTCCAAGTCAAGTTCATATACTGATTCAATTTCTTTTTTTTTTTTTTTTTCTTAGCAGCCAAAGAGTTATTAATTGTTAAATTCTTGACATATGGTTAAATTAATCTATATTTTTCATATGCTTAAAAAGGTACGAGCAGGATCTATGGACATACATAGCTAGGTTTTTGGGCGGAAAATCATTGGTAATGCTGGGAGTGACGAGTAAATGGTTCAACAGCGTTATCATGCAAGACTGTATATGGAAGTTCGCATGCTTGCGTGATCTTCAGGTTCCAGATACTGGCCAAGTGTCATTCAGTTGGTCCAAACTCTATGCTTCAGCTTTTGGTAAACATCAAATACCTTTAGATATCTTTGACGTGTATATTAACTGTTTGAAATTTAAATTCCAACGTTTTTGCTAGATGGGAGTCACTCTTACATGCTCCGCCAACAGGAGAAACATATTGGTGAGCTCTCTTTATCAACCCATTAATTTGCTTGTTAATAGTTAGAAGTTTCAAGTCTATCACCATTCTATCACCTTTCACTTTAGATTTTGTTGGGTGCACTTGATCATTAATCTATAGTGAGATTATGAGCTGGTGGTCTTCGTGTATAAGGACAATTTGGTATTGACTGCATTATACTTTTTCCTGGGGAGTAATCAGACTGGATGCGCATTGGGGCGTTTTCATTCGATTCCGAAGTAGCATTTTTGAGCGAAAGGATGAGTCCACCTGTGAAAATCCCGAAACAAGAAATTATAGATGATATTTTGCAATCGTGTGGGACATGCCTGCTAAGGGAAGTCAAGACAGGAATCTGGATAGCTGGTATAACTCCTGGCATTTTTCTTTTGTAATATGGAACATGCTCTTATGCAAGTTGTGATCAAAATTCCAACTAAGTTTGTATTTTAATATGGTTGATTTTTCAGATTTACAGCTTGTTCGGTGCCCAGTGTGTGACCAAGAAAAATGTGAAGGTGAGCAATGAAAATGACATACTACTGCCCATGAAAGTGCAGTGTGAGATTTTGTTCTTGATAGCAGATAATGAACATGCAAGTATGATAGTAGATTATGAACGTGCAAGTATGATAGTAGATTATGAACGTGCAAGTATGATAGTGGCATTGAAATCTATGATATTCCTCTTTCATTCATCTCTTTTGCCTCATTTTCTGCTGATCTCTGTTCTGTTCTCTGGAGTCTCAACTACTTTCGGCAGGGATCATAGTTGCCACATTAACAAAGGTGCTAATTAATCAACAGAAAGGATATCTTTGTGTTTGGCAGGACACCATGCTTGACACTGGATGACGTAGAGAAAAAAAAACTAAGAGGATCATGGATGCATCATATCACTGTTTCCCGTTGAAACCTAGATTACTGGTTTGTTTTGTGTGGTGCCAAATTTATCCGAGGGCAAGTTGAGTAATCTGCAGAGCATGAGTTTAGACTTTGGACTCTAAATTGTACCATACACAAGGTGCTTACTTTTTTCAAAAAAGGAAGCAACAGACCTGAAGAAAGAACTTTTGATTGTTTATGTAGGTACAATGCAGATGTTAGATGCAAGGCACATTGAGCTGTTCCTAAGCCAGGGTTACCAGGATGGAAGTTGGGGCTATGAACTTGTTGGATCTCATGAAATCAAAAAGAGAGTACGAGGAGCTTATGGGGCCATTTTTGACTTCAAGTACCTTACAAGCAAGATAACAGCGGGTAAAACCTAATTCTCCACCTGAAATTTACTCGCGTCATTCTCTTCTTGTCTAGAATGCATTAACATTAGCCCGCTGGGTACGCTCGATAGAATCAAACAACTATTAAGATGACAATGCTTTTTTGGATGCCTGATCCATGCTTGATCATGCCAGAGAAGTTTATTTACTGAGCTTTGCTTAGTGAATTAGGTAAGATAAGGAATGAAAACCTTTGCCCTACAAAGCTGACGTATGTGGTCCAAGCCTCCAACAGACTGCTAAGAATTAAATTGACAATTGAAAACTGGGACTTTTATACAATGGGATTGGGGCAGCTTTTGGTGTTCTAAAATTCCAGTTTTCGTTAACCATTCAACAAATTATGTAATAAGTTGGAGAGGTAGAATAGTCCTTGTTTGCATTTAGAATAAGGCTAAAGGATAGTCCTCTTTTTGGTTGCCTGCATAGCTAAACCTCGAGTAATCCTGTTAACAAAAAGATAAACTGTTTTAAAACGAAAATTACATTCGATCACAGCAACTCTTAATTTAATTGGTTAATATATATTATCGGCTTAGAACATTAACATATTTTCTTGAGATCGGCTGAGGCCATCAAATATCAAACAGTACCTATTATTGAAAAAAAATTTGAGGATCTGAATTAGTTTACCAATGACCTCGCAGGGGTCTTCAATTATAAGTCATGGATAGGAAAAGCCAATGACTTTCAACCAAAAGCTATAATTGCTCTTCATGCAGTTGCGGTCAACACCAATTTACAAGAAAATCAAGGTAACAAATCCATAAACTACAAATCTTGTGTGAAAGTTGAAGGAAATTTGCAAATTGCATAAACAGATGGGCTGTACCTGGCTTAGATTGGAATTATTCATTGCGGATTTCAACTATGCATGACATGATTGATTACAGAAGATCTCTTTTCCTATTAAGTAATTCTTAATGATTTGCTCACTGTTCTTTCTTTTTCTAAGAAGCAGGAATTCTAATAAAGTACCATACCATGAGAGCTGGAGCTCAAGGAGAAGTTGTTTCAATTAGAATCTCTCAGCAGCTCCTATGACATTGCTTGAACACCACACGATGTCGCAGAAGTTCTGTTTCTCTCTCGAAGGCCGTTGTGATGCCTTTCAAAATTTTCTCATCATTCAAATTGATTTGTTCTTACTTCTAACCGTTCCAATAGAATAGGAAAAATTAACTCAAATAAGATTTGCTTTGATTGGACTTCCTTCACGTAGCTTTGTTTTTCTGCCCAATATTAAAATGACACGCCACACGTTAGGACAAACATCTGCTTGTAAACTTGCCTGAATTTTAGTGTGTGTGGGCGGATTAATGGCACAGTGAGCTTTTTTTTTTTTCGGCTATCAGAGCAAGAACCAGAGAAACAACGGTACAAAAAGGAAACAAAAAAAGTGAGTAAAACAGATACCAGAGGAGCGGAAACAAAGAATTTAGGGCCATTCAAAGCAGTAAACACGCTTGCTTGTCAGTAGCGTCAGGTTTCCAGTTTACTATTGTAGTGGATGGCACCAAGCACATGGTATACTTTCTATGTTTAATCATTAGGGTTTTCGCCTTTCTGCATTTGGATGCAATATAAAACGAGTAGAAATAAAATATTTGCATATGGTGTTTCGAATTTCGATTGGTGTGTCTATATAGTCTATAGAATCCCCAGTAATTACTGACCATAAACAGACGGCCTTGGGTGATGTCATTGAAAGTTTTCCCTCATACAAGCTAGATAACTTTTTTTAATAGTTGACTTTCTATGTAGTTGAATAATTTAATGGAGTCTTGAAATGGATTGCTCCATTTATCCCCTGAGACATGCCCATCCCTAACTTTAGTCTTTTTGAGTATGGATATCCTCAATCTTTTTCTCATTCTTGTTTCCCTTTATATATGCAGCAGAGCCTTGTTCCATAGCCAAGTGTGGCAAAAATTAAATTCCTACCCGATTCCCTTTCTGACTAGAAGGCAAGCTACCAGAAAACTGTGGATATCCTGGATTCGACCTAGGATGCAAATGTCACAGTACAATTGTTCTAAAACTTCCTTATTCTGGATAATTTTTTGTTGGCGACATATAAATTATCTGGACCAACGGATATCTCTGTATGACCCTTATAATTGCCTTTCCAGGCGACTTCTCATCTTCAATCTTTCAGGTTCTCCCTTTCTTGCTGCTTTTCACCAGAACTACACCTTCCTAAACTGCACAACTCAAGTCACAAAGTCTCGCTTCACCACCATTGATTGCCTAAGCAATTCAACAAATTCCGTCTTAGCTATTTCTTCCAAAAGTCTTGTGAATTCAGTGGCCTCATCATGCCAGATAATTACTCCATTGCCGATTTCAGTCTCATGGCTAGCTCAATATGATGGCGCGTTCTCAGCTGACGTTGGTGATGATATTCAACTAAAATGGTACACACCACCTCAATGCGGAGATTGTGAAGCAGAGTGCGGTATCTGCGGGTTCAAGAGCAACAGTGGTGAAGAAATTGACCGTTTCCATCTTCCTAAATCAGGTAAGGATCTTTCATGCCGAATCCGCTTATGAAGCCAAAGGAGAGCACCAACATGTACACAGACCAAAAAACACCTTAATATTCCAACTTATTGGAAGGATAAAAAAGAAAGAGAAGAATGGGGTTTTATAAGCTAAATCATCAACATCATCATCATCATCATCATCATCATCATCATACCACAAATCTCAAATTCAGTTTAGGCAAGGTGTAATTTATAGCAACCATTTGTTGTTCCATTTTATTAAAAAAGAGCACAGACTGTCACAATCTCCTTAGATAACAGGGTTTCATCTTACAAATACCATGTCATACAAATATTAAACAGAACAAAAAAATATAATCAATTCTTGGTTTGACAAAATGAAACTCCTTAACAATACTATAACGTGAGATGAAGCCTACTACATAGGTTTTCATTTCTTTGCAAGCAGCTTCTTTGGAAGCTTATCTAAAGGGATAGATTTTAGCAGGAAAAGACGGGCAGCTCGTTCTTGCAAAGTACCCCCGCATTTTAGACCACGTGCCTGCAGTTCCGATTTCAACCTCTCCAATCCAAGAACCTATAGAAATGATAAAATATTAGTGTTGAAATGACATTAAGCACTATAAAAACAACAGCATCACCATGACAATTTAATTCATACGCAGATTTCAATTTCACTCCATGACATCTTCAATATTCTAGTTTGCATGATGCAACTATTTTTTAGCAAGGACATACAGACAAAAGCCTAAATAACATCAAATAACTATGACCAGATTTAAGCTTGGGCTATAGGAAAGCATTTGATAAAATTGCAACAACAAGCTACAGATGGCTGAATATCCTATCTCGTCTAGGTATGCAATCATAGAGTTGGCTGGAAGTTCTAACTTTTTTTTAACCTCCTAGATATGTCAATGCTATTGATCTATATTAAGGGTGAGAGTAATAAGGGCTACAGCGCAGAGAAAGCCAAATAGTTGAGATTTCTTTTTGCAACTCTATAAACACTCTCCTTCAAACCATCTACATCTACAAACTTTAAAGATAAAAAAAGAGAAAGAAGCAAGGGATGGGAATCAACTAAGCCTACACACAAAGAGGAAACAGGAAGAGAACTTCAAGTGTGTAGCCATACCTCCATCTCTTCTGGAGAATTGAAGTCATCAAAGTTAAATGGCTTTTCTAGTTCTGCCACATTAGTATTTGAAACGACCGTTTCTTTGTGAACTTCTGATTTTGCATTAGAAGAACAATTGACTTCATCAATCAGTTGGCTTCCAACAGCTTCGTTATCTGCAAGTGGAACACTGAGAGGCTGACTAGCTATTTCCTCCTGATCTTCAATGTTAGTTCCATTATGTTCCAACATCTCAGGTTGAACTGCTTCACTTCCAGCAATCACATCTAAATCCATGCAGGCTACATTTGCACACCGTGCAGCCTTCTCTTCATAAACCTTTGGTTCGACTTCAATCATGGCATTAGCATCTTCCCCACCAGATTCCGAGCTTTGCTGCAGAGCAATCTTTTTCTCTTCCTCAGAACCACTCTCACTTGAGACTCCACCTGAAAAATCTCCATCCTGTCTTCCTCCAGAAATTGAAGCAGAACTCCCCTCAGTTCCCTTACTAGAATCTGAATCATTCCCATTGTTCAAAACTACAGATTTCTCATTTTCCTCATCATCTTCATCCTCACTGCTATCATCACTATCACTATCACTCTCATTCAATTTCCTCTTTCCCAACCTATATAAGCAAACAAAAACAAATAAATAATCCAAATATTAACACCAAACCCTACATTACAAGTTAAATTATCTTAAAAACTTACCAAATTTTCAATCTTTTGGGGTCAGCTCCTCCTGGCACCGCCTTCTGCTTTGCATTCCGGCACGCTGCCCTAACGGACTCTTCAACCACCGCCACGCACCTCGCTGACTCCTCCCTGTACTTTTCCACATACTTCTCGGCCTCTCCATCTCCAACCCCCTTTTTCCCAGTTTTTGCCTTTTTCTTTATAAAATTCTCTGCGATCTTCTCCAACTTCCTCTCTTCCTCCTCCGCCTTCCACTCTTCCAACCTCTTCTCAGCATTGACATGCCTCAGCCTCCTTCCACTCATGTCTCGGCACGCCTCGAAATTGCTCGTCTTTTTTTGCCCGGCCTTTGTGGCTGCGCCACGTAGCAGCGATCCGAATCCTCCTTTTCCACCAAGAAGACGGAAGGTGAGGTTGAGGGTGGCGTTGGCGTGAGAAATTACCGAATCGTCCTTGAGTTGATGACCATGAATCAGACGCTGAAAATTGATAGGTATTTGGGTAATTTTCTGGATTCGGTGCTTGATGGAGCCGACTTCGACTTGTGGGGTAGGGAATTGAAGAGATAAAGTTTTGCCATTGAGAAGTTTAACGAATAGCTGTAACTGCCTTGGCTTCAGGTTCTTGATGTTGTCTCCACTGATTTGATGATCTTCCATAACTGTTAAGCTTGTGATTTGAGATAGGAAAATTTCTGGGTTCTGTCTGAATGGAATATGGAGATCAGGGTGAAAGAGGGAAAATAGGGTTGGGGATCCTGATTATAAAGAATCCCTAATTTTGCCGAGTAATCAATTTTTTTAATCGGGTTATTTTGGGAAGTGGCGGTGAATGGCCGTTTGTGGGTCCCGCCTTGTACAAGTAACATTACATTCTGTGGATATCCGGGTCAAATATTCGGGTTGTTGCTTTAATTAGTCCCAAATTTTTCCTTTTTTTTTTTTTTATTAACCTTCCTCAAGTTTTGTCCATTTATTTGCTTAAACTTTAAAAATTTTGTTGCTGTAATTTTATGTTGAACATAATCGATTAAAAAAAATCTTTTTTTGTCAAATTTTTTTAATAAAATGTGATATCAATATACTTACTACTAAGTAGTTAACAAAGTACTTCAACATTTTAATAAATACATTTTTTCTTATAATTAATCAAAACATCTTTTTAAAAATAAAGAAAAAGTTTATTTATATTTATAATCTATTTATAATATATATAAAAATATAGATATAAAAATTTTAAATTAACAAAAATAATCATTGATATTCACTATATTCTTAAATTATTATTATAAATTATTTTATTATTAATATTATAAAATATATAATTATATGTTTAAAAATAAATCAAATAATAAATATTCATGTGAACGTAAATATAAATACCCATGACTAATGCTAATAGTACTACCTATTTTATAAAAAAAAAATATTACTACTATCTATCGACCATCAATAATATAATTAATGGACATTTCTTTTAATAAATAAATAATGAAGGGCAAATGAAAAATAAAAGAATCTGATTTAGATCCGAATCATCTCAACTCCACCGGGTATGGGTAGTCCTGGAAAGGAAGAGGAAAGGGTAGAGGAAAAAAATGATTTCGTCGTTTTGATCACGAAACAAACAAGTCATAAAACTGTTATGATTTCTTTCTTCAGATCTCACGGCTCAACCATCGAAGCAAAGAAACCCACATCTCTCCACGATTACACGACAACCCGAACATCTCCCCTCATATAAAATTCGAATAGCTAAATGAAGAAAGAAGATATACCCGATAAAGGTCGGACCTTTCCCGTCGATCCGAATCTTCCTAGATGCGTCTGCCAGAACTGTCACCACGCCCTCTGCATCGTAGGCGTCGATTCCTACGTCGAAAAATTCCCAAACGACTCCTCTCGCTCCGGTTAGGGTTTCTCCAATCTTTACCTATTTAAATTTAGTAAATTTCTTCTTAAATTTAGGTTTGCGTCCAATTGTCGAATTTAACTTTTTTTTTCAGTTTAATTAATTGAGAAATAATTGGTGTTACTATATTTTCTCATCGACCTTGGAATAGAGCAAGTTCCAAATTTTATAAATTTGGTAATTTTCTGTTATCTGCATGTATTTAAGCAGACCTAAACTTTGTGGATTCTTCAATTATTTAACAAAAATTTGGCTAATGAGTACGAAACCAGACTACGATTGCAATATTTCAAGCTGATGTTTCGTGCTAAGAAAATTGGTCTGTATGAACAATGCAGCAATGCAGGGGTCTTTAATTCCTGGAGCTAGCAGCGTGCTGGGTTCAACACGAATGGATAACTCTTTTGTTCTGCTGCCAAAGCAAAAGCCCCTTGCACAAGGGATCCCACCCGGTCCTCGTGGTGTGCCTGGTCAGTCTGATGCAGCCCAACCTGGGAAAACTATGGAAGAATCATTTGTGGTGGTATATAAATCGGAGTCTGCTTCTGATGGAGGTGGGACACAATTACCATTGTCTGAAGGTGGGCCAAATAGTCCTTTGCAGCCGAACAACTCCGGATTTCACTCAACTATTACTGTCCTGAAACGTGCATTTGAGATTGCCACGACTCAGACACAGGTGTCACTCATTTTCTGGCTTTTTCTTTTGGTTCTTCATTGTTGTTGAGGGTATCTAGATTTGATTCTGTTTTTAGGTTGAGCAACCACTATGCCTTGAATGCATGAGGGTGTTGTCTGACAAACTTGACAAGGAGATTGAAGATGCGAGTAGGGACATCGAAGCATATGAAGCCTGTCTTCAGCGCTTGGAGGGGGAGCCACGAGATGTTCTCAGTGAGGCTGATTTTTGTAAGGAAAAATTAAAGGTAACTGTTTGGCAGTTTCTATGAGTAAACTTTTATGGTGAACAGAAACATTATGATTCTCATACCATGCTTAATCTACTGAGTGAATCATTAAGGGCTTTTAATCTTTTTTCGATGTTTGGACACTCTAGATTTTAGTTCCACTTTTTCTTATTGGTTGGATGAGGGAGGTTTCACTTCCAAATGTGAATAAATTTTGGGTTTCAAAGCAAGGTATTAATTCAGTCTATCAATTATCAACTGCTATGGTTAATATGCAGGAAAATATCAACTGCAATTTTTTTTAAATGCATGGTTGGCTAGCTGTTTCATTATATTAAAACTTTTTCCTAAGTTAACTCGTAGTGTACTACTGAAAGAATATGGATTTTAAACCAGGATACTAGTAAACAACGTTCCTCATAATTAATATAAACATCAACTGCATTGTTGAATGATTTTCTGAGTTAAATGCATATTTGATTATCTGTTCATTCTGTAAGATTGAGGAAGAAGAAAGAAAACTTGAAGCAGCAATTAAAGAAATAGAAAAACAGAATGTTGAAGTAAATGCTGAACTAAAAGAATTAGAGCAAAAATCAAACCGCTTCAAAGAATTGCAAGAACGGTAAGCTTCTTCTTCTATATCTTTTTTTTTTTTGACAATTATTCCTCTATATTTTTATCCTTCTTATTTGTTCTCAGATAAAATTGTAGTGTACAACACTTTTATTTTAGCTGTTTTCCCTTTGTTAAACCAGAATGCAAAGCACACTTCAATTCATATATGGCTGGGATTTTTAAGTCTCAGCTCCTTATGCTTCTTGAAATAAATGTGTCACAGGTACTGGCAAGAGTTTAACAACTTTCAGTTTCAATTAATTGCTCATCAGGTTTGTTGCAGATGCATTTTCATGACCATTTTTTCTTAGATCTACTATTAATCAATGAACTCAGTCCAAGATGGTTCAGAAATTTTCTCAAATGTCAATGTTACTAATGTTGTTATTTTAACACTATGCTATTGGATCAAACTTTGTTAACACCAAAGTGTTATTTAAATAGCTATAAGCAGTAAATTTAATCAACATTTTCTAACAAATGTTTCTTTAAAATAACAAAAGAACTCTTTAACAGCATTCTTACATGAGCAAATTATTTCTGCTTAACAGGAAGAGAGAGATGCAATTTTGGCAAAGACTGAAGTTTCACAAGCACATTTAGAGTTGTTAAAGCGAACTAATGTGCTCAACGATGCTTTCCCCATCTGGCATGATGGAGAATTTGGAACTATAAACAATTTTCGTCTTGGCCGACTGCCTAAAATTCCAGTATGAAATTGGCTTCATTTTCCATATAGAAAATTGCTTTCGTTGACAGTGAATAGTGACTGATATTTGGTGCTTTTGGTTTAGGTTGAGTGGGATGAAATAAATGCTGCCTGGGGCCAAGCTTGCCTCCTCCTTCATACAATGTGTCAATATTTCCGGCCAAAATTTCTGTATCCTTTCTAATCTGTGTTTGTCTATGGAGTAGTTCCATGAAAAGTCATATCTACACTTTGTGTGTGTATGTGTAATTGTTGAAGTTGAATATGGTCAACTATTTTTCTCAAGTTGTCATCTATACAAATTCTGCCTGCGCAAGGTAAAATAATATTTTAATGTGCAGTGTCTCAACTATGGGGAACTTTGTTACCTTTCATGCCTAAAGCTGTTTATAAGGTGATATGTGATGTATCCTTAATTAGTGACTTCCAGCTATCGGATAAAGATAATTCCCATGGGAAGCTACCCTCGGATAATGGACAGCAACAACAATACATATGATTTGTAAGTATAAAAACTTTCAACTTTCTAAATTATTTGATTTGGAACGTTAGTTAAACCACAAACATGTAAACATGAAGGGGTAGCTGTATCCTCAGAATGCATAATGCATTAATCTGGGAAATGTCCTCTTATGTGTTTTATGGATCATGCTTGCTGTATGTTTTCAGTTGCTTGTAGTGTTTCAATTGACATGAATGTGTTTTAGGTTTGGTCCAGTGAACTTGTTTTGGAGTACACGGTATGACAAAGCAATGACACTATTCTTGACATGCCTTAAGGACTTTGCTGAGTTTGCAAATTCCAAGGATCAAGAAAACAACATTCCACCTGAGAAACGCTTTAACTTGCCCTATAAGTAAGGTTTCTTTTCGGTATAGAATAGCACTTCTTAGTCTTTTACGTATCTGAATCTCAATGTGATTTTGGTGGTTTTAAATAGACAGTAGATTCAAACTCTGAGTATACGGTGTGACCTCATTTCCCTTCACGCTTCATCCTCTTTATTCATGGAATCTTACAGGATTGAGAACGACAAAGTGGAAAACTACTCCATCACACAAAGCTTCAATAAACAAGAGAATTGGACCAAAGCTCTGAAGTATACACTCTGCAATCTGAAATGGGCTCTCTACTGGTTTATCGGGAGCACTAATTTCCAGCCTCTGTCCGCCATGGTTTCTTCAGCTACCGAAGTTCCAGCTGTGGGCTCTTTATATGCAAAACGTGGTCCTGATCCCAAAATTTTAGCTCGAAAACCATCAAATTCGTGATAGAGATCTGCACATAATATACCATTATGTAAATAGTGATTGGCTGTTTAGTTTCGTGAAGTTACTGCATTATTAATGTTGTTGTATGATAGCACATGTTCGAGGCTAAATATTTTTCAGTAATTCAAATCGAAACGCCAATAATCAGTCCTCAAGTGGCAGCTTGCTCAATCAATTTTCTAGCCATGCTTGTCTTAATGTATCAGCCTTGGCGTTTGCATAAATTTCAGCTGTAGCGTCGCGCATTGATGTGACCAAAGCAGTAAGCTCGTGCCTCGCTAAAAGGCAAAAATGCTGGAGGCAGCCAATCGCCGGCATGTTGACGTTATGCAGGTGCTAAAGGTAGTGCTAACCAAGCAAAAACCAAAAAGATCAACAAGTAGTATGCGAATGCCTTAAAGTAGTATTGGCAAAAGTTGGCCCATATGACACCTCCCGAGTGCCTCTAATTGCCAAGAAATGCGGTGTTGATGTTTGTATTCCTTCAATTACTGGCAATACAGATTGTTACCGGTAGGCAAGTACCAATATTTTCCTTTGTCTTCCATCTTTCATTTATGAATATTTCAGCGTTAAAAAGTCATTTTGATTTTGAGTTTTCTTCTTGCATGGTCTTCGCTTAACATTTTTTTTGATATATCAATTGTGCCAAACTAGGGAAGAGTTAAAAGTTAGAAACGTCAAAAACAAGAGCATATCAAATAAATTGTATCTATATGAATCAATCATCTCTGAAATTAGTTACGCAATTACATTGTACTCGATGTTAATGTGTAACAAATCCTAATTGTGGACATTTATGATCATACTTGATGTTAGAGAAATCATGCTTCATGCACTGCTCTTTTTCTTTTTTCTTTTTTTTTCTCTTTTTATATATAGTATTATACATATCATACAGAAAATTTTACAGAAACTTTAATTTCCTCCGGAAAAATTTTGGAATTAAGAAAAATTATGCAGACATCTGTTTAGCTTAATGCATTATACAAACAGTGATTTCTTCCAAATTTTCTCGAACATAAGATCAAAACTCTTAATTAGCTATCTTCAGCAGTAAAATGAGGCTCGGCTGGCTTTTGAGGAAGCAGCGATGGTAATCTTTGAGGAAATCTGGCGCTTTGTGAACCATTGTTCCTCAAGGTTCGTAATGCATTGGCAGCAAATTTTGATGCATAAAGAGTGGCACCAAGGCTTGGCGAGGTTCCAGACTCTTTTGATAAAGCGTCTTGCAGCTTATCCTCCGCTTCACGTAAAGAATTAACAAGCTTCCTCTTGCAGTGCCGGCGCCAAGCTGCTTGTATAAAAGATGCTGCCCATGTCTGCCATTGCACCGAGTAGAACCTGAAAATAAAGCAATTGATATAAGTATGTGATTTGGTAATAGAAAGAAAAAGGAAGTACTTGGATAGGAGTTAAAGAGAGATGTTGCTCCTAGACTTACTTGAACGTATGCTGGAACTGCTTGCTGTGAAGACGTCGAAACTGGGAGGCGACAAATTTCAAATCACCTGCCATTAGACCAAAGGCTTCAACTTCTGTTACGGCCTGAACAGTTCTAGTTGAGATAGGCAAGTTGGAAGAGGACTGGGGATCCAAGGCCCAGGTAAGAAGATCATCTCCACAAAAGTCACCAGCCTTTAGATAAACAGCATTGAAGAAGCCAGTTCTTCCACCATTGGTGGTCGTACTTACTAGATTTCCTCGGATGATAAATAGCATCTCTTCCACTGGATCCCCCTCTCGGACAATGTAGCTCTTGTCAGTGTAAAGCGCCGGCTTGAGACGATCACACATTGCATCTAATAGTTGCTCATCCATTTTTTCAAACATTGGCACCTAAAAAACAACAATTATGGTTTAATCTTTGACGTAATTCAATTTATTAATTAGGTGAACATGCGCACTCACTCTCTTGAGAAGATCCAAGCAAAGATGCCTCTTTATATCCCTCTTGAGATCTTTAGGAAGGTTAGACATCAGCGTCTCTTCTTCAACCCCTCTGGTTTCTTGCCATTTGTACTGTTCATATCGCCTGATACGTTCCCGCAGGTTCTCAGGAAGCATTCGATGGGACATCCATTGTTCTGCATCTTGCCTTTTCACTCTCATTTCCTCTATTCTGACTCCTGTTGACTGCAGATATTTCTGTGAAAATGGAACAAGTAATGTTCAGCGACTATGAAAGAGTTTAAATTGCCAAAACCAATGAAGAAGAGTTATGAAATACCTGCATATTCCCAATAAGCAGTGAAAATAGAACCAGTCCAGCAATTGAAATCCCAATAGCAAAGAATATCTCCCATACAAAAGTGCTTGTTTTGAGATTTTGGCCCAGAGAACTAAACAGGAAAAAGGGAAAATAATCCACAAGTAAACAAACTATTCAAAGGAATAGTCAGTCACGTATATGAACAAAACTAATGGGTTATTATTTGCAAACCTTAGATTACGCAAACCCCACCAAAAGCAGTAAAAAAACTTTTTTGGAAAATCCCAGGTTTCCACCACCCCTGAATTAAGTGCATCAATGAATATACCGAAGTTGAAGACCTCAGGATCCTTTATGTCGTCAGGATTTGTAAAAGGGCATGAAGTATTCAGCAGACTCACTAATGTGGCGTTTTTTGTTGTACCATGTTTATCACAGTACAACGCACTTTCTTCACCACTGCCTATAGCATTGCGCCAGCACGTGTCTTCTCGTTCTATTGAAAACAAGTACCAAAAGGCTCCAACTATCTGCAGGTATGTCATATTTTTATTTCGAGATTAGAAAATTGCTTGGAATAATGTTAAATGATTCATAAACTATATCAAATCAAACCTACATGACTGGCTAGCATGTAGAGGAAGAGATTCAAAGCAGCTCCAGCCCATGCTGTTTCAGTAAGTATGCCAGAAGTTCTTGTAACTTCTTTGTAAAGAGGAAAGATTCGAATGATTCTTGGAACATATTGGCAGAAAATAATGGATTTCAATAACTCCTTTGTGATCAATGAAACCGGGCCATCTATTGTAGGAATTATAATTAAGATTACCACCTAAGCAAAACCAACACAAGTGTTAAGCAACAGAACAGATGAAGATGAAAATTGTAGTTCGAATGGAATTTTCTTTCATTTGTCATTTGGTCATGGATGAAGATGATAGTGTAGCTTCAAGCTCAATGAAGAAAGTGCATTTAATACCTGCGGCAGTGGAAGAATCGCCAGAAAATCAAAAAAGAAGTACTTGGACAAGTATCTCTTTGCTATAGCCCGAGGATCCTCAATCAACTCACCCCTACCAAATACCCGAGAAGGAGGGGCAACAAACGCAGTACGGAATTGAAAGATCATGTGAAGTATATAAAAGACATCAATGAATGTACGAAGGACGCAAGCAGTTATTTCCAATCTGTCATCCAAGTTAAGGCATTTCCGTCGGCCATCAATCACAGGGATGTAAAAGAACAAGGGATCCACGGCCAGAGCAATTGCACAGGAGAGAAGAAACATTTTATTCCAGGTCTGAAGAAATTGTCCCTGTGGATTAAGAATTCTATTCCTGGAACCCTTACCCAATGCCTTCTCTTTTGTTGGTTTATTACCCGAAGAACGGAAGCTTATTGGTTTCTTCAAGCTTCTAACCCTTTCAGAACTCTTCTCAAATACTCTCCGGAGACCGTCCATGGCAGCATTCAATGATGGTCTAACTTTCATTGGAAATGATCCATCATCCGAACTCCAATCTTGAAACCTGAGCAATCCATGAAAAAATCATAAAGACCAAAGCCTCGTTGAAAACAATATTAGACTACTTCAAAATCAAATCATGAGGCAAGTTTTCATTCTTCCAATAATTAATACAAGTGAATTACCCTGCTTTCATTCTTGTGCCAACCATCCATGTAATTAAGCTCCTACGGTTGTTGACAATTACTCAATCCACGGTCCTCCAAACAGGCGTTACAGTTGACTACTATTCATGATTTCATGCTAGGATTTGTACTATATACGAATAGGTAAATAATTCTACTATTATACAACAAAATGGGAACTGTTTAAGCATTAAATTCTACTTACAAAGACTAACCTTACAAATTTATCTCGTCGGAAGTTCATTACTTCAGCCAAGTTCTGTGTAGTTTCAAACGCAAAAATGTTCAACTCTGTCTAAAATCCAAACCCTGCCAAACAAAACCAAACTTCATATTAGCAATGCCTTCAAATAAGAAGTAAAACCAACCCAATAACTTGGAAGATAAATAATACTAATAAATTGGCAAGTATTATAATGAAAAGTACGTTTACGTATATATTGAGTAAGGATTAGTTATCCATAAAATCATTTAAGAAAAAGCATTAACTTCAACTTGTCCCACGATCACCATCAACCTTACCTAACGCAAGTTTTTGGTCTTTTTGGTCAGCGTGTAAAAAACGTTAAGTTGCAGAAATCAAAACAATGTCTGGTATCACTATGAAAATAAGGGTATTCAACAAAAAACGAAAGAAGAACAAGATGAAAATCCAATGAAGACCATGATCATCAATCTTTTATAAATTCAGGAAAAAACTCACCATAAAGCGAAATAACAAATGTCGTTGTTACGTTGCTTTCTCCCCAAAAAGAAAAAATATATAGGAAAGACTTACCTTAACAAAGTCGATACTCAAGAAGGATTAAGTTTGATTTCATTTATGAAGAGGGGTCTGTAATAATTCAGATGATAAAAACTTCTTTAATTTATTGTTTTCAAAGATTTTTCAGACCAACCAAACCAAACCAGGAACAAAGGAACGAACAGAGCAGCAGCCGTTTTGTTTGTGGTCTCATAAAGACATAAAAACGAAGTTCAAAACAGCGGAAAATGAAGGAGAAGTTTCGCTAAGGGGCAGCCCTTTTAAAAAGAAGAAAAGAAAGTTCATGGAGGGGAGTCGCTAATGGCGGTTATTGTCAAAAAAATAATAATAATAAGAGAGAGAGGGAAATATATATATATATATATATATTAAAATATAACAAAAGAAAAATCAAAGGAAGACCGAGTCCACGGGGAAGAGGAGTCAAGCCCAAAGCCATGTTAGGGCAGTGCTTTCGGGGCCCATTACCAATTCAAGTATTATATCGTATGATTTTACGGTCCAAATTGCTAAGTTTTGAAAATGTAGTAAGTGCTAGGATTATTAAATAATTATTAGAACAGTTGTTGACCAAAGATAGTAACATTAAAAACAGTCGATTATAGACCCTAATACGAAAGTGGTTTGTTATATATTGTTTTTGATAATTGAGCTAATGAAGATTTTATAAAATAGTTGTATTTTTAATTTTGAAGTCAATAGAATAGTAACAATGAATGCAAATTTAAAAATTAATTAAGGTGATTTATATAATTATTTTTAAAAATAAATATTTAATAAAAATAATATATCAAAAAATAATAGATAAAAGTAATAAAATATATTAACTCCGCATAAATTAGAGACTAATAATTACCTTCTCACACAATTTATTTCAAACAAAAGCTTAATTATTTGCAAACAAAAATGTTTGGATAATTGGAATTGGAAAATTGAATTTTAAATTAATGATTAACCTATGGTCATGGTCCTTATGGATAAGAAAGGAGGGTCGATGAAAAGTAAAATTAAGTTGAAACTATGATTTTTTTTTTTCTCAAAACCACATTGTCCCAGAAAAGAATTTGGTAAATTTGCAGATAAATATATTTTGGCCAAACAAAATGAAATTTTGGCTTGTCTTGCTATGAGGGTAAGTTGTTTCTAATTTCGGACTACATTCCAAATTTAGGAAGCACAAAGTCAGAAACACAACCACTAAAGGTTATTGTTTCTCTTGTATTCTTTTTGAGAATCAATTAATCAAATGATATTTGTATTTAGATATGATGACCTTTACCTCAGCAATTTCTCAACTTTTAAAAACTCAGTTGGCCTTTGAAGGCAGTGTGTTAAGTTGAAAATAAGTGTCTCAATCTTTGATTAAATCAAAAAAAAAATTTGGCTATTAAATTCTTTAATGGAAAGACGGTGACATGATCTTAAATTTTATTTATTTATTTTAAAAAAATTAAGTAAATAAATTATTCAATTTCTCATATTAAAATAAAATAAGTTGTATTTGACAACTTAAGATAGATAGTTACAAATCATATATGCAAAATGATTTCAACAAATGATCACCGATAAGATTCGAATCCAAAATTTTTCTATCGAAAATCGATGAATCTTAATTAATTGAATCAATTATTTATTAATTAAATTTTATTTATTTATTTCTTAGGTTATCGTCTCTACCACTAGATTAAACTCACGTATTGATTACCTTCAATAATGTCACGCACTTTTTTTTTTCATTTTTACTTTCTAGTTTCCACCATTCTTTATGTCACGTGAAAAAAAAAGTCATTAATTCCAACTCAATTTTAACATAAAAAATTTTCATTCAAATTATATAATTTAGTACTTACGATGATTCATGTAATTTAAAAAATATTAGTTTTTTTATATAAAAAAGTCATAATTTAAAATTAAAAAATTATATGTATTAAAATTTAAAATTTAACTTTATTAAAAATTATTTTTTAAAGATGATGCCGTGAAAGAAATAAACTTAAAAATTTTTAATTTTTCAACAAGTGAAGGGAGAAGTTTCTCATTCATGTTTTTCTAACATTGGTCAGACAAGACGACTACGGATATAATTATAAATAACAATCGAAAAGAAAATTTTTAAAACAAATAATGAGGATTTTAAGACAACCAAGTCAAAATAATGGTAGGATTACTTTATGACACCGATCGGAACAAATGGTTGAGGAATGTTCCGTACAACGAGTCACATTTTGCGTATTAACGCGCCAGAGTTGTCTCACTCATTTCCTTCGCTACAAGAGCCCCACATTAAAAATATAGTACCCTTTGCTTCGATGGGGACGAGACGACGTTAATTATATTTGTTTTTGTTATTGTTAGATTGTTATGGTTTTAGAGTCTAAAAATTCATCGAATAAAAAAAAATTTATTAATTAAATATTTACTATTTTATTATAATTAATTAAATTTTTTATTTATTATTTCAAATCAATTAAATACTTAAAATTTATTTTGACCTAATTAAATCTTTATACATATATTTTCACTCAATTAAACTTTCAATTAAACAAAAATAATTAACATTTTTTCGCTGATAAAAACTCAAATAATAAAAATAAATAATTATTAAATTTTAATTTAGAGACTATTTTGACCCTTTTATCTTGTCTTTTCCATTCAAAGTTTTACTTTCAAGAAATGAATATGCTCAGCAGTTGTAGGCCTCGTGGGCTTTAATCCATACATTTTTTTTTTCTAATGCCATCTTTGAGTTTTATATTCATGCTGATGCTGCTAAATTCTAGTCTCTTAATGATAATTTTTTGGTCAGGACACAGTCGTCGTTCCAGAAACTAATCACGAGCAAAGCAACTGACACTCTAGATGAATCCACTAAAAGTCACGAGGAACTAACATTACCACAACACCAAACAAATGAAATTTGACAGCTCGACTTTCTAAACTAGATGACCTGATAATGCAAAGTTTCCAAAAATGAACTTCTGGTTTGAGGATGTAATTGCATATGCTGCAGCTCAGTAGGTATTATGGTAAATCATCAACTCACAGTAAAGAAAGTAAACAATACTCCCATTGCAATGCTTTTTCCCCTAACATTCATGTGGATGCCACATCCACTTGTGATGTGAAATTCACTATCAGTGCAGGGTCAGTTGGGTATTCAACAGTTTAACGAGGCATGCCCTGTCCCCGATGCTAAGCAAACCATTTAAATACTCCTACTGTCATAACAGAATTTATTCCATTTTCAGAATGGAAGCTCAATCGATTGCCTCATCACAAAGTCAGGTAGGATGGGAAAAGATTGCAGTGATTTCCTCATTTTAAACAAAACAAAAGATTAAGAACAAACGGTCCTCAGGTTCTCCAAGTAACATTAAAAGACTCGTATCCACAATCTGAAAAATTACAACTGAGGAGAAGTTGGCTACTTCCCTGTTTGTTGATTGCTATTGATTGATCAAGATAAAATTACACTGCCGAAATGTTCAAATTTGTTAAAAATTCAAAATGCCTACTGGATAAATGTCAAATGATGTTCTTATTGATCTAACTCTATTCTATCCTAACAATTTTACAAAGATAAGGTACAGCACTCACCTTGGTCTAGGATCCCTCTTCATCAGACGGAGAGCATGACTGTCCAGGGACAGAATCAACAAAAAATTCCTCCACTGAAACAAGTGAGATCTATCAGTGTAGGGTAAACACACAGATACAAGTATATATGAATGGCATAAATGTCAACAAGCTGAGTATTTCAAAATGTCACATGGATGCCATTTGCCCACTTACCACTAGAATTCACAAGCCCTAAATGGAGATTTTAATTGCACATGGATATAAATTCAACCATAACAAGTGCATGAAAGGTCTGGTAAAATCATACTTCATGCCAGTTAAAGCATCCCACTTCTGTTAATAAATAGAATGGATATCACAATGTTTCTAACTTTCTAAGCTACATCAACATCCTCTAATGATTCAAAATAGGCATCAAGGTAAATAGTATTATGCAACCTCATTACCTATATCCTCTTGCTCCAAAATTTCTGAATCTGAGGGAAGAAAAGGAGAGCCAGGGTAATTCTCAAGGGCTCCTAAATCTGTAGCAATTCCAAGGACCACACTTTATGAGAATGAGCTCCATAAAAGAAGAACAATAGAAAAGAATGATAAAATAACAAACATGCCAGGTTCCTGGAATAAGGGTTTCCTAGACCAATAATGGAGCAATGCACAAATTATTAAGAGCAGAAGATTGAAAAGCAAATACAAAGGCATGAGTCTTCAAATGTGTGTGTGTATGATAGAGAGAGAGAGAGATAACAAACAACAAAAATGAAAATTTTTAACTGGATATCTTAGTGTGGGTCTCATAGTAACAACTTACCTCCCAAGTTTGACAAGTCTGCTGTCAGATCTGTGAGACTGAAATTCCACTGAATCTGATCAAGTGATCTAAGGGAATCTCTAGTACTCCCAGCTCCATTATCAGGTCCCAGCTGCAATCCTACTGAACTTGCCACATCTGTTGTAAAGGCTGAATCAAGTGCTGACGTGTCTACTCCCATCCCTGACATGTCTGATGCAGTGAAAGGATAATTCCCACTGGATGCCACTGATGTAGGGCTCACAGGCAACTCTGACATAGATGACATGGTAGTGGTTGGAGGAACCGCAGGTGTTACATCAGTGACATTGTTGTCCATCACCATGCTAGAATAAGAAGAAAAGCAGTTACCATTAGCTTAACTTCTCCGTAACAAAATACTTGACAGAAATAAAAAATTATAAAAGCCAAAAAAAAAAGCATAACAAAGAGGGGTAAAGCTAGATATAATGTGACAAGGACTTAACACCTAAACATTCTTTAAGAATGTGGTTTTAAAAATTATTCATGTAGCTAACCAAAAAGAGTTTATGACAACAGTTTAATTGAACATGGTGTACAATAGTGTAATATAACCTTAAAGCATTCATGCATGTGCAGCAAATCTTATCAAGCAGTTCCAGAAGATTTCAACCAAAAAAAAGGAGAAAGAAAGCAGCACATAATTACGTTGCAAGTAGTAAATGGTTAATTAGGCAAGCTATCTTGAAAGAAATAGCATAATTTATAGGATTAGATCATGAAAATAACAAAGAAAAGCATCTTCACAATTATCAGTAAGTAAATATTTGTAAGTTTAATAAGCAATTAATAATATATAGAAATGAAGATAATTAAGTTCTCACTCATTCCCAGAATTCATCCGCATAGGTTGAAAATTGCTGGGTACAGGGACTCCATTGACCACATGACAGCTTGATATATCCATGGAGTCAAGATGAGGCTGCCCTGCAGCTGGAATTGGAGGTTGCTGCAGCACAGGGTATCCCATTGGCAAGTTGTTAACTGCACTGCAAAGAAGTGGTATTGAATAACCATGATAGTGACTATAAACATGAAAACCAAATAATCAGAACTCCTACAATAAACTTTCTGCCTCAGAGTATATTTCACAGATACTGATCCCAAAGGAAAGTTGTGATATGGTTTTAGTGCCCCATCCCTCTCACCAGTTCTTCTCTTCTCTCAATAGAGAAAAGAACTGCAAACTTACTAAACTGAAAGTAGTCAAACAAACAGCTACAAAGACAGCATATCAAGTGAATTTACAAACCATTCTCTACAAGTGTTCAAAACACAGGGATCCTTTTCCTTATGTTGTAAATTTGAAAAAAGGAATGTGATCATCCAATTTTAAAATTATTAGTATTATGTGATGCACAGTACAATCCCAGATATTTATCCAGTTCAAAAAAACAATTCTATAGCAATGCTAATACTCTTAAAATTTCTTAGCAAATTTTGGCCATTCCAAGCTGATCCTGATGATTAGGTCAGCAATGAAAGCATCACCATGTCTAACTTAAAACCATAATCAATATAATGTAACTAAATAATGGAGACTAGCTTCCATTATTTATTTAGTCAGAACTTACCAGGCATGGGATGAATCCCATTTTGTATTGGGGCCAGAGGAACCTTTGGAGGCACAGGATATTTCATCAGATGATATTGATGCTCAAGCAAATGGTTAAATAAAAGGATTTGCTTCTTCAATTTCAGCCTTATATAATATGCCCTGAAAAAATCAGCATTTTCCTCTTCCAGCTTCTGCCATACTGAATAAACAAGAACAGTAAAGAGCACACCAGAGTAAGTTTCCCAATTCTATCACTGTTAAACTAGAAATATACTTGATTGGTGGCTAAGATTTAACTAATTCAAAGATATCATTGCAGTAGATTGGTTTTTATTTTGCTTTTATGACATGTTCCACTTTATCACAGGAATATTCAATGCATTTTATTGAAAATTCGAATAACAAAATCACGTAAGCAGACTGACAGAGATTTCAGAAAGCATACCTAAAGTTGTGAATCCAGGGTCTATTCTTGCTCGAGTCAAGAGGGTTTTGACAACCTCGTCTTTATTCATGTATAGTTGTAAACATCGTTCAATTAAATTCTGGACCTGCAACAGCCAGTTTACATAAATTGTGAATCACTTATTAAAAAGCGGATAAATGAAACTCCCTCTAGCATCAAACATCATGGTAAGAAATTAAAAAAAAAAAAAAGAGAAATATATGAAGTATAAAAAAGGATCAGTTTCTTACAAGTTCAATATCTTGCCGTGAAACTTTTCGGCTATCATTGCTTGAAGCAGATAAAGAGCCAGAGTCTGCTAAGGGGTCATCTGCCGTTTGATTGTTCTGCTGTTCTGTTTTTGGTTCATGTGAAGCTTGAGTTGAGGGTTTTATATCTTGTGTGTTCTATAATCGAATAAAATTTATTGTCAAGTAAGTATATGGAAGAAATAATAAGCAGAGTAATGCACAAAAAGGCTGTAAACAGTTCTTCTATATGTTACTTTTGGAGTTACGACCACCTCCAACTTGATGCAACGACTACTTAGCTGACACCGAATAGAGCAATTTTTTTATATATGATTACTTATTTATATAGAAAAACACCTGTAAGTTCCTCATTCCAACTGAAAGCCAACTACCTGCATCTCTTTGCTCAGCTCAGACACTCCCAGCTAAGGTCACATAATTCACCAACATTGAAATGTTGGCATCTAAGTAAATCACGTCCAACCTGGGAAGAAATTTACAAACATGAGGCCGTGAGCCAAAAGCACCGTGAAGAGAACTGCTACTGACTAACTGTTATAAATTTTAGCAGATAAAAACAAGAGCTATGTTCATAATGAAACAAGAATACCCCAAATGCCACCAATTACTGAGTTAAGAATCTTTTGGCAAAACAAAGAAATATGCCATGTTTAGCCATTCTCCTAAAAAATTTTACTCATTCTTAGGCGAAAGTGACCATTTTGCTCAAATCAATCATCAGGTTATATAATATTAACACCAAAACAACTTACAAAAAGTATTCTACTAACTACTTCGAATTCACAAACCAAAAAAGTCGACAAAAAGAACCAATCAGTGTTTCGTTACTTAGAAAACATTATTAACAATTAAAATCCTTTGCTTCCTCTCGAATTTTCTCGTGATACTTTTCGATTTTCAAATGCAAAATTTCGACAAGAAAATGAAGTCCACATTTTACCCAAAAAAGAAAAATAAGAAGCAAAGAAGTCCAGCTTTTTAATCCAATCAAACAGATCTAAAATAATTACATAAACTTTGCAAAGTCACAATCTGCACATTCCATCTTGTTTTTGCTAAAAAGAAAGACCTTTCTGGCTATCATTTTGAAAGTCCTTCGTAGCTTTTTCAAAGCAGACTTTCCCCTTTTGTTCCCCTTCTAGCTCAAAACAGCAAGCAAAATACAGTCAATTTCAGTAAATAAAAACGAAATTTCTGGAAATTTTTTATGGCATTAAGCTACAGTAAACAAGTATAATTAAGTAGGCTAGCAATACTAAAAAAAAAGAAATAAATAAATAAAGATCTAGCAAAATTTACCTTACAACCAAAGTTGCCGAACTTGAAAGCACGCGAAAACAAAGAAATTCAAACTTTTTATTTCGACAAATTTAGAGATCCGAACTTAAGATTTAAGAAATACAAAAAAAAAAAAATTTGCTCCGAAAATTTTACTGTACGAAACAGTTACACGTTCAGAAGAGTTGCTTTAACTGTAACTTGAAGGATTATTGATGGAAGATTCTCGATTGACGGTGAAATGCAAACGCTTAGGAGTTGATAGATATTTTGAGAAAGGCTTTTGAAAGATATTTACAGCGAAATAAAGAGGAAAAACTGGAAATTTCCTTTTTGAATTTAGGGTTTATCATGGCATTATTGTTGTTGTTGTAGTTGTTGTTGTTGAAAGTTTAAACCTAAAGTGGAAAGGAATGGAGATTGCAGAGAAACCAGAGAAGAAAAAATTGGGGGAAAAAAATCTCACCGAGCGATGGGTGAGTTTTTCTTTGATTTTTTATAGGTTTGATTTTCTGGTAACAAAAAGCGTCAAATTGGGGAGAAAATGACGGTTGGAACAAAAGAAAAAAAAAGAAATAGAAAAAATATATAAAATATTTACATTTTTTTTTAATCTTAAATATTTATAGATTTGATAAAATACAAGATGCCTTTTGAAATTCCGACACGGCTTCAACGGCTTAAGCTTCGGCTTTGGGCGGATGATGTTTACTTATCACGGTTCACGAGGCTGTCGTGATTTGAGCATCTTTATGACAAACAACATATTTTTGTGTGATTTAAATTATTGTTGTTTAGTTTGATGGATTTTAATTTTTTAAAATCAAACTAAAGGTAATCCCAAGTAAATTTGCGATAGAGAAATACTTATATATATATATATAAATATTTATATTTAATGTATTGTTTGTATATAAATTTTATATTTTATTAATAAATTAAATAATATAATATTATTAATTATGTAAATAAGATAATATTATTTTATTAATAAATAAATATAAAAATATTTATATATTTATTTTAAAATTAATATTTATTCATTAATAAAATAATATCATTTAATTTATTGACTGCGTATATACTTTAATAATATATCAAATACAAATTTATTTATTAATATATTACTAACAAATTGCTATGTTTAAAATGAAATAACCAAATTGACATGTTGATGGGGGATAAGTAAAATTGCTTGAGAATAACTATCATATAATTTAATATTGTGCAATTCAATTATTGTATCAAAAATTAAAAATAATAATTTTAAATTTTAATTTAATTAATTTATATAATCATTTTAAAAAAATAACATTTAATAAATTTAAAATTCAAATTTAAATATTTATAAAATTTTTATCCTTTAATTAAGATTTTTATATAAAAAATAAAAAATAATTGGTCAAGTATATATGTATATACTCAAAATATTTAATTTGAAAGTATTTGGATATTTTTAGTTCTTACAAATTGAATTTTATTCGTAATTTCTTAATATAAAAAACTTTCAAATAACATTTTTTACATCAAAACAAATCTAAAATTTAATTTTTATTTACATTATATGAATAATGGAACCAACGTAACCAAAATTTCAGTAATTGATTCTGCTTGTTATGAGCATAACAAGATTTTTAAACTAGTTAAAATAAAAATAAAAATTCAGGTATAGACATAAGGAATATGGAAAAGTGGGAGAACAAAAGGAGAAAAGAGAAAAAAATAATGTAAGGTGGAGTGGGCTCGGGCTTCTTAATTAAGGGACCTAAGAAAACGACAAGGAATGCTGTAATGCAATTCAAGTTGTTGATTGTTGTTTTATTGGTATTCCTGGCCTACATAACATGATGGCATGATGCCCGCCATGGAAATCAGATATGCATATATATTTTCTTTAACATGTACAGGAGGCCCACTAGAAACGTGGTCCATGCCCTGGAAATCTTCATTTGCCCATCAAGCCGATCCGTGATCATGAAATGAGATCTCATACTCCTAGATATTATTGCCACTTAGAAGTGGCTGGCTAGGAGTAGGGGTGTAAAATGATACATTAGTACTCGCAAGTTATTCGGGTTCGATTCGAAAAAAAACTCGAATTCGGTTCGATTATTGTCGAGTCGAGCTCGAGCTCGAGTAGCTCGACTTATCGATCGAGCCGAATTCGAGTATTCTTATATCTGACTCGAGTAGCTCGCGAGCCTAATCGAGCTTTTATATTTAAATATATTTTTATTTTTTTTAATTAAAAAAATATTTCGAATCCGAATTCGAGTTCGAGTTCGAGCATGAATAATCGAACTCTTGTCGAGTATACAAATCGAGCTTATTTTTTACATATTAATCGAGCTTAATCGAGCGAGCTCGAGTAGCTCGAATTCGATCACGAATCGAGCTCGAGCTTGAAAAATAAAACTCGATCGAGCTCGAGCCGAGTATCGAGCCCCGAGTTGTGAGTCGAGCTCGAGCTCGAACTTCTCACTACTCGGCTCGGCTCGGCTCGTTTACAGCCCTAGCTAGGAGCCTAGGACCACACCCCACAATTATAGTTGAGATCCAACTTTAAAAATATTTTTCAATGATAAACTTCAACGTTTTTTAATGGGTCAGGTTAACCGATATTTATTAAAACATTAAATATTTATTAAATATTAATTTTAAAAAGTTTAATGTATTATTTTATCATAATCAATAAAAAATAAATTTTCAAAATTTTCAAATATTATTTTCATCAATATCATTATTCACTTATTAACATTTTTTTGAATTAGTAAATAATTTTATGTTAATAACAAAAAAGAATTCTACGATTAAATTTAAAATTTAAACGTAAATTTAACCTTAGGCTTATTATTCAATCTAAGTTCGAGTAGCAAATCATTTACTAGAAGACACAGATTTTTTCTTTTTCAAGATCAAAATAAAGAAAGATGTATTTTTGTTCTTTTAATATAAAAAAATTTGAAATATTATGCAAGATATTTTTATATATGTATATATTAATACTTGGAAGCTGGCTCGTGAGCCATCACGAGCCAAGCGTGCAGATACATGTGGTATAAGTTAAAGGCAAAAGGTAATCAGGCACTAACCAATGAATCATTACTCAGAAAGGATAACATTTTCCAAGTCATTAGCATTGTAAAGACGGAAGAGAAAGAAACCAATAAAACCGACACATGTGACGGCTTTTGTTTTCTTACACACACCAACCAATAATAGTGCATCACACATACTCCGGCTATGGAATTACACATGTCAAAAAGGTAGAGGCGGAGCGTGGCGATATGTGGCCGTTTATTGCCTTGGGATTTGGGGTGGTTTTAAGGGCCGGGGAGGGATAAAAGGTACGACTTTCAAAATTCCGGCTAAGGTTGCTGTCCTGACATTTGGCGCCATCGTCTTGACTGAAATTAAGTTTCCCTTTCAACTGGTTCGGTCCCATTTGCAAATCCAGTCACTTGACTGACATGTCTCCCCACCCCCGCGGCCCCTCTTCCCATACAAATCTCCAAGCCTTGACCCACTCAGCACTCACAGTTCCAAAAGAGTGTATTTGCCGGGTGACAAATACCAACGGGCAGTAGCATCATGTTTGGGGAAACGTTGATTTCAAAAAAAAAAAAAAATTCTGGTTGTGATTTGAGAATTTGTCGTCCGGTGCTTTCTATTTCTGTTGATAAACATGAAATTTCCAGTATGAAATACCAATCAATGTCAATTCAAGGTTTTTCGTGATTGTGTTGGTAACTTGTAATTTGGCTTTTCCGATCGAGTAAACTCTGAGCAATAATGCTCTCTCTTACTTCAAACTTTTTTGCAACATCTATCAATCAGTTTTTTGTAATGAAGATATATCATTAACATCGTGATGATGATGACAACGGTTACCGTACGTTTTAGTGACGATGGTGGTGGTGGATTATCATGAACTAATTCATATTAAAACGAACGGGCAAAACCCGATGCCCCCTACACTGTCATATCCAAACAAACTAATGACTCCAAAATTTAACTAACAAGTTTGGGCCACAATAACTTCCTTTTCAATTATTGTTCATTGGTTGATAGCAAAGAGGTTATGTAGGAATGGTAAATTGATAATATAAATGGCTTCAGTAGGCAAACATTTTTGTCTCAATCTCCATAGAAAAATAGAGTCCACCAAAAAAGGGGAGAAGGTCAGGAATTGTCGGCTGCATGCAGCATATGGATGTTACAGATGAACCATCAATTCATTTTCAAGCATCATATATATTCTTATTCATATATGTCGGATTTATTTTGGATCGTGTGGTGTCTCAACTCTCATCTTCCAAGCCCTCCAAAGGTCTTTCATAGCAACCCTTTGTTATGTCAAACAGCACAAAAGGAACATAAAAGAAAAAAAAAAAAAAAAAGAGAGAGAAAATCGACCAACGACCGTAGTTTTCATTTTACACAAAACCACAAAAAATTCCCTGTGCCCCACTTGATTATTACATTACACATTCCATGACACGTTAACATAAAGAAATATTGAAAGATTAAGCGAGTTTTATTTTGAGCAATTTTTCCTAATTAGCATATACAACATAAAGGAATGAAAGAATGAGCAAACAAAACATGCATGAGATGGGCCAACACATTGTTTAAACTCATTATGGGAATTATTGGGAGCAGGACCACTTTCTATCGGCTTTCACCAACTATATTTCTTCTTTCATACATTTGTCCACACTTTGAAAACACTTTCATTATTTTGAGCCACTAAAAATTCTTGTGTGTCTAAACAAGGGACAGAAACCCGGCAAGCAAATAAGCCTTTGCCTTGCCGCCTAGCTTCTTCCAAATTTATATTCCGATCAACGATGTGACGGTATCGATTTTTTCTTCTTGCTTGCTCGCTCCGTTTGGTATAGAAAGGCCTGGAAAATAAATAAAATTTATTTCCAATTATATTTGTCGTCAATATCAATGTTTGATTTTTTGTTTCCTTGTTTTAGATTATTTTTATGTACACTATACACAACAAAATTACAAACGAATTGATGGTACGATGGAACGTCAAACTCATATTCTGATATTCATTGAACCTATCTTACAATAGGGAAAAACTCTCTTTTTTTTCAGCCCACATCAGTCAGATTTTTTGGGCAAATGGGCCAGGTACTGTGCGAAAATTTTCTTCCTTTTCAACTGACAAAAGTTAAGTCTAGAATCCTATCCCCGTGTCATTCAAACTTTAAACCCTTTGAAAACCCTACTCACCATTACGGTCATTTTGGAAATCCGGTTCAGTAAACTGTTAGGTAGTGAATTAGAAGACGAAGAATATGAAGCCATCACAACCATGAACACATCTAGTTTCTGTTTCTGAAAAATGATAAATTATACTCGACTCCTTTTTTTTTTTTTTACCATGGAAATGTAATCAATACACAGGTAACTTTCAACAAGAAAGTTAAAAAAAATGAGCTAGAAGACTGAAATCATGAAATCAATAATGAAAAACCCTATAACATTGTGGGAAAGAATCCTAATCCTTGTAGTTTATAACATGATATAGAAATTAGATGTAATCCTAACGAGCTCCTATTTCAGTTACAATGTGTAGAATCCTAAATTTAAACTCTAACTCCTGTTTTCCTTTCACCATTATTCATAGTGTACATACAAGCACAAGCCAAGAAGCATGGGTGGCCATCTTGTGAGAAAACCATTAAGAATCATAGAATCAGAAAACCCAATTCCTGCTTTCATGAGTAAGATGATGAGAACAAAAACGCCTGGTAAGGGGAGGGTTTCTCATTATAGGTTCTCCCACCATCATTTCTTCTTCCCTCAGATGGAAAAGCATGGGATGGAGAATCCTCATCTTTCAATTGTGATTCTTCTTAGCCACTGAACTGGCAATAAAATCAAAATCCCCTGCTAAGATAATAAATGAGGGCATCATAAAACAATCCGATTGCAACAAAGGGAATGAAATCAGAATATTAAAGGTATAAACTTAAAAAAGAGAGTTGTGATCCAATTTTAAATTCAATTTAGTTGCCATATATGATATAACCGCTAGTCACAGACTCATGGTTTAGGACTGAAAGACAACCCACCAGAAATGTGAGAATCACCAGCAGAAGGTTATGTCAGGGTGGGATGATGGGGGAGCAGGCAGCAATTTCCACACAGCTCATTCAAGTTGGGTCATAGAAATTACTACACCATCAACTCTATTGTTAGACCAGCAAAGGCAGTTGGACAAATTAACTCAACATGCAGGGTACTTTCCAGGCCAACTGCTTTCAGTAAGTCTTGTAAAGAAACTACCTCAGACAAACAAGAAGACAAATTACCTTTGCAGGTGGGGTGAAGGCGGCTGGTCTGGTGAAGAATGTTGAGCAGAGGTACCATGAAACCTTTGCTCCTCAAATACCCCACCTGAGCTGCTTCCATCACTTAGCTGTGATACTTCATTCATGCCTGACAAACCCACTGGTCCAAGAGAGCCAAACTCAAGCTGTTCAGCAGGGGAACCATAACCAGAATTATGATCATAGGGATACAGCATGACAACAGACGGAATGGTAGGTCCATTAGATGACAACCCGTTAGGGTTCATGGCTGGCAGTGGGTAAATGCCATATGACGTGCTGGCAGAACTATTTTGCGAACAGCTTGAGGGGACTGGTTCATTATGAGACTGGGATGAAGTAAATGAATCATGTCTATGTGATAACCAAGGCCTCTCAGCTCTGCTCTCACCAGCAACAGCTGCCAATTGGTCAAATGTTAACCTTGATTTTTCATTTTGATGGCGACTATGGCTGCGCCCAGCAGCTCGCGACTTTGAATTGGCATTCCAGCTCCCTTCCCTATTGCCATGGTGGTCATTTCTATCATAATTGTATTTTCCCCTCCTCATATTTGCAGAATGGCGTTCTCTCGATGAAACTTTCTGCAGTAAAAAAAAATCACATAAAAAATTTATTGAAGCCTATGGTTCTCAAGGTTAAATGTCACAGAAATGGAAACTAAACAACGTTAATATCACTTCAAAAAATGATGAAAACAGACTAATCTAATAGTATCTTAGACCAATATAAAACTGCATTTCGAATGATTGTCCACTATAACAGTGAATACCCAATGAATTGAGAATGGGAAAAACAGGACCATGTAACCAACATTACTCTCCAAATCATGCAAAATTGAAGAGCAGAAATGTAAGGTAATAAAAGCTCATTACAGATTGTCAATATGTGACTTACAGGGTTTGGCAGGTATGTCCCAGTACCAGTGCGATATCTTGGCATTTCATCAACATACCGTTGGTATACACTGGCAGGTCCATTTGAAACAGATTGGTGTGGAGTAACAGGAACATTACGAGGCCCATAATTCATAAGTTGAGAAAAGAGGTTCAAGTTGGATGAAAGAGGGTCCCCGGGACCATCCCATGCAGAATGACCTTGTAAATAGACAGATGGCACCACAACAGGAGAAGGATAAATCAGAGGTCGAGGATATCGTGAATTTTGGCAAAACCGTCCATACTGCAAGTTTTGCCAGTGGCTAGCAATGTCACCATTAAGAATGTCAGATTTACGCTCCAATGGCTCAAGAGATGTAACCTTTGTTGTAGAACTAGAAGTATTTAACACCTCAGACCGATCAAATCCCTCGGATGATTCAAAATTTTGACCAGAATCATTGTTATCCGAACCTTCATCCCAACTAAAAGGGCTTGTTGATGCATCTGGAGTTCCAGTTTCAGCTGGAATGTTGTACACAGGGCACAACAAAAAGGGAACTGGTGGCCCTGTTATCGTGAATGCCAAGGGAGGAACTCCAGAATTATCAATAGTTCTTTGCCCTGAACCTGGACCTAAAAGGAATGGAGCAATTGGTATCAGTGGATCCGAGCCACTTGTCTGAGCTGCCTCAAATCCAGGCATTCTTGAAACAGGCAAAGAACCAATTGGTTGAGGTCCAGTAGTTCTTTCTGCCATTTCATTGCCCACTATTGATGGTGGATTCCAGTCTCTACCATTGTCATCTTCCAGAGAGGAATGTTCAGATACATTCTTACCTTTCCCACATGCAGTAGAAGAAAGCACAGAAGCAGCTGTTTTCCTACCCGGCTTCTCCCTAGCTGGCTTAGAGACCTTTGCTGAAGACCCTTCCCAAGAACTCTCTGAGGAGGTTTTACTTCTGTGTGAACTAGTATGAGAAGCAGGCATGGATCTAGAACTTGCAGTTCTTTCATTAAAGTAGACATCATTACCTCTGTTATCTTGATATTGGCAAACATCTACATGATCTTCCCAACTTGATCCCCGAGTTTCTTTAGTAAATTTCGGTTGGACTTCAGTAGAACTACCAGAGCTGCCTACCCTAGATGAAGCGACAAAATTATAGCCAGCTAAAGTTGACTGTTGCTTATCATCTGGCTGAAGCATTTCAAAACTTCCATTATCCAGATCAAAGCCACCACTAGAGCCCCTATCTTGTTCATGCCATAGCTCATGTTCCATTTCCTCTGGGTTCATTTCTAAGGAACCAAAATTTTCACTGCCGGGCTCAATTGGATCCTCTGCATTTGAGGATAACCCAATGCCAGAAAAATAATGGGCCAAAGGAGAAGAGACCAATCCTTGTGGAAACATTTGAATATTTGTCGGTACAATTCTGCCCAAATTTCTCTGATTGTATCCCATTGATAGAGATTGGATAGGAAAAGGTAAGTGACCTGCAGCTAAATTTAGTGGAACAGGAACCTGACCATTAAAGCCATAAGCTGTAAAAGAAGCCATCATGTTCACTAGATCTTGCTCTTCTTGATGCATTGCTTGTGCACCTGGAATTGAAGAAAAGTTCTGACCCATAGTTCCCAAGCCTAAATCATCTTGGTAAGTATTTAGAAGACTGTTTGGATCAGCAGCAGCATCAATGCTTTGACGGGTTGAAGCATGCCTAATAGGTGAAGTTTTAACATTTCGGCCTGCCGTCATATCAGATTCCATATTCTTCCTCCTGTTATTATCTGACCTCATAGAAGCAATATGGGTTTTCCCACTCTCTGGCATTCCATTCCGCCTTCCTCGAGAAGTAACTTCCCCATACGTTTCAGTAAGCTCAGGACTAGAACGTGTCCTTGCAAAAAGATATCTTCCTTGAACATCAGTCACCAAATTCTCTACTTTAGAAATTCTCTGACCTGCATCATTATGCGCATTCTGATTGGAATTAGAATCACGTATAACCTGATCAGAGGTCTTTGAGTTGCTAATGCTACCATAACTCTTTTGGCATTGAGTACGAGAAACAGTAGATACATCACTAATCTTAGTTGTGTTTTCCGATGGATAATTAACATGCTGTGAAGACACACCAAATGATCCTTGAGCTCCTTCAGCTTGAGTTTCATGCCCTGAAGAGATATCATTTCCTTTGCTGCTTGAATTGTTCCCGGCATTCTTGGATCCATGAGTGTGATCTGAATTTGACAATCTCAAGCACCACAGATCATTCCTAGGTGCATCAGGGCGTTGGCCACTGCCATGCCTTTCCCATGTATTCATAAAGAATTGATTTACTTCATAATACAGGTCCTCTTTGGGACAATCAAGTAATCTTTCCAACTTTTTGGCCCCAAATGCAAATGCACTGCGTATCCTAAAGAAATTACCTGGAGAATAGTATATTATTTTTATGCACAATAAAACCTATCATTAGCAATGCGTACAGCGAACCAAAAAATTGACAACTCAGCTATTGCAAAAGCATTAAAACTGTGAGAAAGATTTACATAGTTGTACAGTAGAAATTGAATAGTATACATTTTTGATTCATGACATGCTGAATCATATAAGTTTCTAGTAAGTGCCAAAACTGTGCAGAAGTAAACAAAAGTAAGATTCCAATTGTTTGCAATCACCTTTCTTCCCTCCAATTACAGTCTCTTCACCTTGCTTTCTACCAATTTAAGTTCAATATTTTCAAAAGTTTGTAATCATGTGAATCTAAAAAGTTCATTGCAATATATACTCAAAAGGATTTCTTACAGGAACAAGATAGAGAGAAAGGACATTTAAATATATCAAATAGTTATGCCCAGGATATAAACTTATGACCAACAAAAGCATGCAGCAATGGTAATGGAAACACAGAATTGCTATAAAGGGGGGGGGGGGGGGAGTCCCAAAATGGAGAGAAACCGCAAAAGAGTACAACGAATAACCACTAAAAAATTAGAGATGTAACTACCTTTGCTAACACTACGTCCAAGATTGTTATTTATACGCAAAGGATCAATCACATTGAAATGTTTACAAACAAAGGGTTGGCCCTGATTTTCTTGGCAAACAGCATATCTTGAACTGCAAGTATCAAGAAAATACTTGCAAAGTAACAACTCTCCACCATCTTGTCGAGGAGGTTCCGCTGTGAAAAAGTATTTCAAACAATATAATTAAGACTAGGAAATTGGCAAATATTCTGTAAGTAGAAGCTTCTTGTTCAAAGCCTAGTATTAGATTTCTCAGAAATGGTAGTACCTGTTATGTCCGGCAGTGAACTAATTGGAACGGGACCCCAGAGGCTAACACAAAAATTTTCCCAATCAAACTTGCTAAAGAACTCAAGAAACCGAAACAGGACCTATGCACAAAAAGGAAAAAAAATCAGACAGATGTACAGACAAATGCAAAAAGCATAAGAAAATAGAAAGATAAACATATCAACCTCAAGTGGTCCAGAAAATGACTTATTGAAAACATGGAATATGTAAAGAACCAAGGTTTCCAGGGCGTAAGTTGAGATAAGTCCATGATGAGCACCCAATATACGGCTCTCATAATAACACCATGCTTTTATCAATATGATGCTACGTTTGAACAAATGGTTCTGATTTATCAAACGATCAACCTACACAAATGGATGTTAAATTAGGTTAAAACTTACATTAATTCCTAAAAGGTCTATCATTCCAAAAATAAATCTAAAGATACACAGTGGCAAGTTTTGCATCACTAACCTCTTCAAGGAAACAAAGGGTACATAATCCACCAAGCTGATTAAATGAAATGTCTACCACAATATTTTCTACAAGACATTTTATTATCTTCACCTGAAATGTATGTGAAGGAAACAAAAATATCAAAATGAATTAATGAAGACAACAACATTGAGCAAATGTGCAGAAGTATTCTACAACTAGTTCTATGCAAGACATTTCTATAGGTAACGTGAAAAATAGGAAGAATAACACTGAACATAAGGAGTCCCAGCACCGCAGCAAGTGTCACAAATGCTCAAATTTTAATCAAAGAAATCTGGCAAATGGTAAACAAGGGATTCCAATAAGAGACAAAATCTGAGACTCCTGAGAAAGATTCCACATGATTAGGTAGAAAATGCATTTCATTATGACTTTACCTCAGCCTGAATGTACTGAACTTCTTTTACTCGGAATTCAGCATTCTCATTTTCTTCTTCATTTTCCAGCATATCCCGAACCTGATAAGCCCATGAATCCTTCAAATTTTGCTTCTTACTAAAGGCCGTTAAGTCAATATCCCCATCAGGCAAATATGTCTTGAGGGGCACAGACCCAAAAGTAAACACCTGTCAACAAAAAGTAAGCAACTCCACATTAAAATTAATTGATGAACTCAATATGCCAGTCCAGAAAAGTTACATCTTCATATAATCTAAGTTACATTCATTCCTCCACTCAACATGAAATGTAGACATTGGAACCTTTTGATCCTCTATACGAATACCACTTATCCATCCTCGACATTTTTTATAAAATATTCAATCATTTCGTTAACATATAAAATAAAAATGTAGAATTAAACATGTATAATTTCATATAATGGCATTCACTAAGAAAAGAAATTATAATGGAGTGGCATTTGATTGAACCTGACAAGGGAAGCATTTGGAGATGAGACGCTGGACATAATCAGCAACGGCATTGCGGAGACCTTCCGAGGGTGCATCAGGCTGAATGCAGGCAATGAGGTCAGCGGTTCTTTCCTCAGCCTTCATCCATCGTTCCGAGTCAATTATCTGAACCACCGAGGAGGCTTCGTTCGGTAACAAACCGTTCGGCAATAGGCCGCTCGGTGGCCTCTGCGCCGCCCACCCTTCATGCTCTCCCATGCAATCCTAAACCACTTTTCCTCCCTAAAAACCTTCTCAACTCTCCCAGAAGCCACAGCGCAACCAAAAACAAAGAAAATATATTTCAAATTAAGAAAAATAAAAAAAAAACTAATCCGAAAAAAATGGATTGTTTTTCAATATGTACGGTTTGTTGGTAAAACTATTGACTTGAAAAAAAGAAAGGAACTTTGAAATTAGTTTTAATTTTTTTAATTAATCAGGTTAGAACCCTAGATTGTATTTAACGTTTCTGAAGTAATAATATGGCAAGTGCAGTAAATACTGCCAAAATGAAGGGGATATTCCAATTAATTTCCCAGGTAAAATGATGAAAAAAAATATGCAGGTTATTTTTTCTTTTTTTCTAGTCGATTAAGAAAATCTAAAGAAATGGATAAGAAAATCCTAGAAATTCAAAAAAATGAAACAGGAAAAGAGAAAAGGGAGAAGGAAGCGCTAGAGGGTAAAGAAAAAGGAAGCAATGGGGCGGTGAGATTATTCAAAACCCTAAATAGAAATTGCACCGATCCTGGAAATTGGGAAGTGTTGGAGAATCAAAAAGAAAGGCAAAGAAGCACGAAATAGCAAATGTAAAGAAAAGATTGGGGAGAAATTCATAAATGGTGAAAAGAGAGAAGGGTGTAGAGGATCAAAAAGAATAATACTACTTCTTTAGGTTTTTGTGGTAAGAGACCGAGAAACGAAAGACGGGGTGGGAAAGAGAGAAGGAGGCGTTTGGTTACAAGAATAAGGGATTATGTAGGCGTGATAGAGTCATATAGTAATTGTTTAACGGTGAGGAAGTTTGTGCATTTGAGGGTTTTTTTAATGGAAATTTTAATTCGGAGGAAGGGGATGATAGTCACTTCCAGAAAAAGAGAAGAGAAAAAATAAATGGAAAATAGAAAAATGAATTAAAAAAATTCTGCATTCTCTTTAAATGGTCTGGCCTTTTAAGAAACAGTTAGGCCCAAAAGAATTGGGTAGGTGCAGCCTGCTAAGATACCCGTTAGTTCGCGTAGTAACTTAAAATTACTTTGTTTTTTCTCTGCTAAGAACAGAGGCAAGACAGAAGAAGAATTATAGTACTAATAAGTATGTAGTATATTATAAGCTTGTTTGTTGTCTTTATTATGAATCTGGGTATAGTTTATCCCTTTTCTGGTGGCCTTGTCCACGTAATTTTTGTGCTCTGTTGTTCGTAACATATTGATGCATTACTAACAGAAAAAGGAACAGAAAGCTTCGGGTTGGAGACGAGAACTTTGACAAGGGGAAGTCTAGATCTCCTACTTGCTGCAACTTTGGATGATCTGATGCATGGTTTATTTTGAAAATATTTCAAATCAAATTCACGTACTGACACCAATTCTGTAGCTTGCTCCCTTTAAGTAGAAATATTCAGGTAATCAGGTTTAAGAAAAAGCCAGGGCCGAAGCCTGAAATATATTGAAACTTCTAAAATTAAGGGGAAAGTGAGAATGAGACCACACCTGGACCAATTAAAAACACGAGCCCATTAGTTGGAGAAGTCTGACCCAGTGGTCCGAGAAATGATGTGATTGGATCGGCTGAGGTTTTTGGACTGTGCCTGGTATGAGTCCTCGAGTTCTGGACCACCAGGATACAAGCAGTCCAATCTTTATTAGTGACAATTACTCGTTGATTTATTGTTCTAACTTCAATCTTAAATGCAAATTGATGACCTTTTGGAGTGGTCAAAAGTGACAAAGAAACAAACGGAAACGGCTGAAAACAAGACAGATACTTATTTATGGAGAAAAGACGAGAGCATTCTTCTGGAATTTTAATCTTTAAAAATGTTTTGGACGGTGCATCCTACATAGAATATTAGAAATTGACTTGAACTTTCCTTTAGGCAGCCAGTCAAAAAAACGAGAAAAAAAAAAAGAACAAATGAAAAAAGCCTGGATCTTATCCATTCAACTGCAAATCTCAAAATTAGCTGAGAATCGTGAAATTGTTACCTTGATAGCTAAGTATCCTGCTGAAAGTACTGAAAGCCGAGCTTGGAACGTTCAAAGGCTGACAGGAAGTGGAAAACCCAGTTACAAACGAACACGTTAGGAATCTTGCATTTATTGATGCTACTTTTGTTTGTTGGATTTTAACATTAAATTTTGATTCATATTTGTGCCGAAAGTGGTCCTAGAATTCAATGCAATGGATAATGCTTGAACCATTTTTGAAAAAAAAAAAAAAAAAAGCTTTTTTGCAGAGAATGAAATGGCTTTATCATTCTTTCTTTATCATTTTTGGAATGGCTTGGAGTTCAAATGGGATTTGTCTTTGTTTTCTTGTCTCTACCCCCCCCTCCCCAAAAAAAAAAAAATAACTTTTAAAGAAAGCTGAGGTGAGAATCTGCATGGCATCAATGAGAACTTTATCTGCAGTGGACAAAATAATGCTAATGAAATAATGTTTGGTGGAGATAAGGTTGTCCTTTCTTATGCTCTGTGAAAATTGGCCCAACTGAGTAATGTGTTTCCCTTGCAAGTATTCAACGCTGAAACAATAGAACAAAAATTTGGACGCTACCTCTTTTTCTATGATGTTTTTTTGAAGATTATCCGAACCCTATTTCAAGGCGGAAAGTTTTGGATAAATAATTTGTAACATGATACATAATATGATTTAAAAATAATATAATTTAAAATTTTAAAAATTATAAATAAATTTAATAAAATAAAAATTATATTTTATATTTTTTTATTAATGTAAAATATAATATAATTTTTATATAAAATAATTATGAACATAATATTTTATATGATATTTTGATATGAATTACAAGATCTATACTAAACATCCAATCAAAATGAAGAAGGTCACTAGATAACTCACGCGATCTTCAATGGAGACTTAGGTCTTCTTTGATATTGCTGTTTGCAAATGAATTTTGTGTTAAAAATTTAACTTTTCAACTCAATAAAAAATTTTTCTAAAAATTACATTTGCTGTAAAAGCATTTGAGGACCATGTTCGCAGTCTGACCAAATTTCAACATTTTCTCCTTTGTCCCGAGAAGCCTTTGGCCCTCTGTTTTTTTATACAGCAATGGCTTACAGAAACAATATACTATTTTAAAATTAAAAATCAGTGGTTAGTGAATATCACATGGAGGTCCCACGAGTCGGCCATTTCCCTCTGGGTTTTTGCAGGCCTGCCTTAAAATATTTTCAGTGGGAAGCAATTAGCTTCAACTCAATGTTATGGAATTTTATTTCGATGGAAAAAACGAACGGACGGAAACATTGAGCGTGGCACCAAGGGTCGATTCCTGAATTTTCTTTAGTGTTGCAGCATAAAGTGTCTTGTTGAATGACAATTACTTTATAGTGGGTCCTTTCACTAAACTTTAAGACCTCCCCAAATAGTTGCCTGCCACCTACTACTTGACGTAACCCCATCTTCATCCTCCGTACCCCGTGTGTCGCCAAAACAATGGCAGCAACGTAACTAAACGACACGACTATAAGGCATAAAAATAATAAAAAAAAAATTATATTGTGTTTTAAAAACGTGTTCCGTATTTATTTATATTTATACGAATTTTAATATAATATAATTTATATTTTATATATATTAACATGTTTAAATATATGATATAATATAAATAATGCATTTAATTTAATTTTTAATATATTATATATTTTTAACACAAACATATTTTTTATAATAATTTTAATTTAATATAAAAATATAAAAAAATATTTTGATTTTTAATATTTTAATTATGATATTTAATTAGTAATTTAATATAGTATAAAAGTGATTTTAAATATTTAATTATGATATTCATTTAATAATTATTATAAAATTATATTTTCATATTAATAATATAAATATAATATTAACATTAATCCTACACATTATTATTTTATTTTTTAATCTTAATAGTTTATCATTTTGAATTTAGTATTAAAAATTAATATAATTATGTAATATGTATTAAATTTTAAATATATATATTAAACACATATTAAATGGATATTAAATTTTTTATTTTTTTAATACGTAAGTAATTTTTTATATTATTAATATGAGAAGTTTATTAATTTGTAAATTATTGATAATTTATAATTATTTATTATTTTAATCATGTTTTGTATATATTTGTGTTAATCATATTTATTCATGTATATTCGTGTTTATCATGTCTATTCGTATATATCTTAGTTATTGGTATCATATTTAAACTGATTAATTATATACGTGTCAATCATTTTATCACTTGTAACATGTATAATAAATATATTATACTTATATTTATGATTTAAATATATTTAATAATTCATATCGTATTTATGTTTTAATAATTTATATCATTAATTATATCAAATACGATATAAAAATATGAATTATTAGTTCTACAATAACATATTTTTTTATTTTAAATACGAAATAAATTAGGTTCAACTAACCAAAAAAGAACGTTTAACTTTCATATGAAATTCATTGATAAGTTAAAAAAAAGAAAAAAAAAAAAAAAACCTCATAGATCCATGATTAAAATTTAAAAATAGTTAAAGAGTAATATCGTTAAATATCATTTAAGCACTATGGCATTTGTCACAATGGTCAAAATATACGGTTCAAGTTCGAAACTTTTGATTCAATTCCATTATTTATAAAATTGTGTGCTTAATTCAATTACTTTAAAAATATATATTTAAAGTTAAAATTTAAAATTTAATATTTACAATCTTTTTATTTAGATTATGATTTAAAAAAAATTACATGTCATATATCACGACAAAAAACAAAGATTTTGTTAATAATTGTAATAGAGAATCAAACAATTATTTTTTAAAAATAAAATAATGATTTTTTATATATTTGAGTGCCATAAATTAAATTTTAATTATTAAAATTAAAATTTCAACTTTTGATCATAAATTACACCATAAGATAAAATGTTCAATAACTATTAGCTATTTTAGATATTGCACATAAAAAAAAGGAAGGTTTTTTTTTTTATTTGTCGGCCATCAAAATAACAAAGAAATACATATATATATATATAAGAAAAAAGCCCGAGAGTAAAGCAAATTTGGATCAATTTTGTCTTTTGTGCAAATCGCACCAAGTGGGTGATGGAAATTCAATTGGTTTCATATAAAACATGTGGAGATAAAATTTCAATGCTCTCATGGTCCTATTAGATTCTTCAATTGGGTATGGATGGCTGAGGTACAAAGGTTGCAGAATCCAGACGTTAATTTGAAAATAACTTAACCATTACAGATGTGAAATATATATTATCTAACCAAAAATTAGGGAAAATAAAAAAATAACTAATGTAAACTGTATTTTCGATTTTTATATAGAAAAAGGAAAAACTAGGAACTCCTCTTCACGGTAGTTATGACTATATTTTTTACCTAAAATTATGGTTTTAAGGGAAACGAAAAATAAAAAAAAACGAGAGGGGAAATGTCCAGTTCTGATTGGCGAATCAGAGACAAAAGGGTGGACCGTGAGTGAGGGGAAACCTTGACGTACCATAACTAACGTTAGATAACTTTTTTATACTTGGTATTTAATGTTAATAGAAAAGAAAATATTATTATTTTATATATAAAAGAAGTAAAAACCAAGCAATTCCAATTGCAAGAGGATAAGGGCAATTGGAAGAGGATAGTGGGCCCAGGGGCAAAGCTGCAAGCAGGTTTTTGAGTTTTTTTTTTTTTTTATTAACACAGTATTTAGTGGATCTATAGATTTTTTATAGACTGCCAATCCAATCCAAGCTGAGCAAAGCAAAGCAAAGCCCCCTATAGGTTAAAGCTGGAAAGATTTCCACAACAAATCATCTCCTGCCAAAACCAAAAGAAAGAAAGAAGCTAATCTCTCTTGGAACTCTCCTCTTATTTTCAGCTTCTCATTTATAGAGAAGAAAGAGCATTTGTTCATTCATCAGATATATCAGTCAGGAAAAGAAGAAAAGAAAAAATGAACGGTGATGACGTTCACGGTATGATGGAGGGGCAGTACATAAGGAGACACCACTGGAACGAAATCAGAGATGACCGGTGCACCTCTGCTCTTGTGAAACACATCAAAGCTCCTGTTCATCTCGTAAGATTCTGTCTCTGATTCACCTATCTGTCCTTCAAAATTTTCGTTTTTTTTTTCCTAATGCGTAATGCGTCTGTTGTTCGATTTTGTTGCCACCGCTTAGGCCGTTGACTTGTTTTTTTTCTCCCCTGGACTTCTAAAACCGGCATCTCTTTCCCATCTTTAATTGTCAACCAAAAGTCAAATCTACGTTCATGTCGGAAATTTAACAGCAAAAAAAATCTTTAAGTATTTTTTTTTCTATTTTTTCACATATAAAAAGCACACTTTTTCACTCAGATCTGAGATTTGATTTTGATTATTTTGTTACATGGGTTTTTTTTTTCCCCTCAGGAATGGGAATCCGAATTAGTTGGAGTTTAGTAATTTTTATTAATTTTATTGCAACTAATAATGGATAGGTATGGTCATTGGTAAGGCGGTTTGATCAGCCGCAAAAGTACAAGCCGTTCGTAAGCAGGTGCATCATGGAAGGGGACCTCGGAATTGGTTGCGTTAGAGAAGTCAATGTCAAATCTGGCCTTCCTGCCACAACCAGCACCGAACGATTAGAACTTCTTGATGATGAAGAACACATTCTCGGCATCAAAATCGTCGGTGGTGATCACCGTCTCAGGGTACAAATGCTATTTATTCTTTCTCCCTTACATGTTTTTTTTGGTACTAATTCTGTTGACTGATATATTTGCAGAATTATTCTTCAATCATAACGGTCCATCCTGAGGTTATTGAAGGAAGGCAAGAGACAATGGTGATCGAATCATTCGTTGTCGATGTGCCAGAAGGGAACACCAAGGATGAAACTTGTTACTTTGTCGAGGCTTTAATCCGATGTAATCTGAAATCGTTAGCCGATGTTTCAGAGAGGATGGCTGTGGGCCTATCAACCAATACAAATTGAGAAGGTGGAATTTTGATGACAAAGAAGACTAGCTTTTGTGGAGAAAGATGAGGGGTAGGAGCTGTGGATTTCGTGGTCTGAACAAGTTTTGGATACAATGCTCGATGTGATTTTTCACTTTGTCATGGGTGGTCCTTAACACTCTTTTTTTCCTGCTTTCTTAGCTTTCTTTGTTGAATGCCTTAGTAGTTATCTGTGAGTTTCTGTTCTATAAATGGGGTTTGGGGTTCCCAAGTCGAAGAACATGGGGTTCTTTTTTCATCGTTGTTTCTGGTTATCTGGGTATTGTACAATGGTGGTAATGTACGCTACTATAGTCTTATTTGTAAATATTTGTGTAAGATGAGCAAAGATGGAGGCTTTTCTTTCCGTATTGTACCTGCAGCTGTAGGTGCAGGATGAATTTGGAGAACCATTTTAACTCTTCTTGAAACGCCTTTGATCTCACCTTGAAAAAAAAGTGTGAATAAAAAATAATATATATATTTAAATTTAAATATGTGAAATAATTTTTATGAGTAAAAATTAAGTGTTATATTATGAGATTTATTAAATGATATTTGGTTGGACAGTAAGAATTATTAAATGTTATATGATGAATGAGAGTTACTTTTAAAATTTTAATGTGTTATTTGATGGTAAGGAGTTATTTTTAAAATTTTAAAATTTGATTTAAAATTAGTTGTTAAGTTTTAAAAGTGAAAAGATTATAATATTTTTAATATTATATTAAAAGAATGTGAATAAAAATAATTTATACTTAGGTAAATAAACTTAAAATTTTTGAGGATTTGTGAGATATTATATAAAATTGTGAGATTTTTTAGATAAAATATATAATATTTTATAACTCGAGTGTAAATTTTCACATTTACACACGTTTCTCTGTTTTGTATGTATTGGTGTCTTTTCAATAGTTTCTTGTTGGATTATTTTTGGTTTTTCTGCTTGATTGGGTAAACCATTAACGAATGCTTTTTTTCAACATTCAAGCACGTTATTAAGTTTATATTTGTTCAGTTCTCAGCCTCTGAATTTGAGTGCAGAAATTGCGGGAACACATGGAAATGCACCAAGGGGTCGCTTTTTGAGTCATAAAGTCGCAGAGCACTCTCAACTGAAAAGATCTTGCGACGATTTTTATTGAGTTAGACATACCACGCTAGAAGGTTCCTCCGGAGCAACCAATCACTCATTTTTTATGTAGTGAATTTCCAACACGTATCCAAACGAGAGAACTCGTGATTAGCTCTGTTTTTTTTTTTTTTTGTTAAACTGTTGCAGATCTGGTTCACTAATATTACCGGGAGCATGTCATAGCAAGTTAGTAACATAAATTCATTCTTTCCCTGAAAGGTTATAGGGATGTAATGCTTCTAGTTTTGAAGCTGTAACAGCGCAATGCTCCCAAGAAGAAGCTTTTATATTTCTATGCATGAAGGTAAGTGGGTAATGAAATTTACATTTAATTTAGTCTGGGTTCTACTATTTTCAAGCCTGTATTATTGCTTTTAGCTCTCTGCTGATGAGTGTAGAATTGAATTATGGAATGATTGATTCTCCTTTCGTTGTCAAAAAAAATGTTCAAACTTCCCGCCTGGTAGATGCATTTCCTCCGCTTGAGCGGGAGAAAGTGACGGTTTCCAACCACCTTTTACCCTTCCGCAGGATTTTGCATGATGATGGTGAAAGCCATCAAGGCCCATTGTTGCCAACTATCATTGCAGGAACGCTTCCCTTAGCTAAAATGGTGAAACCGACTATCATTCCTTAAGAAAATCTCTTGGTCCTTTGCCAAAGACATGTATTTAGCTACAGTGTGGCAGCCGGGGCAAATCCTTGTGTTCTTGATTACCCTGAGAGCACGTTTGGTCGGGCGGAAGCACAATTATTTTCCGTCTCTATTCTAAACTAAACAGTAAAAACAATGTTTGGTTGACTGAAAGGCGATTTTATGGAATGACTATTCCAATCTTATTCCTTTGGAAGGCAGAATAAACATTCTTGACCACCTCACCTAATAGCAATTTCGGTTCGGATGAGGGCTCCTAATTATCATGCTTTTTATTCTTCACATCTTAATTTAAAAATTTTTTAAAGTGAAGTTATTTAATTACTTTTTTAGTAAATTTTTCACACGTGTAAATTCTCCAGCGTGTGGATCATCCGTGATAACTTCTTCGGATTTGCGTGAACTAGCGGACCTATCACGTTGTGGGGATGCTCCCTCCAGCATGAGCGAACCCTTTCGGAACTGGTTAGGAATGGGCACCACTATCCCAGCCCGGATCCAGCCAGGTTCTATTGATCATGTCCCCTTCCCAACAGTTATACCTCGTTTTGAATAAATTTATAATTTTTCAAAAAATTATTTTCAATGAGAAATTTTTTTTTTAATTATAAAAAAAAATTAATAAAAATTTTTATTAATTGGTGTAATGAAAAAAGTTATTATTATAAAAAATATAAAATTTTAAATTAATAAAAAAAGTTAATTTTATTATTTTGACCTAAGAAAATAAAATTTTATGAGATACTAAATAAACTAAGGGTAAAATAATCAATTTATATTTTTATAAATTTAAAATTCAAAATTTTTTAATAAATATGTTTTTGGTATTAGTTTTTAAAATTTTATAACAGATCTAATTAAACTGAATTTTTTGAAGAAATTTTTTTATTTACTTATTGTCATAACGTGTAGATTCGTAGACTTATCGTTAGACTTAAAATGAAAAAGAGTTGCTATTAATCTTTTTTGGTTATGTGTGATTAGTCACTTGATTGAAGTTAGTCTACAAAACAGATGTTAAGTTCGAAAGTTGATTACACATGAAAAATATTGTAATACCCTCACAACGTCCATCTAGAAGATGATACTAGTACAATTTCAAATTATCTAAGCCTTGATAATCATTTCTTACCAAATAATTTATTAATTTTACTGGAGTAGTAAAATCTTTCAAAATTTTTATTTACTTGTTTTTTTGAAAGCATTATCTAAAAAGATTTTTCTCTTTTTTTATTTTTTTTGTTTTGAAATATATTTCTTTTAAAAAATATTAGTGGTGAAAATAAATCTTTTTTTAAAATATAAACAAAAAAATAAAAAAAATGGGTTAGAAATAAAATAAAATCAAATAAAAAAATGGAAAAAAAAAAACCTGCGATCGAGTTGGGTCAGGACGTAGGTCGGTGCGCGGGTCTTCGGGTCAATACGCAGATCCTGACTTATTTAAAACGACGTCGTGTAGGGGGTATATAAGGCACCCTTCAGCATTTTTTCTAAAAAATCCCAGAACCTCTCTCTCTCTAACCCCAAAACACTATGCCTTCTTTATAAAAAAACCTCTACTGAAAACTTTAACCGGGACTAAAAAATCCACTGGTTTTTGAAAAAGTTGTCAGAAAATTCAAACGAAAGCTAAAAAACCACCAGTTTCTAGGAAGTTGATCGAAATGTGATGCAAAAATTCAACCGATCGCCAGAAACTTCATCGAAAAATTCATACTTCATCAAAAAATTCAACCAAACCTAGAAAAATTCAAAAAAAAATTTCAAAAAAATAAAAAAAAACTCTCAGATGATTCTAAGCCTTCCCTGAACCTTCTACAACCCTGAATTCACCTCCGAAAACCTGAATTCACTCTCAGAACCATAAATTAACCTCAAAATACTAAGATCAAATTTCAAAACCCTTTATACCCGAAATTTCCACAAACTTTTTTTCAGTGATTTTTTCTCTATTTTTCTGTGTGTTCTTGTTCTGTAGAATAGGTTCAATTTATAGGCCACCTAGGATCAATTCAAGAAATAGACAAAATCAATCCTAAGCTTGATTCGTGGGATTACATTCTGTTAAGACGAGATTTTAGATCCAAAATTTTAGCAGTATTAATTTGATTCTATGTTGACCAAAAAAATTATGATCCTGATCTTCATTCACATGCAGATTGAGCAAAAAAAAAAGTAAAAAAAAAAATAATAACAATAATAATAATAATAATAATAATAATAATAAAAAGTATCTAATTGAACCAAAATGGGCCCAATTAGGTTCGAACCAAAATGAGTGTCTACAATTGTTTTTCTTTGCACATCTTTGTTAGACAAGGATGTTGCAAAGGCCTAGACACCCACTCTAGTCATAATTTTGAAAAATGACATGGATTGAACTAACGTTGGACAACTGAGATTAAATCACGAGTCAAATGAAGCAACCAAGATCAAGTCAAGGTCAAGAATAAATGATCGAAACGGAGTTACGAATCATAAGAAATTATTTGAATTGAGCCAAGATCAAATGACGGAGACGAAACCACGAATCAAAATAAAATGACCAGGACTGCATCAAGGTCAAAAATAAATGATCGGGACGAAACTATGAATCAATAGAGATGATCTAGACTGAGCTAAGATCAAGTGACCGTGATAAAACCACAAGCCAAAATAAAAACGACTAGGACTGCGTTGAGATCAAAAATAAATGATCGAAATAAAATAACGAATCATAAAAAATGATCTAGACTAAGCTAAGATCATGCAATTGGGACAAAATCACAAGTCAAATGAGGCGACTAGGATCAAGTCGAGGTCAAAAATAAATGATCGAATTGAAATCACGAATCATAAGAAATGATTTGGACTAACCTAAGATCAAGAGATCGGGATAAAATCATTAAATGAGACAATCAAGATTGAGTCGAGGTCAAAAATAAATGATCGAGACGAAATCATGAATCATAAGAAATGATTTGAACTAAACCAAGATCATGCGATCGAAATAAAACCATAAGTCAAATGAGACGACCAGGACTAAGTTGAGGTCAAAAATAAATGGTCAAGACGAAATCACGAATCATAAGAAATGATCTGGACTGAGCCAAGACAAGCGACCGGGATAAAATCATGAGTCAAATGAGACGACCATGATCGAGTTGAGGTAAAAAAAAATGATCGGGATGAAACTATAAATCATAAAAAATGATATGGACTGAGCCAAGATCAAATAGATAAATAATGTAAATGCATGCCTTATCTAAAATGTAGATGAATCATTAATTGTGGTATTAAGGCTTTTGTCTTTTTTATTTTGGTATACTTTTTGGCAGAGAAACTCTCTTCTATTAGTCTGAACACTTATCTTCATTGCACACTTTAACAAAGAAAACATGCATATCTTCGACAAAAAAACCATCTGAGCTTATATCTTTGGCACAAAAATCAATTTGACTGTTTATTTTTACCCCAAAGAATGCCATGCAAATCAGTTCCACTTTTTTTTTTAGAGGCATTCATCATTTGTTCTTGTCTCCTTTAATTCTTCAAGGCAACACATAACTTCTTATGATTTTGTTCAATTATTAATCATTATTACAATTTCAAAGTGTGGGATGCAAATCATGCATTTCTTCCATTCATGGCAAGATATAAAGATGAAGGACAATGTATAAGACTAAAAGAATAAT